GCCCACATTAAAAACTTTTCCAGCACAGCATCTCCACAAAGTCAAGCTATTACAGACTTAATTCTTATACCTTGACCACAATAGTTATTGTTCTTGTATCACAGAAAGCAGCGATTTGATTGGATTGTTCTCATGGCTTATTGTGTTATAAACTTTCTTTCGTGGAATATGATTGGCTGTATTTACTGGTGTACAATCCAAAGAAATTGCTGCATTCTGCAATATAAGAAAGGTGGTTATTGTATTCAAGGTATAAGACAAACTTGACATTGTGAAGATGATTAGCGCTGTGGGTTTGAAACTCTACTAGTAACAATATGATACAATGTAATATTATAAAGTAATATATTGATAAGAGCTGTTATGATAATGGTATTTATTTTAAACTATTTTTATAGGTGTAGTAAGCCTGGTGTCATTGTTTACTGTGTTGTATCATTTTCCCTTGTACAGATCCAGTTACATTAAAGGGGTAGTCCTATATGTCTGGAGGGGGGGGGGGGGGGGGGATAATACTTTGGAAAGTCTAGTTACAGCCCATGCCTTTGGAAGTAGGCTCCAGTCATATTAAAATGAAATGAAAGGAGTTTTAGATCCTACTTTTCTGCACCTAATTAGGCTATTGAAGACAGCAACACCATGTAGTGTGGTAATTGAGCCAGGACAGCTGCATTAGCCAACCTTTTTATTATTCCCAATTGTTGATGGACTGAGCCACCGTGGCTCCTCCAGATGAATATATATCCTGTTCTAGCTCCTTTAAATAAAGGAAGGTGAAGATAGGGTATGATGACATCTCACTCCCTAGTGAGTCAATTTGTCCCGTCTGTTAGCTGATATAGGCTCTTATTACCTACTTACTTTTATAGACTTAGACCTTATTATTACCTGCTTGATAGGCCATAAATCATAAAGCAGGCAGGGGCATGTGAAAGGGCAGGTCCTAGGAGAGAGAGGTCAGGGCAGAGGAAAGTTTTGTTAGCTGGGTTAGTGTATACTTTACTAATAGAGGTGTGCAGGGAGTAAGAGAAAGGGCAGAACCTGAGGGAGAGGGGCTAATTTTGTGTCTGTGTGCTGTTAAATTTTGTGCCTGTTAAAGAAAGAACAGACAAATTGAAATGAAAATAGTAGATTTAAGCCACTGTCCTACAAAATTTCCCTTATTGCACATGTCTCATCATCATTTGCTCAATCAAAAATGAATACAACTTAAAACTGACTGAGATATTTGAATGGACTTGAAGTCTTATTATATATCTGGTGAAGATTAATGGTTATCGGAAGTGCATGATTGATAACTGATGTAAGAACCCATCAAGAAACAAGAGCTCTCTGTCTCATCCTTCCTTCCTATATTTTTATAACAATTCGAAAAACTTCATGATGCATATTCAAATTACAATGATTGGCAGTCAGCCAAACGTCTTTAATATATTATAACTAGTTTTATTAGACAATTATTTGATAGGATGGTCTCTAACTCTGGTGTTCATTCATTCATGAATATTAAAATACTCACAGTTTATCACTTAGATTTTCACGATATGGGAGACTTGAATAACTGCTTTGATAGTTTTCAATTCTTTACTTTAATTGCAGACAAACTACTCATTAGATATTCACTGATGATTGTAGTTAGCTAGAATTACGCAAATAATGGACAAGTATAAAACAACTAGCAATCTGCTTGGTTGATAAGAATTGAATGTCTCTAGAATGTTTTAAAGTTATATTTTTGTGAACAGGGCCCCTGAAAATTATTGCCCCCTTAACTAGAAATTTATTCATCTAAGTGGAAGTGTCTCTTTAAAGAAAAATATTTAAAATTTAAAAGTGAGTTATGGGTTTTGAATTATTTAAAATATGTCCCATATGAGATATACGTTTATAACACATTGTGTTACCAATATTTTCCCACTGAGCATTTTATTATCATTACTTTACAAATTACAGCTTTTAGTTCTGATCAGGGTTGTCGCTTCAGTTGTATTTGCCAGTCATGTTTGTTTGGGTTTATATGTTTGTTGAATTGCTAGCAAGCCAGCCCTCGGATTTTGGAATTGCATCGATTTACATCATTTCAATACACAATTAGCTCTTATCAGGGAAGTGTATTGTATTTGCCAGTCATGTCTGTTTGTATGATATGTTTCGTTGCATTGCGAGCAAGCATGTCCTCGTTTTTAATTTTGATAAGTGATACAGTCTGAAATAGAGCTTTTTCAGCTGGTGAAACAAATATTTAGATGGATCAACCACTTTTGAAGTGTAGATAGTTTTTCTAACCCGTCTAACTGACATCTGTCAACCATATCAAAGTAAGGCAAGAAAGAAAGCAAAGTTTATAAGGAAAGAGTCAATTTTATACCAACCCAAAAATATTTAATAATTAGATATTTCCTGTGTATATTTGTAAAAAGTTTCGATAATTTTTTTAATGGTACTTTCTTCATACATTCTGCTTGGAAAGCATGAATAGTTTTTCTAACTCTGTAAGTGACATCTATCAACCGTATCAGACCTAGGCAATGATTGAAGTAGAAGGTTTGATGTAAGGTAGATATATGTTAAAATGATTATAAAATCAACAGCTGTCGAAGGTTAAAAACGTTTTTTTTGTCTTTTGTTGTTCTGCATCATATACTCTGTAAAATAGAAAGAAATAATTATGTTAGCTTGAATTCATTAAAATTAAAATTTAAAGAAAGTAATCCACATAGAATCTATAGTAAATATGGCCTTGTTTTTCAATGCTTTAACTGTAGTCATACAGATAAGCTTGCTTGAAATTGAGCTTTCACAGCTTTCAAAACGAGCTCTTGCATCAAGCTTGTATCCATAAAATAAGCACCCCCAATTTAAAACAATTGTTGCTATAACAATGAATTGAATTAGATTGAGCTTTATACAAATGAAACTGAGCTTCAAATAGCTGATATTGAGCTCTATACAAATGAAACTGAGCTTCAAATAGCTGATATTGAGCTCCATACAAATGAAACTGAGCTTCAGATAGCTGATATTGAGCTCCATACAAATGAAACTGAGCGTCAGATAGCTGAAATTGAGCTCTATACAAATTCAAATCGAGCTCCATAAGCTTACTGCATTCAAGCTACAGATAGCTGAAATTGAGTGCAGGTAAATATTTATAAGGACTATCTCTATAACAATGGATTGCATTCTTGGGTGTTTGTGTAGTGTTATAATTTATGATAGCGTACTATATGAAATATGTTTGTTGTCTAAATACCTATCTATCTGTCTGTCTGTTGGTCGGTCGGGGCGGTTGGTTGGTCGGCTAGCTGGCGGGTGACAGCTAGACACTGAGTTCTACTTTAGAAAGGTTAGGCTGACAATTTCAGTGAAAATATAAGAGTTTTATATTTCATTATATATATATCTTATTATTGTGTATTTTTGTTTATAACCATATGGGAAATTACTAGTTGTTTCAAGCAGGTTTCTCCCAGAGTTAAGTCGTTCGGATAATCCCACTAACTCAAGCTTTATTAAAATTTACATCATTAAAATCAGAATTGATTCAGCTATTTAATGATACTTTTAGTTGAATTTTACCTTCACACATTTCTGAGAAAGGGCTGTTTTAAGCCTATTTTTTCACTTTTGATCTAATTTAAAGACATCATTGAGACTGTTCCTTTATTTTCATTAAATGATGTAATTTGCCATGCATTTGATGATTTCAAAACGAGGTATGAATAAGGTCTATTAGACACAGTTAATAATAGCTTGACATTATGAAGATGATTGAACATTTAAACCCAGTATTTACTACATACAGACGTCCAGACCTTCCTTGTTATAGACTAGATCTATTTGTGGTGACTTCCTCATTATTTCTAGGATTAACCAAGTCAAGTTTTTATATTATTTATATTTAGTTCCTTGTTGACCTGCCATGTCATCTTGTCTTTGATTTTCACAAATAGAATCAAAAAATAAAAAGAATATTTTAGTAGAATAAGAACTTAGATTCAAGGGGATCCAGGCCACGTATTATTCAAATGATCTCAGCGCTTGGATGTCCTAGAGTCTTAACTGTTAACACTGGTTCTAGGATATCCTAGCGCAAGGATCAATTGAGATACATGGCCAAGATAGGTAAAAAGTTTGGATTACAAGACATTTCAAAGGATAACAAAAAACACAAAAGAATATATTATAGTATTACACACTCCTTTAATAACGAAGTACATAATGTTTCAACACAATTTACACGTGTTGTCATCAGATGAAATGAAGTTATATGTGCTCTCTGACGTTCAAATGTTATGACAGTAAAAGATGTAAAATTGTAGGTTACAAGACAGTAAGAGATTTATGGTCTATTAGACTAGTGTAGTAGGTATTAACTATATGAATTGAGAATTGATAATATTTTTATACCACTAGACTGATATGAATAAGTTGTAATAACAGTTTTTATACCACTGAAACATGTGTTTTAAATATTGTCACGGTTGGAAATCATTTTGTATTCTTTTTCTACATATTTTATTCATTCATTTGGCATTTCATTCATTCTTCTATCAATATCTTATCTATATATCTAATTTATTCATTCATTCATTCTTCTATCAATATCTTATCTATATATCTAATTTATTCATTCATTCATTCTTCTATCAATATCTTATCTATATATCTAATTTATTCATTCATTCATTCTTCTATCAATATCTTATCTATATATCTAATTTATTCATTCATTCATTCCTTTAAGTTATTTTTGCAGTCAATTGTTTGAATAATTTGCATTTAGCAAAGTTTATTTATTTATTTATTTATTTATTTATTTATTTATTTATTTATTTATTTATTTATTTATTTATTTTTCTATTTATTTATTTATTTATTTATTTATTTATTTTATCTTTTATTTATTTATTTATTTATTTATTTATTTATTTATTTATTTATTTATTTATTTATTTATTTATTTTATTCAATATTGTTTATTTGTTTTATCTTTTCAGATATGACTATAAAAAGTTGTTGTATAATTCCACATTTTGTCTGGTACCCAGAGGCAGAAGATTGGGTTCGTTTAGGTAAGATGTCTTTTAAGGGGTGTCTGTGCTCGTTTTTACAGCCCCACCTCATTTTAACAGACCCAGTATCTCCATTTCTACAGGCTCCCTCCTCTCAGCCCTTTCTCACTCATAAATCATAACACATTGAACATACATGAATGTATCAAGTATATATTAGAAAGGGAAATAACTCTGAAACATTTGATATGAATGCACTAAGATTCAAACCCACCAATTATTTTTATTTCAGATTTTTAGAAGTGCTACAAGCGGCATGTATTCCAGTTTTACTGTCCAACGGTTGGCAATTACCATTCTCAGAAGTTATAGATTGGAACAAGGCTGGTGTTATAGGAGACGAGCGTCTGCTACTACAAATTCCATCTATCGTGCGTTCCTTGACTCAGTCGGAGATCCTGGCCTACCGTCAACAAACTCAGTTTATTTGGGAAACGTATTTGTCGTCTGTTGAAAAGATTGTCACCACAACATTAGAGGTAAGGTTCATTTTATTTTATGAAATTTCTAGTTTGAGATATCTTTGAAGGAATTATGCCATTTTCATACAGTTCTGGTACTTTTGAAGACTATTTTCAAATATATTCAAGACCCAAATCAACGTCCTTAGTCTTATACCTTGACTGGATATGATAGTCATATAAAACTAAAGTAATGAATACAGAAAACTAGGCTATATAGATCCTTGATAATTACACCAATTTTCTCACTGTTATTATTGACTAGGTAAACAAGACTACTGTCATCAGTTTCTTTGATCTCTTTGTAGTCACTAACTACCAGTTGTTTTCACGTCTTGACTAATATTCGTGAAAATATGTCAATTGACTTGAGAACTATAATTAAAATGATTGTTTATTTTGTGATGAGATTTTTTATTTGAAAGAAGCTAGACAAGATAATACTGGACATGAAATGAACTGCAGTTTGTTAAGTATAAGGCAATGAAATGGAGGTTTACATCCTACAGTTCTGTACTTTTAATAAGCCAATGAAATGGAGGTTTACATCTGTATCCTCTGTAACTTTTAATGAGCCAATGAAATTGAGTTTTTTATCCTAATCTTTGTTACTTTTAATGAGCCAATAAATGGAATTTTAATTTTACAGTTCTGTACTTAAAAATTAGCTAATGGATTGCCAGTTTAATCACCATATTTTCCTCATTGCCTACTGCTGTGCTGGCTGGTCTTCATTAGCCCAATATAACACTCCTTTTCATTTGGTCTAGATAATTTGAGATAGTTGAATGTAGGCTTTTAACTCTGTATATTATTTGATTGACAGTTTTATGAAAATAATAACTTAAATTTTACATGTTAAAATTTTATAAATATGTCAGATTTATTCAAAGCGTGACAAAATTTTTTGCTTGTGATGAAATGAAATAGTTTCTTAAATCACAAGTGACTGATAGCGAATAAAAATATGTTAAATTTAGAAGCATTTACTTATGATGTAGACGTTAGGAAACTCTTCACAAATAGAAATAGAAAAGTTATTAAGGTTTTGAGAAAAATGTGTAGTTGTTTAAGGTCTATGGACTGTTAAAAACCAAAAAAGAAAAAATGTCAATGCTGCTGAAATGGTAAAATTTGCTTCATTGCACACTGCATTGTGTTACGTTGTGAAAATAACCATCACTTCGATTTGTATTTAGCAAAACAATTGGCGTGCACGGAGTAGAATGTAATTTCATCTCGAGGATGGGCACCTTTAATATCATTAAAACATACAAGATATTGTTCGGAGGTTTATCTTTCACTCCCAATTTACTTTTTGATGTGAACAGTTTAACCTTTATTTTAAAGGTCAAAGGTGAAAGGTCAAGATTTTGAGTGACATGGAAGACCTTTTTAAAATATTTTACTTAATTGAATTAAAAACATGAGTTTGGGGGAACCATTATTTATTTAAAACTGATTTTAATTTAAAACATCTGTTCATCCGATAAAGAATACTGCCAAAGGGTTTGGCCAAGGACCTGGCCACGTATTCTCGAAACGATCTTATCGCTGGGATGTCCTTGGTTCTTATCTTCTAACGTTGATTCTAGGACATCCTAGCGGTAAAATCGTTGCGAGAATTTTTGAATGAATATTTCTTTTTTCAGATCATAAAAAGTCGAGTAAACCTTCATTTTAAAAGATCCAATATAATATGGAATGTAGAACCAGGCGCCATAGCAACACAGATGGATTTCTCTGACACTATCAACAACTTTCCATTTTATTACCAACAGCTAGGATCACGACCTCAACAGAAGTTTACTGCTGTTATATATGCAACTTCACCAATTCTCTTGGCATCGGCGCCATTGTTTAGAACTTTACGAAATGTGGCCAAATCTGAATTTGTAGTGAAGGTAAGGATGAATTTAATTTGCCCTAGACACCCAGGTCCCTACCTCATGGGCCACAAGATAGACTCCATCTTGCAAACTATAAACTCTATGTTTATACGCCCACATAGAATAATAATCCCACAGGGTAATGTGGAGGTATATTGCCGTCGCCTTCATCCATGAGTCTGTCAACAATTCTTGTGAACACAATAGATTTTAACTTTTAATATCTTAAACGTACAATACTAAGAAGTTTTGAAAACAGGATAGTAATTTATTCCCGAGCCTTCTGGTTTCTATCTGTTGATGATGTAAGATTATAAGAATTTAGTCTGAAATTTGACATATTGCATAATAGTTAAAGGGATTGTAAAGAGATTTTCTTAAATGTATCATGTGTGTCAGAGACACTGATAGCATCGCTTTACACCATTCTAATTTTCAATCAGATGTCTTGTGGTTCCTACAATTCCACTTAAAAGCATTTTATGGTGTCATTATCTCAAAGGTCCTTATCTAAGCAGCTTTTCAATAGTGACTAATAAACCCTTAGTTTTAGTGGAATTGCAGGAACCACAGACATCTGATTGAAAATTGGAATGGTAAAAATTGATGATATCAGTGTCCAAGATACACGTAAAAATTTAAGAAAAACCTCTTTACAATCCCTTTAAGTAGAATACTTGTTAAAAGTAGAGAGAAATGTTATGTTATCTATTGGCTACATTCTTGATATTTATTATGTAATATTTAATTATAACAGTATGTTATATTCTTATTATAATATTCACTTTCTAATATTCATATTGTTTCAATATATTCATCAGTTAAAGGGGAAGTGACAAGGTTTTCTCAAATTCGTATGTGTATCGGGGACACTGATAGCATCAATTTGCACCATCCAATTTTCAATCAGACATCTGTGGTTCCTGCAATTCCACTTTAACTAAAGTGTTTTATGACGTAACTTCAATCTTAATGCTTTTGTGATAGTGACAGACGTCTGATTGAAAATTGGAATCGTGCAACAGTGTCCCCATTACACATACAAAGAAAACTCAGGATAAAACGCTTAGTTTTAGTGGAATTGCAGGAATCACAGACATACAAATGGATTCTTTCATTGTCCCCAATACACGTTTTATTTTAATGCCTCAAATTCTAATGTACACATGTGTTAATACAATTGTTATTTCTTATAGATGATTGTACTGTGGCACTGTGATGTTCCCCCTCCCCCCTCACACAAGTGGCCCTCAGATTTGGGCGTACCTGTTCTTGTGAAAACCAGGAACATTAAGGTAAGAGTATAAATTCTCTCTCATTGCTCACTGCATGACGTTGTCCTCGTTAGTCCACGGATGCAGTAAATTCAATTCCCGTTTTTTCTGCTGCCCTGTTGATTATTTTGGTCTTTTTTTTTGCAGACTATCAGTGCTAGATTTTATCCATATAAGGAGATAGAGACAGACGCAGTTTGGAGTTTAGAGGAAGATTCTCTTCTAACAACAGACGAGGTGAAAATTTAGCTTCTTTTACTTTTTTTTTTTTTAAATTACCGGTACCCGTATTTTCCAAAACCTGTCCTAATCAAGTATTTTATTACTAAAATCTATATCATCTGTCTGGTAAATCAAGATCATGACTCCATTTTCTAAGGTGGCTAGAGTTTTCCTCATTATTCACTTCCTTGCCTTGCTCCTCTTCGTATGTTTGTACACCGGTATCGAATAGTAGGATGTAAAAACTCATTTTATTTCAGATTAATTTTGCGTTCAGTGTCTGGCAAGAGTTTCCAGTTCGTATCGTTGGATATCCTGCTCGTAATCATTATTGGGATGACGTTAAAGCTAGGTGGAGCTATACGTCCAAATGGTCCAACGAATATTCCATGGTTTTAACAGGTGCTGCAGTGTATCACAGGTAAGAACATCGAAGATTTCTTCCTCTCCAAATTCCTCACTTAATTATGACCAAAGGAAGACATGAAACACCATAGCCACTATAGTTGGATTTACCTGAGTTTTAAAGGGATTGTAAAAAGATTTTCTAGATTTCTTATGTTCTTATCATTAATTTACACCATTTCCAATTTTAATCAGACGTCTGTGATTCCTGCAATTCCACTAAAACTAAGCGTTTCTTTTACGTTACTATTGTAGAGATCTTTATGTATTATTAGCAGCTTTTGTGATAGTGTCGAAAGGCTTAGTTTTAGTGGAATTACAGGAATCACAGACGTCTGGTTAAAAATTGGAATTGTAAAAATCAATGCTATCAGTGTCCCTAATTTTAGATTTTAGAAAGCCTCTTTATAATCCCTTTAAGAAGGTATAAAAGAGTCTTGAGTTCTATGTTGAATATTTCTATGTGCCTCAAACGAAGGTATAATTTTGAAAAGTTAAAAGCTAGAGAGAATTTATTTGAAAATAAAAACAGTAGAGAGTTGTTGACTGAAAACATGAAGACAGACATTTGAGGAATGTTTCTTGATGTCTCAAGAGCTTTAAAGTGATTATATCCGTTGTTTTACATTACAACTTCATTACCAGACTCTTAATAATTATTTAATTTTATTGGATTAATATAGAAACTAATTTAAAATGATATCTTTAAATAAACTAATTGAAGTTTCTTCCAAACCAGATGTAGTTAACAGAAACATATTTATAGATGATTAATTGTATAGTTCAGATGCAGAAAAACTTGTGAATTTAATTTGTTGGCAATTGACTCCATGGTTCTGCAGAGCTAGCTAGTTTAATAATGCTTGAGCAATCCAGAGCAAGCTAGTTTAATGTGTCAACCTTTATATGTGTCAACACTGCAGAGTTAAACAGTTAAATGTGTCAACTCTGCAGAGAGAGTCTTTATAATATCTTTCAACACTGCAGAGTTGACCAGTTTAATATTTGACAACACCACAGAGCTAGCCAGATTAATATGTGTCAACACTGCAGAGTTGACCAGTTTACTGTGTGTTTAGGCACTTTGGTTTTGGCAGAGCCAGAGACATAAATCAAATCCTGTGGATACTGCAGAAGTAACTTCTTTAATATGTGTCCACACTGCAGAGCTAGCCACCTTAATATGTTTGGGCACTTGACACCATGTGGTTCTAATTTGTCCCAACTATTTCATGTCATCTGATAATTTAAACCAGGTGACTTCTTAATACCACAACTAACAACAAGTGACTCTCTGTCTGTGTGAGTTTTGGGTTCTTTGTTTTGTCTACCACCAATATATATATAACACATTTGGTTTGGATGTCGGCAAAGAAACAAAGGAATACCTTTTCATTCTTTAAAATTAATCCTTTCAACCTAGAAGCCAATTTACCAGTCATTTATTCTGTCAACCCAGCTGTAAATGGGTACTGAAAATCCAGGGTAGGATCAATGCCTAGAGGTTTGGCCAATGATAGAATCCTTGTAAAAATTAGTTGTTTCTTTCTTTTTTTTTGAATCCATAAATTGTTCTCTTCTGAACCGTGATCTAACAAATGTTTTATTATTTTCAGGTACTATCATTATCTCTACACCAATCATCTTCCAGCTGATGTCCTCGATACTGTCGACCAATCAAACAACTGCCATGACATCCTCTTTAACTTCCTAGTCAGTCATGTGACCAAACGTTCTCCAATCAAAGTCACACAACGAAAAAACTGTGAAGAATCGGGACTAGTGAATACTAATACAAACTATAATTCCAGTAAATCGTCGCTATGGTTACAACAGCATAATTTTTCCCAGAGAGAACTGTGTATGAATACGTTTACGGAACATTTTGGCGGAATGCCACTCATCCGTTCTCAAGTCAGATTGGACCCTCTGTTATTTAAAGATCCTGTTTCCAACATGCGGAAAAAATATCGGCAGATTGAAACAGTTTGATACTAGGCTATATTTAGTTTGAATCATTTGCATATTTAGTGAAGAGTTACCTTTCCTTGATTGAAGGTTGTACGATTGAATGCTATTTCACGGAATGGAAAATCTGAATTTCATTCTAGAATCCTTTGATTACTTTGGACTTCGATCAAAATTCTTCATCAAAACTTATTTTCTCATATAAGGTTGTGTAGTCTAGATGACACTTTTATAGAAATATGTCATTCAGATCGTCTTGATTTATCAAGAGTTGTCAAGAGTCCAGCCCTTGATCAACGGGTTGCAATGTCAAGCTATTATGAACTTCATCTTATACCTTGCCTGCAATAGCCTCCCTTTTATATCACTTATATGTAAATGAAATGATTTTGATTGGATTGTTCGTTAACAAATACAGCCAATCAGCGGCCTTGGCAGAAAGTCTAGACAAAATTCCATAATGTTTACAGTCTTTATATCAAGGACTCTGATTGGCTGTATTAGCATACAATCCAATCAAATTGCTGCATTGCTGATAACAGAATGATGTTTATTGCAGTCAAGGTATAAGACAGTTTGTAATAGCTAGACTATTATGAAGTTGATATGAATTGTAAATAATATTTTGTACAGATTTTAATATGATCACAATTTATAACAGAAATCAAACTTAATAGTAATAATTTTTAATTGCCATAATCAAACAGCCATATTCCTTTCTGATTACGATACAGATTCAAAATTATTTGTTTCCTTCTTATTCTGTGGGTAGATTTTGTTCCTCAATTACTCAACACATTGAATGCATGAAGAAACCCCCATGAAACAAATGAAACAAAATATCTAGAATAAGTGTGATAACACACTGAATAAGTGGAATAACACACTATGTAGAAATTTTGAATGAGTGAATTAACTCACATGAAATAAATGAAACAAAATTATTGAATGAATTCACTCAATTGTTTCAATTACAGTGGTGTCATTTACAGTGTAGTAAACTCTTTATTTATCTAATGGAAGACAAACTCAACATTGAATTTCCATTTTGATAAATGATACAGATAGATTAAAGTGAAAAGTTTTACCTTTTATTTGAAATATTCCTAATTATTCATGTTGTTGAGAAATTATAATGAAGATGAACCTTGGGGATCCTAGACACGCACATGCAAAGCACATGCCAGTTGCTGCTTATCATAAGCGACTCTTGAATCAAGCAAACAGTTGCTTAAACAAATAAATGTATTAGATATTGATGCACATGCTTGGAATATCCCAAACATTAACAGGACAGTCCACTATATTTTGAGGTAGAATTATAGTAATTGGTATTGTGTTGATTGCTACTTACACAACCTTAAAATAAAGTGGATTAGTCCATATTATTTGGAGGTAGAATAAATAGTAATTGAAACTATAATCAAGACTTATATAGTGTTGATTGCTACTTACACTACCTTGAAATAAAGTGGACTATTCTGGTTTATGTTTGGAATCATCCCAGCATGTGCATATACATCTTTGTATGACAACAGTTTAAATGAAACAGTGCGTGCGTGCATGCTGTTTTGGAATCCCGTTTTTTAAAGTGCTACAAATGTACAATTTTTTTTATACTTTTTGAAACTATTATTGTATAAACTCATTGATTTTTTGAAATGATATTTTTATGTATATATCTATATATATATAATCAGCTAGTCCATGTCTCTTAGCAACCGCGTAGGCTTTAATTTATCATATTTATACACTTAATATCTAGTGGAAGAATGAATGAAAGAAAGGAGAATGAATGAATGAATGAATCATTAAGGCAAAATCTAATCTGTTTTTAGAGAAATGTTGTTTTTTGTTGTCTTTTGGGGAGGGATGTAGTTCAGTTATTTAGAGTGTCTAGAATATTATGATGTCATTATTAAGCTCTGTGTTTACTCTATGTATGAATATGCTTTGTTGTTTTCTACAGAATAAGTTATATTTTATCTAAAGGTAACTAAAGGCAAGATGTAAAATTGCGTAAAATTTACAAAGCAAAATGAAAAAACGGAAAATGGAACAGCACAGAATAAGTTATTATTTCATGGTTTCCTGTCTTGTAATTTAAAAAAAACAGTTATAAATTGTTTAATTGTCAAATATAGTTATCTATCATTATAGTTGTTAGAGATTATATACTGTATAATTGCAAATATAACGCTCATCAAAATATAACTTATGTAGATCATTACTTATTCCTAATTAGAATATTAATTATATGCAAAATGAAAGACATATTTCATTAACTTATTTACTTTACTACAATTCCATTTTGTCAATTAGGCTGAGCAGAAACACATAGTGATCCTTGACGCTTGTGATGGCCAACTTCCATGACACAGAAACCTAGTAAATCAGTTGAAATTCTTCTTTTTTGGTGTGAAGACTTTTCAGATATTAGATCTGTCATGAGGACGAATGGGTTTTGAAATAAGGGACAAATTCCCCACAACAATTGTATTTGTAAAGTAACTTTGTAGTTGTTTGTATTAGCAAAGAAAGATAACTCTTTGTACAGGTTTATGAAACATGCCTCAAATGGTTGTAGAATAATATGTGTTGTGTTGTGCTTAAACCAAGCTTAAATCAAGCTTAAGCCGAGCTTAAACCTAATATATTGAGCTCTATGTATAGTGATATTAAGCAAGACATATTGTCTCCCCTTTTTAGTCTTTTAATAAGTAATATCGTATGTTAATGATGACTTGTAGATAACTTACCATCTTCACAATTACAAACTTGATTCTTATACCTTGACTACAAAAGCCACCTTTCTTTTATCATTGAAGTTTGTAATTGCAGCGATTTGATTGGATCTTGTGCTACCAAATACAGCCAATCTTAGTCTGAGTCTGTAATCCATAAGCCATAATGTTGAAAGTCTTGATGTTGAGGGTTTTCATTGGCTGTATTCACTAGCGTACAATCCAATCAAATTGCTGCATTCCGTGATACAGAAAGATGGCTATTGCAGTCAAGGTATAAGACAAAGCTTGTAATAGCTTGACATTGTGAAGATGAGCCTCCTGAGAATACCTAATTTATAACTTTATTTAGCTCTTAAAGCCAAAGCTTATTCTAATTAGCAATTAGCTAAAATTGATGGACCAAAATTAGCTCTGAAATCCATGTATTTTGTAAACCACTTAAAGATAGGTTGCCTTATTTTTTTCATCAATGAAAATAAGGGAACCCATCTTTAATAGAAGATTTTTTGCTTTGTAATATATTTGCTTGCTGTAGAGTGTTAGGCCTTATTTGTATATTTTGAGGAAATAATCAAAGTTCTTATTTCACAAAGTCGTTTTGTCAAAATTTTATTTTTTAATATGTCATTCATTGATTGTCCTACCATAATAAATTGTCATAGTTTTAATATATGAATGGATCTGAACTTAGATTTATAAAGAATTAAGTAAGATTTCAGTTTAGAGATAAATGTAATAGAAATTTGTAATTGTAAGTGTTTTGTGTCAGTGTTTCTTATCATCTTATATATAATATATAGAGAATCTTTGACGAGTTCTTATGTAATATTAAATTTATGAAATGTGTTGCCAGATTTGATATTACACTAGCCTCTCTTTAATTATGATCTGTATTCATTGTGTTTTTCTATGATCATCCTTGATTACACTATAGTGATTAGTAGTTGTATATTGGTTGTGAATAATGAAAGTGGTCATGAGTTTGAAACGCAATTTTTATGTAACTGAGTTGTGACCACTTTCATAATGCAATCATACACAACTGGTAATCACTATGGTCGTCACATATTCCTAACGTACCCTCTCACCATAGCAATTACCAGTTGTATATGGTTGTTAATAATGAAAATGACCATGAGTCCAGAACACAACACACAACTCAGTTACATGAGAGTTGCCTTGATACATATGTTATGAGACTATCAGCTAGTTTGATTAAGGGTTAAGTTCAGTTATGAAATTAAGTGATGAGATCATCAACTGGTAGGATCAAGGGTTTTATCATGTAGACTCCACTATCCTTTATTGTTTTATATCAGCTTTTATTTTAATATAGCCACTTCAGTTAGGGTCTTAAGACTGGCCTCTTTTGTCAAAATAACTTTTTAATTTGACAAACGTTTAAGATGGCTGTTGTTAGACCCTAACTGAAGTGGCTATATTAAATATAAAAGTTAATAAACAATAGAAGGAATTAGACTGTGGTATATCATGGTCTCTGTGTATCATATATCTATATTATAACAGTATAAGATGTATGAAATTTTTAAACTATATTGTAATGAAGCTTGTATTATATTTATAATAAATACAATTCTATACCGAGTATTACTTACTCCAGCTCCTGCTCCCGCTCCCAGGTAGTATTACTTACTCCCGGGTAGTATTACTTACTCCCGCTCCTGCTCCCGGGTAGTATTACTTACTTCCGCTCCCAGGTAGTATTACTTACTCCCACAAAGTATTATTTAATGATAGTAATGATAATCATTTCTTTTCAGGGTTACAAATTAATAGTAGCTAATGAAGCTTCCATCATCCTGATCCTTTAGTCAGCCCTAGACTCAGGTAAATAATGTGGTGGTTATCTAAATTAGGGCAGGGTCTATTGTGGGTGTGGGGTAGGGATTGCCAACTTGTAATCTTCTCCACTGTGTCATAACTTTCTAAGTCCACAGCAAGAAAGACGAGACACTTTATCATTAACGTTATGAGGTGCAGCTCAATACGATTGAAGGGAGATAACTACTGTTTTTGTTGTTCAACTAATCAGACCACAATTACATACTATTATTTCATCATGTGCCCTGTATTGAATTCTTTCAGACTATCCTACGATTTGTGTGTAAAATAATGATTCTATTGATTTCCAGACTATTTTTCCTTCAACTTGTGTATTTTCAGGGTCAGCTGGTCAATGATTACAGGAGGTTAGAAGATTGGTTGTCAGATGACAAGTTAACGTTCGCTTCCAGCGGATACTGATATCGCAAACCAGGGTAGAAGATTGGGAATGTATTTAAACAGGTAGGGAACATTGGTTTCGTCTTCTAGGCAAAAAGTTTACCCCACTGCACACCTTAACTGGTCAAATCAGAAGCAGAAAAGTAGGATATCAAGTTCGTATTCATTTGAAATAATAAAAAAAACATATCTCGTACAGAACATTAAATTTCATTTGGCTAAATATACATAAAAATACAGATTTTAATTTTGTGACAGACAGCTTGATAGAAATACACCAAAACTTTTAAAAACAAAGAAAGAAAAAATTAGATAAAAACTACGGTTATTTATTCCAGCATTGAACAAAACATAGCGCCATAGTGTTCGAATCCTGCTGAATTTGATCTCAATTCTTTAGCTTGAAACAAGTATAACTAGTAACACAGTTAAAGAATGAAGCTTGGAAAAGCTTAATTATAAAGCTTGATTATTACCAGCTGAATTTTAAGCTGTAGAAATTTTATTGACTTAAAATATTCCCCAAAGCCTAGAAATTCCCTTTTCCAACATATTATATCTGAATTTAATTATACCATCCTAAAATAAATATACATGCAAAAATGAAATTCCATAACAGCAAAACCCTAACTATATACAATTATAGGGCAAGGGCAATAACTCCTTACAATATTTCAATAAAAACAAAAACAACTCTTTAATTGAAGAACTTGAAAAGTCAAAACTTTATCAATTTGGAACCAGAATTGCATTTTCTTTGACTAAGAAGTCTGTAAGTTTGTTCTATTATTCCTGATAATTCCAAGAAGTTTTCTTAATACAATTCAAACAAAAGATAGGTTTTATCAATAAAATAAGCACTAATTTCAATTATCATCAATTTCAATGAATTACCGGGTTTATAGACAGCAATTGATGCCAAAATATCATTTGATTGCATTTGCTCACTTAACACTGTATAAATATTTTGGTAAGAACAGTTGTCTAATTCTTTTTGAATATTCAAATCGCGTACAACAGTTTCTGAATATCCATAATTTCAAATTCAAATACGCAACTGATTATGCCAAAATATATTTAATACACTACAACTAAGTAAGCACAAATGGGAAATTTGGCAGGTAAAGTTGTTAAATTCATGCTGTTGAAATTGTATAGAAGTTTTTGTATTATTTAGACAATAGTAAATTGAGCATTGAAGTTCATTGACCAGAAATTTCAATAACAGAAACATTTTGAAGAAAGTTATCAAGAGTTTTCAGAATTTGACTGACAACATTCAAATAGTTGATAATAATTTCATCCAAAAAATATAACGCAGAAAAAGAAAATCCACAAAAATTTACACACATTAAATTCGAGAAATTTCATTATAGAAAATTAATTAAATGAAACAAAGCATCTGATTGGTTGAACAAAAATAACATTAAACACCGATTGGATATCAGAAAAATTTAAAAACAAGGCTTTCTATTGGCTGACAAAGGGATTCATTTTAACACACATGTAGTTAGTTAGCGGTCAAACTGGACTGGACGCTTCAAAAATTGGTGTTTGGAACACAGCTTTTAGCAAATATTGATGCAAATGAGAAAGCCAATGGCAGTAAGGCCATTTCAAGGGATGTTGATTCGAAATTGTCTTCACCAACACATCAGCATTGGCAAAATTATAAAATTTTAGCGTTGACGTCATAAAGATATCATTTAAAGCTCCATCCAGACATGACTGGCAAATTTAACTAAAATCAACATCCCTGTTGAATGCTATTTACTAAAACCTGAATCAGAAATCACAGTTTGAGCGCTAGGTTAAAAATCAGCCAATCAAAATAAAATAAAAGAGTCACATGACTATACATGATTTATGTCCGTTATTTTTGAGTTTAAGTCTGGCTTTGGGACGGTAATGCTCAAGGAATGACAATTGCTTTGCATTAATGGCTCCTCTACGCTTTCTGAAAATGAAAAAAAAAACGTTCATATACAACTATTAATAGTAAAATTTATGATATTTATTTGTGGTCTGAATAAGAGATAGTCAAATATAGGAGTTACTTCCCTTCAATCACTCACAGCTGAATATTAGACATTGTAATTTCAAGATCAACTAAGGTAAACTTTGAAGAACTGTTGGGTACTTTGACTACACATTGAAAGCATGAGATAAATGACACTTTGTTAGGAACTGGCCTAACTTTCGCTAAAACCAATGAAACAAAAACTAAGCTAATGAAAGTTGAGGCTAAGAAAATAAAGAGACGTACCCTCGAATGAGTTCTACAGCATCTTCATACTTCATCCCACTCTCCATTAAAGCTAAAGCCACAAGAACTGGTGCCCTGAAACAGTAAAAAGCAATAAGGCATGGAAATTCTCTTCCAAAATTGGCTTGGCACAATGTCAGCCCCTCTTATGCATAGACATGCAAATATTCCACCAAACCTCACTCACTGAAAATTCAGAAAAGAGGTAAAAGGTTAAAGGTTAATGGTTAATTTCTTACCTTCCCAGGCCAGCCACACAGTGTACAGCTACACAACTACCTGGTTCTTCTCGGAATCTAGTCTTCAATAGATTAAACCAATCATCTACCACCGAGGCTGGCGGTGGGCTGCCATCATCAAATTGCCAATCCTGAGATAGAACAGCCGTAGAAAAATCAGGTAATGAAATGAATGGAGTTTAATGTCTTACTATTCTGCACCTTATGGGCTAATGAAGAAAGATAACACGATGCAGTGTGCAATGAAAGAAATTTTGCCAAGACAGCAGCATTAATCTTTTCTGATTTCCGAGTGTCAAGGTTTCATTCCTTTCCCAAAACAATCTGAATCACTAACAATAACTGGATAAAAATCCAATGCAACTCAATTCTGGTTAGAAACCCTGGACCTCTAGATTAGTAGAGTGGCAAGGGTTCCCTTCTAATCTAAAATAAAGGTATACCTACCAGAACACGAATGCCCTCCTGTTCTAGTTTATTTAAAGTATAAGTTGGTTCACAGACTCTCACTACATCTTTTACACCACGTTTGTGTAGTTCCTACAATTAAAAACAAAAATATTACTTAAACAAAGAAAGTTTTTACAAGGATAACAATTTTAAGGGGTTCCTAACCAGCTGGTCCTTGGTCAAACCTCTTGGTAGAAGGTCACCTTCTCATAATTCTAATCGAACCAGCTGTAAATGGGTACAGAAAATCTGGGAAAGATTCATGTCAAGAGGTTTGGTCAAGGACCAGCTGGTAGATTGCAAGACAAGTCCTTTCATTAAAATCTCATCCACAGCATGGCAAAATTGAGAGCTTAAGTTGTATAGTAGTTGACTCATCTAAAGAGAAGTACCATCAGGTGTTTCCAAAAGAATAATCATGATATAAGACTTACCTCAATGAATTTATCAATAGTAGAATCTGTTGGACGATCCATGATGAGGAATCTCATGTTTTTATATTCTATTTCAGCTGGTTCTGGTCGTCGAGCCTTCATTGCTGTCATAATACTATATACGTACACAAAGGGAAAGAACTCTAGATACACTCAAGGGAGAGAACTGTTACAGTCTAAGAGGTAATTACTCAGAGGTAATGAAACAAAGGGAAGATCACTCTATTATTACCAGTAATGTCTGTCAAGGGAAAGAACAGTGTCTATCTAAAGGGAGTTAATTCAGGCACAAATTAGAATTTACAAAAATAGCTTCTAAGGAAATGAACGCAATGAGTTATATAAAAATGAACATGAATTTCTAAATTCAAAATGAGGTCACAGGTACACGAAATCACGATTAAACACTACTATCACACGTATGATCCAAACGACACCAACTTTTAAAATATATTCCAGATATTATATAATATATACGCTAGTTACTTGAACACCTTATTTCTGTTACTATGACGATGCTATCTAGTTGAAAGACACGAGGGTCAAAGTTCAACAATATTGAAATGTTGTTCTGTCGCTTTGATTTACCCCATTCAAATAGAATTATTCGGGGCCTGGGATGATCTCCGTGACTAACCCAGTTCCAACTAATTTCTGGAATTTTTCCCAAGAGCACCTTAAGTTATGGAAGGTCAAGGTCGTTCACTATGTTACGCCGCGATTCTTCACCTCAGTAAATTACTCGTGCTGTGCCTGGCAGTAGTCTCCGGTTCCTTGTACAAACTCCATATATGGATGCTCCAACTCACACCCAAACTAAAAATAGAAAAAACAATACGGAATTAAGATTAAAACAAGTGAGATTCTTACATTATTCAGGCATTTTAAACTTAGAATTCATTGTCCCTTTGTCACCATCTTCACACTCAGGCTATGAACTGTGTCTTATACCTTGACTGCAACAGCAACCTTTCCTGTATCACATAATGATTGGAATAAACGCCAGCAAATACAGACAATCAGAATCTTGACAGTAATACTGGCTTAAGAAAATCATTTCCTTTGACTTGAATTTGTAACATTTAAGAGAGTTCACTTGCCTAATCCACACAGATAAATTTCAACCATTGCCCACTTCAATAAAAATCCTTCAAAAGAATAACTTAACAAGAAAGTTGCTTCATTCTTATTCAAATCAATCAATCAATCATATTTCACGACAAGAGGAAGTAAGCGTTGGTTTTACAAAAATATAAGGAAATTTACGGCAGATCTGTATGGAGGTGACACCTCTCTAATCCTGGGGCACATCTGTGACAAGCAATCCATGTAAAGTCATGTCTATATTTAGTAACTTGACATCACTTATTGACATTTGATTGACATTGGATATTGACCCATTATGAGTGATTTATACCATTGCTGCATTGACAAACTTCCGTGGCAGTCCCTCTGGCCTGTATCACTGACAGGGGGGAAAATAAATATTCAAAGGTATTATCTGGACTGGTAATGAAATGTGTTTAATGTTGGCAAGGTATTAGACAGAGTTGGTAATAACTTGACATTGTAAAGATGAAACTGTGTATTAAGTACAGTCTGTATTATAATAAGATAAACAGATATATAGATCATGTTTAGACCAAATAACATTACATATTTTTGGCATTGATTACTTGCCAGTATCTGCGATCTGCATCAAATGAAATAAATTGTGTTTTTGCGTCTTAAAATTCTTCATACACTACTATATACTAGTATGCTACATGCTGTGCACGTTAAAAGATTCTTCAACAATTGTAAATCAGAAAGAGTAGGCTTATGTCGTGCCCTGGCATTTAACCTCATTTCCCACTGAATTGATTGACAATAAATGTGACTTTATGACCCTTCAATTTGGAATTATTCTGCAAAGATATGATAATGGCCCTTTTTCTACGATACAATACAGTAATCTGATTGGACAATATGACTTAATTAAAAATCAAGTTTGGTGATTGCCCAATCAGATGACTGGACACTAAAATAATCTAAAGTAAAGTTTAACAGAATAAGGTCCCAGTGTATTGGTGTATAATGAGTTCAGTATTCATGAAGATTAAAAGTTAATTTAAAATCTGTTTGTGTACGATATATATTGATTGTAATGTTCTATATTAGAATAAAAAACAGAAATCAATTATAATTTAAATTCAGTGAGTGTAAAGTAATGATAAGTAAAAAACCTGTAAGAGTGATAGATATCAATTGCTTGACAATATCTTCCACGATATGTCAATAAATATTAAAGCGACAAAGTCATATAAATATTGTCTTTAATTATATGATACTTTAAGCTTTTGTGATAGTGAGTTTGTCATTGGTGGCTTGCTAATACACACAAATAAACACTCGAATACACTTAGAACTTACAACTGGCAAAAACAGCCTCATCAATAGCCCTGATATAAAGAATAAGTACCGGGTATATAAAAACTGAGTATATATAAGCTTGAGGTAATTAGAAACAAGTGTTAGGTAATGTTATTAAGACTGGTAACTATTTGGCAAGGAATGATAAAAACAACAGATTTACAGTCATCTTCACAATGTCAAACTATTACAAACTTCATCTTCACAATGTCAAACTATTACAAACTTCATCTTCACATTGTCAAACTATTACAAACTTCATTTTCACAATGTCAAACTATTACAAACTTCATCTTCACATTATGAAGATGAAGCCTGTGTCCCTACTGAAGTTTGACAAGTAGAGATCTTCAGACAACTGATTTATTTCAGCCTGTGTTCTGTTTCACATAAAGAAAAAATCTTTTCATTCACTTACTTTCTAGAACTTTGACAAGCTCAACTGTGAAGTAACATTAGGTGTTCTATAAAAATCTGTAATACTGTACTTCAAATAAAACGAACTTACAAATGTCAGAGCAGTTTAATAAATGACAATTTGAAATACAAGATAACGCAAAACGAAATATGAAATTTTCCTTGTTAGAAATTCCCTTAGTTTGAATTTCAATATCATTATAAAGTTATAGCCCGTTACACAAACAATGATCACATTATGAATGACATACTTGTCTCTATACACAAGCTGTGAGGTTACAGGTGAGAGGTCGTAAGGTCAAATGACTAAAATACCAGTAGTTAAGTAGAGCGTTAGTAGTTAATGTCATTCATTGGGATGTCTTTTAACTACCTTTCATACCCTGGTGACCGCCCAATAGTTTAAATTCTTGATAACTATGACTTTCCCCGAGATTCGATGAGGCTGCTCTTCTTTGGGATTCGCTGGCCCACAATTCATCATTGTTAACACAAATTGGGTCAACATTTCCTCATACATTGACATTCAAGAAAGCATTAAATCTTGTGGTCTAGTCCTTTTAAACTAATGTGAGTACAGTGAATGGTACCAGATATCACCTGTATGTCATGTGACTAAAGATATATTAAGATATGACTGACAAATATTACTAAGCTTATATATTCAACCATCTGACAAATTTTAAAGTAAATTTAGACATTATGACATCAATAATGATTTATGATCCCACTAAGCTGTAGACTGCTGATCGCACTGTATTTACCAGTCACAGATTAGCCAAGCAAGTCCAGCTGCAGTTCCTTTCATGCCTGTGTTTCAATCTTGTTTTACAGACAATTCAACCAATGACATTTTATAAGATTCCTTATAAATTAAGAACTGTTAGATATTAGGAAGGCCATGCAGTCTGCAATGGTGGAAAATTTTTACAAAAGCTTCAACATCAGTTAAAAACCTGACTTTCATATGCAGTCTAAACTCATAGCCATTTTACATCTCAAAAGAAAAAAGAAGACATTGTGTTTGTTTTGGGAATATTTCTCACCAGACTGTAGCTGACCTATTGATCTTTATTGACCCACTGACATTTGACCTATATCCATAGTGGCATGAGGTAAAGTAAAGGTAACCTAACAATAAATAAACAATTTGTTTGTTTCCCTGTCTCACTGTCTCTCCAAAATTTAGTCCATTTAACAACACAAAATATAATGAAATAAATGGAGTTTTACGTCCTACTTTTCTGCACCTAATTGGGCTAATGAAGACAGCAGCACCATGCAATTTTGCCAGGACAGCGACATTAGCCTGCATAATTATGTAGCCATTCAGCTGATAATTTTCCCTCATCTTGTTCTAGCAAATAAGAGATTTGAAAAACTGTCATACTTTTTGAATAACTTGAAAGAATTAGGTTGTTGATCTAAGGCAATCAAACTCTAACACCCTTGTAACAGTATAATGATAGTGATGAAGGTCATGTCACTATAACTTGTTAAAATATAAAAACACTAGAAACATACAGTAATAATAAAACTTCCTTGTGTTCTAGTTAATATATCATCTTTCCTTCTCAACAGAGACATGTACTTCCTAGTACAGACTGCATGTTCAAGATCCCTTCACAATGACAGCCATTTCCCTCATTGCAAACTGCTTGGTGTTGTCTTTTTATTATATCAATTTGACTTCTCAATAGATACATGTAGAGACAAGTACAGACTGCACTAAGGATTCCTCCAAAGTTAAATATTTAAAAAGATTGAAGCCATACAACTAGCAAGATTTCACTCAATTGCTTAGTGTTGCATGTGTACGTACATATTTAAGACTCCTTGAAGATAAAAATAAAAGAAGACAAGGAAAACGCCACTTTCCAGGCAAAGTTTCTTTCATTTCAAAAATGTGCTTGCGGTGCTTATTTCAATTTGACCTTGGACCTCATTCAAAAGCTATAACAAATTAAGAGTGGCGAATAGACCCTGTTTAGACATGAAGCAATATTTGAATATTTCTTATTATGAGAATAGTAAATACACCCCTTGACTTATGAATGAATTACATTTTAAGTTGTATCACGAGTGAACGAACACCCACGCTCAACAGGGTCCCATTCATACTTTGTCTATTAGACATTACGAAATACTGAATGAATGGAGACGAGTTCTTTTAAGGAACACGCCCCAATACAAACATAATTCATTTTTACTTTATGAAACTAAAAGGAAAATCAAGAATGGGTTTACCTTCAAATTACACCATGAAATTCCTGGACTTGGTAAATAACAACTATATTTGACCCTTACGCAATACCTAGATAACACAATATAATATAATAGCCTTTATCCTATATCAGATTACTAATATAACATACATCAAACCTTAACACCACTCCTACACTCTCCTTTATTCATCTAAACTGAGATCCCTGTGTGACACTTGCTTTGTATTTTAAAGATCCCTGATAGTTGGAAATAAAAGAGGTAGGTTAATGTGGTCCTGGCATAATTTCTCTCATTGCACACTGCATGAGGATACCAGTCCTCATTTCCCAATACATGTAGAAAAGTAACATGTAGACTGGGCACGTTAAAGAGCCCTCGACAGTTGCAGTCCTGGCAAAATTTCCCTCATTGGATACTGCATGGCAATACCAGTCCTCAATTGTCAAATAATATTTATTTCAGTCTGTCTCCCTGGGTCAGGCTGAACAAAAATGTAAAAAAAAATATCTGTCATTAGGTGAACAATTTGTGGTCTGATTCCATATTTGGAACTCTCTAATTAAAAAGTGCATAATTAGTCTAATTTGGCTGCAGAAGTTAAACAAGATGGCTGCCTTTATGAAAAAAATACCTAAATTAATTAGAAGCCAAGGAAACTAGGCCTTTATAACTGTAATTATATTTTTTTCATCTTTTTGATCCTTGAAACAAATCAAGAAGATATAATTCTTTAAAAAAAACTTCCATAAAATAAGGTTTAAATAGCTGTTTTGAGATAAAAGGTTGGGCAGATTCAAAACACAGAAACACTGACCTGGGACTATAAGCTTGTACAACTGGTCAACTAGTCCATGTTCTGTTTAAAGAGTTCAAAATCATGCTGCAAGCACAGGGCAGAGAATGCTTAACCTTCCTCTTTCCTGATTTGCCTTTTTATCAGATCTTTAGAATGTTCCAGACTTTTATGATGTTTGCCAGGTCTGTCATTTTCATTTGAGGACTTTTGCCGTTCTAATTTGTTTAGTACGGTGGACTCTACTTAGTTTTTGCTTGTCATGTTTAATATCTTTATCAAAGCATTGATCCATGAATGATTTGTAATGGTTGGTCGATCAGTTCAGATGACAAGTAGGGCTCAGTAGAGTTAAAAGGATTAAGTGCCCTGTTTTTTTAGTAATAGGGTCAATAGCCAGTAGCTAATAGAATGTAACAAGTTAATCCCTGGTTAGATTACTGACTTATTATACCATTATCACCTGTACAGGCACCTGGCTTCTTTATCCTTTCTCTTCAACTAGGACTGTTGGTTTATCTGGATTTACCAGTCATGTCTCATTTTCAATCAATCTTCGAAGTTCCAAAATGACTCACTGCTAGGTCGATCTTTTGGATATTTTCAGTGCAAATTTTGTTAGATTTTAGGTTTTCTCAATGAAAATTGGTACAAGATCAGTTCTAAAATAAACAGCCCTGCCCCGAATCCATCTGTGCAACAATAAATTAGTCTTTGAGCATGTTAATAAAAGGCAAGGCATAAAATTGAAAATAAAACTAACTTAAATGGATTGTAAAGAGAATATCTAAATTCCTTAAGTGAAATTGGGGATGGTGGAAATTGATGTTATCAGTGTCCCTGGTAGTCATAAATAAATTAGAAAACCTCTTACAATCACTTTAAAATTTCTCTTCATTCCATCAAAATGTCTTAAGTCAAATTGGAAATTAACTCAATTTAAAAACCATGCAATATAAAATCTCACTCCACTGATTGGATACAGAAAGCAAGAAATAAATCATGGGGGTGGATCTTGTGTTGACAGTGATTTGACTTTCTAAATGTCACATTTCATCCAAATGTCAAACAGTCATTGAAATATAAAAATCTCATATAACAGTGAAATTGTATTGTCAGCTTTTTATACCTTTTAGACTGGAATAGAATAGAAATGAAACTATGAAATGATCAGCATTAGGTTATTATAACTAATGAGGATTTTTAATAGGCATAGAAATTCTTCATTAGTGAAAATTGTCACACAAGTTGACTTGTTAAATATAGATCCACATAAAGATGTAACAAGTGTGAGGGAGTTTTCTACATCTGGCCTTTGATCCATAATACAAATATTAAAATCACTGTGACTAAATTGGAACTTAATTAATAGATGTATGCCCACAATTCTTGTGCTATAGTGAAATTAGCCCAATTCTGGCCATAAGGAAAATTAGTGAGTTCAATACTTTAAATTCAACAGTAAATCAAATTGAGCATTTGAGCTACCCAGGGTAATAAGTATAGGTACAAAATCCCAATGGATATCAACAAGTCAAAATAAATGACCATGTGACCTTTCAAAAAAAAAAAACAATACAGTTAAGCTAATATAAAAGAGATTAAATTGAGCATTTAAACTACCCAGGGTAATAAGTAAAGGCACAAAATCCCAGTGAATATCAGCAAGTAAAAATGACTAGATGACCTTCCATTAACAATAAAACAATGTACCGATACCTTTCTACACTGATTAAATGAACTATAACTAGTTATAGCCAGTCAATAATATTTATTTTATTGCCAATATCCTGATCAATATAAAACATATCACTACAAGTCAATTAGAGAACTAAGTAACAGTTCGTTAGCCACGGTGTTTGGTATTAACAATAACAAAGTGTAGGAAATTCATGTCTTCATTTAAGATTTGAACGAAATTTAGGGGGCAAACCACACACGGCCACACAGCTTCTTGCATTTTGATGATTTATCTAGTCAGACAAGATTTGATCTGGTTGTATCTCATGATTTTGACTAGTAGTAGTGATGGGTTTTGTGTGAGAAGCAGACCATGCTTACTCTTTTCAAAACAAGTGATTGTAACATCTTGATTAAGGAGTCCACTACTATACCATTATTGTGATAAAAAGTGTCCTTTATTCCATAATAATTGCCCTGTCTTAATATTGATCTTGCCTGGATTATCTGTACCTATTTACTGCCGAGTTGACCTGAGAGATGACTTCTTTATAGCCATTATATTAACTCATTTTTATAACCAGATTAGCTAGCCTTCACTTCATCAACATCTCTCTCAATTATACATAGCTCTTTAGCTTAATCCTACCAGGGTGATTTATATATTGATCTTGGTGTGCTTTAAACGACCAACCAAGTTGATTCGAAACTGATTTTGACTCATAAATTGGCTACATTTATAATCAATTCATTTGAATTTATACAAGAAATTTTTAGCTCTTAGATTTTTAAGGAGACTGAAGACAGTACGAACTGTGTCATTGTACTGTAGCATCAAGTCTTTCAGACTCTTTGAAATCTGTCTATAATTTATGTCAATGTCCACTTTATTTTGAATCACCCCCCTCCCCCAAAAATATTTAGTAATATATTGAATTTTGTTACCCTTGTGTTAATATTTGAGTTACTCACGCCGATCACTACACAGCAAGCTTTTCATCTTGTTCATTCATTCATTCATAGAACATTTGCCGAGTCAATGAACTTTTGTTTGTCGAAATGACAAAATTCCACGCCATTTTTAAACGATCGCTGACCAGAAAACAATGAAAAAAATGTAAGATCGTATACTCACAGCGTTAACGTCGCACATTGAATGTCTTGTATGAATAAAAACTCGCTCAAGTGGCGAGAAATGCACAAAATATGATAGAAGATATCCGAACGTGTTCTTGCTTTCAAGAAAATGGCCGCTGAAATGTGACGTCACGAGATATGGAATGTGGGCTTTTTGCTCACGTGATCTTGGAAAAACTGCGTTTTTATCCGAATATAACTTTCAGATGTCTTGGACACGAATTTTATCAGAGTGTCAGTCTTAAGATTCAATCGATAATGTTTTCTTGTGTCTTAGAATTGCATCAGACGGATCTGTCACGCGATTGTGTAATGATTTATGTTTGTCCTTCATAATTAATAAACCGAAAGTAGCAGTATGTTACTAAATATAGACCAATTAATTAAAGAGATTTGTCCTGTTCTGTCAATGTGGAGATGTTTAAAGGGATGGTGAACTTTGATTTCGATTTTAGGTCGCTGACCGCCTATGAATTGGTTTGTTTGATATCTTCTTCAAAATTGTCAAATTAATTGCGTACTTTTCAAGTTCCAGACAGCAAAAATCCTTTAATTCAATGAATATCTACTAGGTTAGCAATATCATGTGGACTCTGGAGAAGGGAAAGACACTGCTGAGTGGCACCAGGTTCTCTTTAAGGTCGAGCATAACAAGTTTGCTCTTAAAGCTGACAAATAAAACTGACAAATGGCAATGTCTATACAAATTTCAAACAACTTCTAGCCCCAAATGAGGTTTTTTTTAGTCGCTAAACACCGTCCACATTGTAATTTACTGTAAAGATTTATAAGACTAGAAAACCTCTCTACAACCCTTCTAATATGCAGATCGCAGAGTCGATTTAAAGGGGTGACCTTGTGATACGAATCGACTTGTATGATGAAATGAATGGTACGAAACGTCTCAGTGAATTCTACTTCCGTTCAAATTTATCATCCAATCAGATTATTTGTTTACGTTGTCAGCACTTCCGGAAACAAAGTCAGACTTGAAATAGTTTTCTTTTTATGTTCTTGGTGGAATTTTGTAAGAATAATTTTGAATTGTTAACTGTTAAATAAGCAAAAAGTTCTTTCTAACGAATTCTCATACGCGATTCCAAAGCTACGAAATGTTACGATCGGTAAATTAACGTAGCACAGATTGCTGAGATTCAAAGACCTCCAACCCCCCACCCCCCTCTCAGACAAACAGTGATTACACCCTTCTTTAACCTCGCCTATGTTTTGCTTACTCAATTATTCCATTCTGTAGATGGTCTTGGTATCAGGACTGTGTGGTTCGGTACTGTTGTTGCTGTTTTGCCCCTCCCAGCTTCCAGTTGTGCTATCTCAGCAATGAGATCTGTGCTGGTGGTTCTCTGTCCTACTTAGGTAATGAGTTCTTAACCTCCTTTCCAGAAACATCTCCAGCCTAATAGAGACCAGAATTACTAATTAAGAATGGCAGTGAGGCATTGAGAAATACCGAAGAATAAACTGTAAACTGAGTACACAATGACATCTAATGTCAAAATGAAGCCAAAAGTTATTCCTAGAGTCAAAATCATCAGCATGGGAAATGCTGAAGTTGGAAAGGTAATCATTATTTTATATTTTATGCTGATTGTAATCTTGTAGGCTACATGCTGATAATTTTATATGGCGATTATAGCTGTTTTTGGGAATGCACAAGAAATACATCACAATGTCAAGCTATTACGAAGTTTGTCTAATACCTGACTGCAATGGCCACCTTTCATGTGTCTTAGAAGTATATGAATTCAGCCAAAAGACCCTAGTTACGACCCTGAAATTATTATATAGTTATTATATTTGTAGAGTTGTATAATTAAGAGGTATTGCGAGAAGAGGTTTGTTAATAAATATCTAGCTACTATTGGTATAGATTATGGTGTAACTAGGTAAGACACGTACTCCCACTCTCAGCTTTACTCTTTCAGCTCAATTTCATTAATTTGTTGACTGTAAGAATTATAAATTACTGCCTTTGATGCTGTCCTATGACAGCTTCCTCCCATCATGATTGAACATAAATCAGGATACTTATAGTGTACTGTATCACCTTGCCACTACATCTATATTTAATTGTAGACATACCAACTGGAAAGTTATCCTGATAGCTGAAAACAAGCTCTTGGGAAGCAAATAGTTAAACAGTTGTAACTGATTAGGATTTGGTGAATTTGAGCTCATGAGCTTACAGATTACAAACCTTTTCAGACTTGTTGATATTACTTGTATGTTTTCTGTAATAAATGGGGTATAATGCAGACTTGTTTTATTTAAATTCAGGGTAACTATTAAAGATAAAGAAGTCAAGGTCAATATATTTGATATGGCTGGTCATCCTATATTTTATGAGGTAATTTCTTTTCTCTTTTCTTCAGTCCTAGTTCAGCCATTGATGTTCAGCATTTTGTTCAGTCTTTTAAACACTGAGTGTAAATGAAATAAAATATCATATACCCTGAAGTTCAAGGAGCGATATTGATATATGACATACTAGAGTGTTCACATGGCTAATTGTGTATTAATTTGTAGGTTCGTAATGAATTTTATCGAGATACACAAGGAGCGATATTGATATATGATGTATCAGAGAGAAGTAGTTTTACGGCCCTAGATGATTGGATGAATGAAATGAAGAGTGAGATTGGTAACCATGGTGATATGGACAATATGATTGTATGTGTGTGTGCTAATAAGGTAAAAATATGTCCCCATGACAGACATTGAAACTTTTCTGAAGAATGGAGGTTTATGGTAAAAGGGGGTGAAAACCAACGCTTGGCAGACTCTCTGAAGCACAGGCATCAGAATTTTCCCTACCTCTTAAACCAATGGAACTGATCCCCCAATCTGACGACAATCCAATTCTCTACTGAGCTATTTACATGCAACGAAGAACAGTGTTCCAACCCAGCGTTAGGATATCATCTTTGTTTCAAAAGGATTCTTAAACTAGCTGGTCATGGATCAAACTTTGTGAAATTATCTTGAGCATATTATTGGATATATCTTATTTTTCAGATTGATAAAAAGAGGGTAGTGGATGAAGTTGAAGGGCGTTTATGGGCTAGTAGTCATGGTTACCATTATTTCGAGACATCTGCTCAAAGTGGAGAGGGTGTCAATGAATTATTCAAGGTTGGCTGCCATTTTGAATTTGTGAATTCAGGAATATTAATGCCTATAAACCTTCATGACTTTCTCGCAGGAGGAAGTAACAATCCATTTCATTTCATAAACCCAAATTGGAACAGAAAAATGTGGCATTTAACACCATTTTGTAAACCTAAACAGAAGTAAAACTCTATTTCACTTCATTTCCAAATCTAGAGCAGCAGGTCATCTTTTTAAAAGATTAATCTGAAACAGAAAAGTAGAAAGTTAAACTCCATTTCATTTCCTTGTGGTTTATTAATAAAGGGAGCTAATTTTCATTGCAGACATTGTTAGAAGGAGTAATAAATACGATAGATAATGGCGGACAGAAGTTACCGACGGTTACCCAGCTTGGTTACAGTAAAGAACAGATAGATGCCATACAGAGGCTGAAAAATTCAAAGTCAGATTACGAACGTCTGGGTTTAACGACGTCTGCTACAAAGTAGGTTTATATTTTTTACACCTCTATCCTGATGAGGGTTTAATTATCTGAAACACGTATTGAGTCAATAACCTGATATTAAGTTGTGTATTGAAAGTTTATTTCCATTTATAAAGATAGCTGTCCTGATGAGGGTTATATATCTGAAACACATGTCGTCAGCATGAGATGAACGGACATTTAAATGGAATTTCTGCTTTTTTTCCAGAGATGACGTAAACAAAGCGTATAGGAAACTGGCGGTATTACTACATCCTGATAAAAGCGTGGCGCCAGGAAGTGAGGAGGCATTTAAATTACTAGTCGCAGCACGGACTAATTTATTGAAGCGATGCTAGTTTTGTTTTTAAAAGCGTGGACAAAAATCTCACACAGGCTTTTTAGACAATGCACCATTTATCTTATCTAAAATAGCTTAAAGAGATACATTCACAAACTGTTTGAACAATCGTACCTTAATCTCAGAAACAGGTATTTTTTAGCTAAACTAATCAGTAAAAGTGTTCGCATTTTCACCGCCAAATTTGCATTGAAATCCATGTGTGTCCAGAATTATCTGCGTTTGAATATTAAACTGACTAGTGGTTTTTCTTTTAAAGACACTGCCATATATAGACAAGACATATATAGAAAAAGAAAGTAAACTTCTTAGTTAGAGATATTTTTGAAGGGATTATGCCATTTTCGTACAATTCTAGTCCTTCTGAGGACTATTTATATTATATTCAAGATCTAAATCTACCCCCAAAAAAGCTGACAATCAAGGAAACAAACACACTTTGTAAGCAAAGCACTTGTTTGCCCATAAGCTTAATAGAGTTACTCCCCTTATTATCATTTGTGTCTTATTATTAATCCGTCCATGTAATTTTGTTCTAAGAAACTACTCAATCAATCGAAAGTTATGTAACGGCTGTGTACATATTCATTTATTTAACATATTAAAGGGAAGAAATTGTATTTTTTCGTGAATCCAGACACAGTTTAATACATCCTTTAGACCTGTCAAAGGTGTGGCCAACTGTTGTAGGAGAAGAATTTACCTTAAGGGTTTTATATGGTTCCAAATTTAAAGCTAGAAATAAACTCTATGCAGTGGATGTTATTGGAATGTCCATTGTTTTGGGGGTGCGAGGTGTTATGCCAGGGGTGTGAGGGGTTCAAATGATACACCAGGGGTGTTAGGGGTTCAAATGATACACCAGAGGTGTGAGGGGTTCAAATGATACACCAGGGGTGTGAGGGGTTCAAATGATACACCAGAGGTGTGAGGGGTTCAAATGATACACCAGGGGTGTGAGGGTGGAAAAAGGAAGGATACACTGTATATGAGAATTTATAACCTCTGTGTTTCTTTTAGAACTCTGGCAATGGCTATGAATTCATTTTGAATTTTATGAACATAAAGGGAAATAACTTTTCTGCATGACTAAGTTACTTCATTGCACACAGCATGGCTTGGCTTTCTTCTCACTTTGGGCATGATTTTATGTCTTCTATAACCAAAAGAGGGACAGGATAGTTGGATTTTTTGGGTTCTTTTGGAGGTTTAGTGTATCAGGTTTTAGGCCGTTACATGCTAAAATTTCATTGTTGGTTATGGGTTACGGACATCTTCAAAATGTCACGATGTGGAACTTTGTCTTATACCTTGACTGCAATAGCCACCCTTCTAGTGTCAGCGAAGTTTGTAAATTCAGCCATTTGATTGGATGGTATGCTTTAATCAGGGGTCATGATTGGTTGTATTTTTAATCCAATCAAAGGAAAGAAGATGGTGTTTATTTTTAATATTGATTTAATAATTGATTATTTATAATGCTGAGACAGGTATGAATATCAAAATACAACAAAACAAAATCTTAAAGCAATTAAATAAATAAATTATAACAGTATAGCCCTGCTATTAAAACCACATTTGAATTTTACACGATTCAACAGTGTTACCTCTGTAATGTGGCCATTCTCGTACTATAACCAATAATAACTTTTAAAGGATATATTTTTTATATCTTCTACATAATGATTATGACATATAACGAATAAAGTCAAAGGTTGAATTTAAATATTTAATAATAGAAACTAAAAGAGTTAACCCAATACCAATTAATAAAGATGATAAAAACGTCATAAAGTACATTCTTAAATATAAAAAATTACTCTGTTTATCTACAACAAAAATGTTATGAATTACCCTATACTTAAGCATTTCAATTATGAGACAGTTAAAAATCATACTTTTGCCATGGATAGCCTTCCATAAAATTAACGTTAGGAAATGTTTTGGCACAGATGCACTTCCATAATGAAATGAAATGACGCTTGCAGTTTTTGTAATTTTAAAGTGGCTGTAAAATAGATACTGATTTCTTTTCGCTTTAAATATGGTTATAATTTTTCATTTATTTACTATCTTGAATAATGACATGAAATTAGTAAGTGTGTGAAAGGGGAGAAGGGGCGTTTTTTTTTTTGCGGTAAGCTTGGATAACATGACAATTTCTTGAATGATTTGGACAAAATGGTATCATTTGTAGGTACCATTTAAAATTTTAACGAATTATTCTTGATGATTTTAGACAATGGAAAACTTAATAACAAATCAAGTCTTTGCCCATTTTTCTGCGTCGTTTTTCAGCATAAAATTTGAATTCCATCGCCTGCATCTTCTGTCCTAGATCGGTATTGATTCTGTTGCCATACATGGCTGAATTGGTGTTAGGAACATTATCAGAATAAAGAGCGACCTTCTCTGGCATTTCTTCTTTTTGTTTCAAATTACCCTGAAAAATATACAGATATAACATAGGAGACCATCTTCACAATGTCAAGCTATTACGAATTGTATATACACGTATGATGATGATGATATGGGATGGTAATCTGAAGTTGGGTTCTGTAACCTCAGCGCCAGCGTATGGAGGCAAAAAATAGTAGATGGGTGGGATGGATTTGTGATTGGATTATCTGCTTGATGATTTGATCTTCTATGTTACGGAACCCACAATAAATATACATGTACCAGTGGTTTGCATGCAATACAGCAACTGTTCGATTGATTATGATGCTATGATTATACTCACCCTTGCGTCATAATCTGTTAAATATCCCCAATCATGGCTCCTGAAATTATAAAGGGGCATTGATAATTTCTAGAAAGGGTGGGGTGTCAGGTCCGGAGCAATGAATATTATAAAGGGGCATTGATAAGTCAGTTTAATTTGGCATGTGATTGGGATAGTCGAGACCTTGTGTTATTATTATCGTTTTGTTATTAAAGAACCATGTGTTTCACTTTCAGGTGTCTCATTCAATAAGCTTCAAAGTTATTTCCCTTTGACACTTTAAAGTTAGCCTAGATCAACTCACCAATTTTTTCTGCAACGTTTTTCACTCTGAACATTTTCTGTCCAAATTTTATTTTGGGTTACACCATCGCAGCCTCTATAATCTCCTTCAGTGTGATTCTTTGCTGGTTGAGCGGCCTTTGCTTTCGGGATGCAACTGTCGTGGTGGGCACTAGGACGAGAAACGTTAAATTGATAATATCTTAAAATTGCTGTGGGCATTGAAATTATTTTACAGACTTTAAATTCCTTAATCCTTAATCATTTTGATTGTGAAGTCAGTTAGACGTTTGGATTTTTTGGAGACGACGCCTATCGTTAGTAATATGTGCATTTGGACAATGTCAAGCTATTACGTATTTCGTCTTATACCTTGACTGCAATTGTAGGAGTAATTGTGTCAAACGTTTTTGAATTTCTCCTCTGTTAGCCGTCTGTTTTTATCCCACAAATTCGTACAGATAATATGTTATTTGAAACCTCCACTCGCACTCCCCTCCCCCCCAAAAAAAACCAAAACACTATATTACAATGTATAAAAATTACCTTTTTGGTCGATTAGAATAAGAAAACAATACACCCGAAACCTGTTCCGTCATGTTTAAAACACTTAATCCAAAATACAGGTGAATTGATCTAAACGGGTATGATATATCAACAATAATCCACAGTTACAACTGGGCGTTATATACCCCAGTTGATCAGGGCGTTATAATTGATATACCTCAACAGTATCTAATATTCCACAGTAGTTAATTAGCGCCAATTATCTCAATATTTCATTGTCAGGTAAATAATTCATAACATAGTCACTATCGCCTAGTCTTTTATTACATATCGTTCTCTATTGTAGTCTTGGTCAATAGGCAATTAATCGATCAATACGTTTGATCTTTCAAGAGTAAAATGACTTGTTAGATTCTTGGATTTCAACGCGATCGTTTATCTCGACTTCGATTTGTTTAGGCCTAGTTTGGTCGGTGGCCAAAAGCCCATTAAATATATTTCTGAATATTCTTATACCTGGACGAATTTTGGCAATTTTCACTGAAAATTGTGCTTGACCACTTTCGAAACTGAACCATGTCTTTCCTAAAATCTCTCACCACACCACCTCCCCAAATAAAAACTTATCTTTTTTCTTGAATTATTAAAATTTTCTATTATACTTACGGAAACATTCCTAAAAGAAAATATTCAGTATATAATCCCAATTGCCTTATAGATAATCCTTTGTAGAATTTCTCAAAATTAGTTAATCCCTTTTCCAAATTGTTCAAAATAAAAATGGAAGTTTATTTAATCCAAGGAACAAAATTTGATTCTGTCCAATCTACTCGTGCAACTCACGAAACTGAATTACCAGGCCTAATGGAACTTTGATTACATATTGCCTTCAAGCCTATGTCACACTGGCTCTTGATTCCAATTTTAGCAGCAGACAAACCCAAAGTAAGTTTCCTATTCTGAGAAGTGTTACGAACATTTGCAATGGATTGGGAGGTCCCTATTTCCTTTAAATTTATCATGGCCTTAGTCTGGATTACCTATACCCATTGTGTTCCGATATTCCAACCCCTAGCTCACCCACTCTTCGTTAACCCCCTCACCCTCACCCTCTCCACTTCCAGTCAACGTTGTTAGACAAGGCCTAAGTTCAGTTGAATAATCACCTTACTTTGTCCAATACGGTCTCCCTAAACCATCCGTTTTTGCTTCCCAATTGCGGTCATAAAATAACGGTACATATGGTTATAGGGTATGTCCAAGTGTAAACAAGGCCTTAGTATAGTTGAATAATAGATTAACTTTAAGACTGTTGTTACCAGTCAACAATTCATCGAACTTTCTTCATCGATTTTCTTGTACTTATTGATTTTGCTTCAATTAATTTATTTTATATCGACTCCGAAACCTTTCATCTTTAAGACATTTTTATGGTAACTTTTGAGACCTTAGCGACATTTAAGGCATTTTTCGTTTGAGATATTTTGGATATTTAAAGGCATTTTTCGTTTGAGATATTTTGGAACTTTGAGACATTTTTCATTTGAGATATTTTGGATATTTAAGGGCATTTTTCCTTTAAGATTTTTGGCACGTTTAAGGCATATTTCGCTCGAGTTATTCTAAAAAATAATTCATTTATACTCTACCTTTGTTTGGCAGCAAGCATATACGTTGGTCCCGACATTTTCACTGGCGTTTGTTTCTGTCCTAAAGATAAACACACACGAAATATATTAAAGAGAACTTTTCGAGTATAATTCACTTTCTTAAATTCCCTTTTTACGAGGACGTCACACTTTAAGATGTATCTATCTGGAATATTGGCTAACTTTTATGACTCTCAGTTCATCCAGTATTCAAGTTGGGTTTCCTCTTCAAAATTAATTTGCAAATATCCCAATGGTTCTTCAAGGTCACGAATATCTTTAAGAGTAAAGGGTATTCCAGTTTAAATCACCTCAAAAGTTCCACAAATTCGCGTTCTTCTGTACAGATGTAAGGCTTTCAGTGAAAAACTGAATCGTTAGTGTTTTAACTCCCTACTGATATTTGACAATAGCTCACCTATATCTCTTTATAATAACGATTTATTGTAAGGCGATCCCATTGTATCTATTCTATAATCTATATAATCTACCGTTGTTAGGGCTAGATACAATGGCTAAATTATAATAGGCCTACTATTCTTATATACACATATAGGTTTACTTCATTAGCGATATTTGGGATATGAGAGTTTAAAATCTAATTGGCGGGGAGGGCGGGGCTTACATTGCACGATACAGACTGTTAACGACTCCTCCAAAGCTGGAAGTTGCAAAAGGGTTAACTCATTGCATACTACAAGATGTTGCCTCTATAAAAGCCCAATCTGGTGCAAAGTAATAAGACGTAAAACTCCTTTATTTTCTGCAAATCTATTCATTATAGAAGGAACGAGAGAAGGTGAAGGTGAGGGGGGGACAAATGTTATGCAGCAACACGAGTCGAAACTTTAGGTTTCTGATTAAGAAATGCATTAATCCCTTCAATAAGATTGTTATAATCCACTAACTGTTAAATGATATGTTAATCCAAGCCTATTAAACCTCTTAATCTATTTTCGGTAGTATTAAACTTTGTCGGTAGTTTAAAGTCATAAAGAGTTTATTTGTAGTCTGATTTTGATGGGGCACTACATTGAATTACTTCCCTTTGATCACATTTTATCTTATCTTCATACCGATGAATCATACCGCGTATATTATGGCGTGTCATCTCTGTTGCATGGAAATTTCAAGATTTTCTATTTTCACCTGCAATGAGGTAGCAAAATAAAGCAGGGAAAGCGTTTAATTTAGCCAAATTAATATTTCGGCAATTCTGACATTTTGGGTCAGAGGCTAGTAAATAATCCAAGATGGCCGTCAAATGAATTAGTCTTTGTTTTCCTCAATTGTTATCGACTTTATGATGTGAAATTACAGTTATTTCGCTTTCTAAATTTGAACACTTGCTCAAGAGATAACCAGGAATCGTATCCCGTGAACGGATTTGTCGAGGTAGGTGTAGTTTATGAGATTAGCTCTTCTACACGACTCAATATCTTCATTCACTGAATAAAATAGCTCATATTTTTTTTGGGTGTAGTCACTTCAAGTATTTCATTGCTCAGTGACATTATATTATTCATGTTTAACTGTTTAAAACTTCCTTATCGCATAACTGCATTGTGACTATGATATGACATTTAAAGGAATGTAGAAAATTTTTCTAGCTCTTTTATGTGTATCAGTATCAGGAGCATTTATCATAAATTTATAAACATGGCTTCTAATTCTGTTTAAACCATTGCAATCTTTTGTCAGATATCTGTGGTTCCTGTATTCATAGAATATACTTAATGGTATATGAAATCAAAAGCTGCTAATAATATCTTAAGGTATAGATTGCAATTGATCGAAAAGGCAATGGTGCAAATCCACGCAATCCAGTAGGGCCAGTGTCCTAAAAAAACATTTATGATCCCTTCAAGCAATGCTTAATTTGAGGAGACCTCCCATTAATGTCATAGAATCCAACAGAATTGTTTAAAGGGTTAACCATGACACGCAGGTTAACTATGACATACCAAGGTACAAAGACTAGGAAACACTTCACAAAAAATACGAAGTTTCAATGACATCTTGTCTTGTTTTGTAAAGAAAGATGTTTGAAGTTATTTGTAGTTACAATTGACTTTAAAAATATCAACTAGGAAGCACATGTTTTTATCAATCATTTTAGATTCATCTTCACACAGTCAATATGAATAGTGGCTAGTTCAGTCAAGGCATGAATGAGTATGAAGTTCGTATTAGCTTGACATTGTGAAGATGAAGTTCGTATTAGCTTGACATTGTGAAGATGAAGTTCGTAATAGCTTGACATTGTGAAGATGAAGTTCGTATTAGCTTGACATTGTGAAGATGAAGTTCGTATTAGCTTGACATTGTGAAGATGAAGTTCGTATTAGCTTGACATTGTGAAGATGAAGTTCGTATTAGCTTGACATTGTGAAGATGAAGCTAGCCACATTTTATTTCTTTTGTTGTCAAGTTATGTATCTTTATTAAACAACTCTCAGTTATTTATCAACTTGTCAGTTTTAATAAACAGTCAGTTATATTTATTTTAAGTGTTATTATTCATGGATGGAAAGATATACTACACCCTTATGTTGTGTTGTAATAAGGTTTATTTAAAGTGTTCTCAATTTGTTTTATATAACGTTTGTGAAGATAGTATCGCCTTGAAGGGATTTGTAAACTGATATCTTACTTACTTTAGATATAAACATATTTTGATGATCTTGAAAAAGTTATCTTAGCCCATTTTGAATAAGGAAGGGTTGTATCATAGCAGGTTAGAGAGTTGGAATTTTTATTTGACATCATTTGCTTGGTTATGTCGAACAAATAGTGATTGTGGGTTTTAATTGTGGTCATTGTGTGAAATTTTGATGACCGTTGATAAGTCATCTTTCCCCATTGTTTCTGTTGACCCAGCTGTAAATGGGTACGGATAATCCAGTTTTAAGCAAGTATCAGCTGGAAGAAAGGATTCTCAATAACATAAGGTGTTCTCCTTGTAAAATATGGTTGCTTCATTTTCTCTGCTTTAAAAAAACAAACTAATTTTGAAATTATGATAGCTGATCACTTACTTACTTTTTTAAATCATTTTTCAGATTCAGATAGCCCTATTCAAGAATTTAAAATGGTATAGATACCTCAAAGGTAAGATTAGATTTACTCTCAAAAGCACTTGTCATGGCATCAGAATTTCTATTAACTTGAAAATTTATTCAAGGTCATGTGACTATCACACGGCGATGGAGAATTGAACCCACAGCCGTCGTAACTAAGCAAATGACGAGACAAGTAAAGAACCAACACTCTGACCGACTGTGCTATAGAGCCTCACAACAATTCAGAAGAGAAAAATAGGACTCCATTTCTAATTGGGATGTAAAACTCCATTTCCATTTCTTGCAGGAATCATGATTCCGAATGAACACTTACATTCACATTGGGGTCGAAGGTTGTTGTCAACGGTAACAGAAAATATTCAAAATGGTGGAGACAATGTACCTGTTGCTGTCCTTCTAGGCATTGTGCTGACCTTGACCCTCGTGGTTCTGGTTGCCCTTTGTGCCTGCGGTGAAAAGTGAGTAGGTTACTATTTTGTCAGAGATAGGTCATCCAAGTTGTCCGACAAGTCGTTGTCTGGTATCTTATATTCATGCAATTATTCATTCATTCATTCATTCATTCATTCATTCATTCATTCATTCATTCATTCATTCATTCATTCATTTATTTATTTATTTATTTATTCATTCATTCGTGTCCTTATAATTGAATTGTTTTGTTCTCTAAAGGGATGATGATGCCAAGTTACAGAGAATGAAAAAGAAATCAAGTAGTGGTAATATAAAGGGATCAGTAAGTAATATCTTGTATTGTCTATGTCTTTAAATGTCCCCAATAACATAGAAAAGTTTATGAAATCTTTATCATCCCTTGAAACCTTGATCTGCTGAGGTGGTACAAGTCAGTCTATAACAAGCCTTTGATGCATTTACTTATATCTTTCTCGTTTAGATTAATGATTCCAATGTGCTGCTTATGACTTTATTTGAGGCACCTCAATCTTTCTTTAACGTGGCAATTCAGGGCTTAATATCCACAAGAGTTGGTACAAAAGAAGCATACATTGTATTTTAAAAATACTGGAAAAACTAGATTAAAATCAGTCTTTCGATCATGTCTATAAGTTTGAATTATAAACCTAGAACCAGACGACATATTCTCGAAATGATCTTAGCACTAGGACGTCCTAGAATCAATGTTAGAAGATAAGAACCTAGGACATTCTAGAGCTAAGATCATTTTGAGAGTACCTGGCCTGATTCATTGCTGAAAATAATAATATTTTATTTTCCCTAGGTTAGCCAAGATGACCAGTTAGACGTACAGATTCGCTCTAAAAGTAATGGTAATGTAGAGTCAAATGGGGTCACTGTGGTGGATTTAAACGGAGCTCAAAATAACACACAGCATTCCAGGTATGAAACCATTGTCAGGCCTAGATGTATTAAACTGAGAATCTTAATTCAATTTTAGTTTGAGGTATTTTTTTAAAGGAATTAAGCGATTTTCATACATTTCTAGTAGTTCTGAAGACTATTTATCTTTAACCCTTTCAACCGTAGCAGCCGGTTTGCTAAGTGACATCATACAACGTTAACGTCATACGCTTTTACTTTTATTACTTGGTATATTACGTTATAATTCATTTACACTCAGGGTTCAAAGGGTTAATTCACAAATGATTTGATTATTTCAGACAAAGTCAAGCTAGTACCACTTCCTCCCAGATGCGACCAACCAGCCTGCGTGAACTCCCTGAATTGCCGCCTAATTCTACGGGAGTATTGCCAGACAATCACCCTCCGTCTCGCTCAAGTCAAATCAGTAATGATGATTATGATCATTTGGGGCGTGTAAAGAATCCCCCGTCACAGTCTGAAAATTACGACCATATTGATCTGGAATCTCCTGCTCAAATAAGTGAAGCGTCTGCTTCAGACCAAATCTCTGAAAGTCATTATGCTCAAGTAAATGATAGAAATTACGAAGTTTGTAACAGTACGTCATCAGTACCGTTTAAACGAAGTGGGGAAGAGCCACCGTATAATAAAATTCACGACAACTCGCCATCGAATGGTGAGGAATCTCCGTACAATCAAGTTAAAGATAAACAGCAGTATAATTTAGTGAGTGCTCGTACAAACTTATTTGCTCATGGGACGAATCGTTTTACAGATTCCAGTGACCCCCCATACAACACTGTACACGATGACCCCTATAATCAGGTCAAGGATGATGACACTAGTGACCCCTATAATCAAATTACTGATCCGTATTCCATGCCCAGTGAAATGGGGGCAGTGGGTGGTGTCAGTGAAAGCCATTATGAACTGGAACCCGAGGATCCCTACACTATAGTAGATAATGAAGAGGAGCATGATCTTCGTGTGACAGTCTTGAATATGGATAGATCTTCAGCTTGCTCAAACTCCAGTCGACCTTTCAGATTGTCTGGAAGCGTGTCCATATCAGGAGAGTTACTGCCCCTTATCAATGCAGGGTTTGGAGCAACAAAAGAAGCGGAAGAGAGCACGGAAAATGATTACGCCGTCGTAAACAAGGAACGAAACCCGAGCACGACTAGTGCGTCTGAAAAAGAAGAAGTGGTATCATCTACTGTTGTACCACCAGAACCTCCCAGAGCTTATGGTGCTGAAGAGGTGCACGGTTTGGGACCACAGAATTCTGCCTCTACCCCACGTCTACCAGAAACCTCTCCTGCTGACTTATCACTTACAGGAATCGCCTCTACTTCACAAAGTAAGTATATGTTAATGTAGCTGGATTGTCGTCATCTTGGTGCCAAATTTTTCAGTCAAAATTATTTGTTTGTTTGCATAGTTTTAAGTTAAAGTATTGTCACAGTCAAAATTTCCCTCATTGCACACTGCATGGCGGTTAATGTCCATGATTCCTTTTTCAGATCGACCAATCAGAGAGTATTCTAAAGTATCAGCTCGTGAATCATTGGCCAGCATGTCAGCTAGACACGCCCTCAATCCGTACGAGGTAGTGGTTGATAACGAAAATACTTACGCCACGGTAAGGACCACCATTTTGAATTCTGTCCAAGATTGTGAGTCAATCTCATGAAATAGCATAACCAAATTAATATTATTAGCCATGTGGACTCTCAAAATAAACATTTTTACCTATTTTGACTCTCTTAAAGAAACAGGCTATTTTAGCAGTTCCCACAAATGCGGTCCGCATTTTAATTGAGTCATTATTTCAGGTTGATGGAGGTTCAGGCTATGGTGTTGTGGTTTCAGCACCAGCGCCCTCTACATCACCTGTCGCGTCTGCTTCCAGTAGTCGTCATGGTAACCAGCCTAGCCGAGTGGATGTACAACCCATGGATACTTACACTGAAATTGGAGCATCAGGTAAAAGGGGTTTGCATCCTTCTTTTCTGCTTCCAATTGGATAGGGGAAAGACGAATGAAAGAAAGAGAAGGTCCTTGTTTTGTTCAGAAGTACTGTGTCATTTTAACACTTTTCAGAGCGTAATTTCAACATCCAGTTCGTCTTCAATCAAAAAAAAGGGATATCAGTAGTTATTTGCATCAGAAAGATTGCTGTTAGGTATTTTGTGATTTTACTTACGTAATTATATCTCTATCACTAGGTGGCGCTGTGAACAATGTTCCGTCTGCACCAGTTCCGCCATCTTTAGATTCCTTACACCTGATGAAAAAGCACGAAAGAACTCGACATCTGGCTACACCTGAAGACACAAGTTTGGAAGAGAGCAATACTAATTCGCATACGTCACCAAACAAACGCTCCAGCTTTTCACCAACGACTGCGTTGCCTGGGATACCAAAAGCCATGTCTTCTAGCGTACACGAAAACGACATAATACTGGAACCAAAGTACCAAAGTGTGAAAGATTCCATCGAAGATTTGGAAAGCGAAAACGACCCAAATTACGAATCTGTTGATGAAGCTAAAGCTCGATTTCCATCGACCATAACAAAACGACAGCACCATTACGAGGAAGTTAGTCCAACAACTTCTCAACCGACCTCGCCCAATAATATTCGGACACGCGTTTTAAATCGACACACATACGAAGATATTGAAGATGTCAAAGAAGAACAGAAACATCTCCAAAAGTCACAAAATAATAATAAGAAAGGGCCCAAATCTTAAATTGTTGTTGGAGAGGTTTTTTTGGCCTTTTTGAGACACTTCTTTTACAATATATCATGGTCACATATTCTGGAAATGATCTTAGCACTAGGAAGTCTTAGGGTCTTAACTTCTAACACTGTTTCTAGGATATCCTAGAGTCTTAACTTATAGCACTGTTTCTAGGATATCCAAGGGTCTTAACTTCTAACACTGTTTCTAGGATATCTTAGTGTCTTAACTTCTAACACTGTTTCTAGGATATCCTAGAGTCTTAACTTCTAACACTGTTTCTAGGATATCCTAGAGTCTTAACTTCTAACACTGTTTCTAGGATAACCTAGAGTCTTAACTTATAGCACTGTTTCTAGGATATCCAAGGGTCTTAACTTTTAACACTGTTTCTAGGATATCCTAGGGTCTTAACTTCTAACAGTGTTTCTAGGATATCCTAGAGTCTTAACTTCTAACACTGTTTCTAGGATAACCTAGGGTCTTAACTTCTAACACTGTTTCTAGGATATCCCAGGGTCTTAACTTATAACAGTGTTTCTAGGACGTCCTAGCTAAGTTTCAAGAATACAGGGCCTGTCAAAAATGGCTAGAAAACCCTTGACACTTTGTTAAATGTTTTTAACTTACACATACAATGGCTTATAAATGGATGGCACACTCATTTCTGTCTTTAAAAGACACAAAGCATAATCAGATAATTTGTTAAATATAGTGAAAAGTTTCTTGAATCTGTGCTTGTTAGGACCAGTGTTCATTAGCCTAAACACTTGCTTACAAAACAGTAGGATATACAGCTTCATTTTGTACACGTTTATAGGCCTTAGGGTGCTGCCAAACGAACAGTCTTGGTGGCCGATTTTTGTCACTGACTGGAATATGGAGTAAAATGTCACATGTACCTGCGCTTCCATGACAAGATTATCCGTTGCCGACAGGATTTATAATATCAAACAAATTTGATATTAGTCTCTTATGATTTTATCGTCTACAAGACAGAGCCTCATCATCCAATCAGATTCATTTTCATGATCAGAACGTGATTACTGACCTAAGGTGTAGGACAAATAGGTGGTGAACAGCTCAAAGTTTAGGGCAATAACCGCTCATATACCTGTATATTCAAGTGATTATTGTAAACAGTGATTTTGATATTCGTTAAGATTTTATATATTGTTAATTATACCTTGGTACTTACAATGGTTTTTTTTACTTTTTCATTCTATCCTTTTTAAATCTAAATATTTTTTATTATTGCCAAACTTTGTACGAGCTGCTTTCTTACTTAATTCTTATGGCATTCCATTTAAGCTTTTATAGATAACCATATATTATCTAATGCTTATGGAGCTCAATTTCAGCTTGCATCTCTTATGAGATATTTGGTACAGTTAAGTTGTAACCAAGGAGTTTCTATATATTGCTTGTTGAATATCTTGTAACCCACGTTTGGGTCGAAGTCAATGTATTCTCTTAAAGGAATTTCTATTTATAGCTTGCAGAATATTTGTAACCCCGGCCTGTGCTTCTATTGATGAATGCATTATATCAATAATGATACATATCTAGTATTTACTCAGTGTTTTATTTTTTCACTTTGGGTACCCAACACCTCTCCAGTGACATTTTAAAAGAGACACATGTTTAGCTCTCATAAGGGAGACAAATGCTTGGATCTATTGACTGAGACAAATCCTAGGGTCTTTTGGGTGAGACAGGTGCTTTTAGGTATAGGGTGAGACAAATGCTAGGGTCTATGGAATGAGACAAATGCTTGGGTCTATAGGGTGAGATAAATGCTTAGGTATATGAGCAAGTCAAAAATTGCTATTCTGTTGGTTTATTTAAAGTACTAAGGCCGTATATATGAATATTTACAAGTCAAAGTGAAGGTAATGGGAGCTAACACGGCTCCTTATTTGCAATATTTGGAGGGTTTTGGGTAAGCAGCCTGCAGCATATAGAAGATGCAATGAGTTCTAATGTCGCTAGCGTTACAACTCCGTGTGTTTATGCTGCGATTTTCGTGGTCTATCGACGTAGGGTTTGTTAAATATTTTAGCTGCTTTTTTTAATTTTTCAGGTGAGAGATTCATAATATCTTCACGAGTGACTTCTCGTGTACCAGTTTCAAATAGCATGGCGAACACTGTAGCCCCCGGCACCAGGTCTTCTTGGCCCTGAAAAAGCATACATTGTATATTATGGTGGGTAATTATTCATTCTTGTAACGTTTGAGAATTGAGACGGCGGATTGGTCAGTCTGTAGGGAGTTGGATTGGTGCCTGTTAGTCGATTGCATAATAGCAGAAGTATTCAAAACTTCATACATGTAGAAGCATTGTTGTCGATGTCTAATATACTTTACTTTGCTAGTTACATCCGATTTCGATTTGAGATTGATGATAAAGACGTTTTTATTTTCACTATGCCACAGAAATTGGGGTTTTGGAACCGGGCTCTTAAGAGAACGACCATGTGGAGAGCGAAATTTTGGGTTAGGAACTATGTGCCAAATGAACGAATAGAGTGCGATTTTCTTACCCACACCATAGCTTCTTGATAGAAGACGATAAATTGTTCTATAGGAAGCTTTTCTTGGGTTCTTAACTCGGCCAGTAATAGATATCTTAAACTCTCAGCATTGAGATTCCAGTTCTTCAAAACCTGAAATAAATTCACCATAGATACTGTATTAAATATGGTGAACTCTCGGAAACGATTCTTCTTGAACTAGTCCTAGGGTGATTCCTAGAGAATTCCGGAGTGGGTTCATGCTTTGTCTCGCGAACTACATCCACTGTAGTTAAGGTATGGGAGACGAGGAGGGCAAACCGGACTCCCCCTCCCAACCTTCCTTCTGTCCGCACGCTTATGCACTGCAGTACTTCTTGCATTGGAGCTCAAATTTAATAAAGTCTTCTGGGTTTGTCTAGTAGGTTGATCTGGGTTCCGCCAATTTATAAGCTTGCTTACTTCTCTAAATCTGTGACTTACCCGTTTGCCCTCTTCAAAAGACCACATGAAAGCAGCATCGGCCAGCGTCTTGGGCTTCTTGTATTGTTTCTTATCGCAACCAGTGGCATCAAAGAATGGAGTCGGAGTGATCAGGATTGTCTCGGAGATGCTCCGTCCATAAGACCTCACCTGATGCAGAAAACCTGCAAATGAAAGTGAAATGAGTCAATTGGTTCAGGCTCTGTCAAACGATCTACTTCCGCTTGCACTCTGCAATAGATTCATCCTCACAGCCTCCGCCAACTGACCCCCGGCTGAATTCCCAACTCACCTGCTGGTATAAGTATACAATCCCCTTGTTGTAGAGTTGCCCAGGTCCAAGGTGTTGTAGAAATCTTCTTGTATTTTATGGCGTTAATAAAATCCATATCTAATGGAGAATGTCCACCAAGTGAGTTTGGAAACTGAAATATACATTAAACAACTGTATGGTGGTATTTTGGACGTTCCTAATGATGGGGTGAGGGTCGAGAATCCTGGTGCCATCCTTTAGATTCTTTCAACTCTTTTTTATTGGGTTTGTTTTCCCCGACCCTCCCCCATCCCTTCATCTATAAATAGATAGGACTATGTAATAGTTTGGGACTTGTGCCCATTACCAACCTCGTTTCTGAATTCAAAGGCGTCCTTATATGCATTCTCAATCAAGATGAAGTCTCTTCTTCCAAACAGCACACAGTGGAGGTAGTGGTCGTTATGGGCGTGAATCTGGGAAGATGTACCCCCACTGGACATCCACAGCTCAGCTTCTCTCAAATAGTTGGCTACACTTCCACACTGTACACATTTTGGTAGCTGAAATTGTTAGAAAACAATTGGCAACGGTGTGGCTAGGGATTGCCCTGTAATTTTAACAGGCAAAATTTTACAGTGCACTCAACATAAGAACTCCTTATCACACATCTCTACCAGTTGTAGAAAGGATCTTAGTGAACATAAGTTGATATCCTTGTGAAAGATTGTTGTTGTTTCTTTCAATACATCTTATGAATATACTGGGTCTAGGAGGATTCGAACCTTGGGCACCGAATAACCTAATTAAAGTGAGACTTACTGGTAATTCCTTCAACATTTCCAAGGGTACAGTCCCGGCTAAATACCAGTCCTCATACATATACTCCAACAAAAACTTCTTCATCTTCAGCGTCTTCCTTTCCCGGATCAGGTACTCCCTTTTAATCCCCTTCCTGGTCACCACCGACACGTTAACGCTTCCATATCTGAAACACGGATAGAAATGGCCGTTATGCCTAATTGGCTAACAGTGACTAATAAGTAGTGACTGGCTACTGACATATGCTTGGACCAAAGACAATTTTCTGCGGTCAGGATGATAACCCACGGGAATCGTGCTGTAACGTCGTTTTCAGTGCTTCGAATTGAAGAGACCTACCTCTCTTTAAGGTAGTCGTCTTTCTCCCAATTTTCAAAGACTGGTGAATCGAGTATACTGTCTCTAAATACGACTGGTAAATTCTGACTAATGTAATTATTGTACATAATCTGTGCGTCTACAATCCCTTCATAATCTTCAACTGGATTCTCGGGCGACCTTTGGTATCCTAAATCAAAATCGTATTAAAAGGTCAATACGTTAAAGGATAGGACTTAATCAAAAAACCTGATGTGAAAAGGAATAAGGGTAGCTTTAATCAATTCCATCAGCTACCTTGGTGAATGATTACACGATTACAACCCCACTCAGCCGCTCCCCACCCCTTCGAAAGATTCACATCGGTGTTCATGTTCCGGTGATACATTTCGGTTGGTTTAGGTTGTTCATTTTTCCCGCCAAAAAGAGACACTTACCCAAAGGTCGGAGATGTCCGTTTGGTATACTCTGACTGCCTTCTGCTTGTATAATATGTGGCGGGAAATCAGCATCCATACTTAAATCTTTCATAAACCCTACTTTACCTGACGTCATTTTTAATAATGACGTCATAAGAATACTCAAAAGTAATCCATTCATTTTGTAGTTTGTGAGTTTGTGATTGAAAATCACCGTAATTCCTATTTATTCGTATCCCCCCGTTATATTGCTGGTTCTTCGTGTGGATTTCTGAGGTCTTGACTTAGTCTGTGGTGTATTTTCGCTCTAGAGGCCACAACGGTGATAAATTCTGCGATTAGTCCCTCCAAAACACCATTAACAGAATTACAATGTCACAATTTCACAAAAATCAGCGGATATTTTCAAGAAATTAAGCTACCTTTCTCGAATTTTAACCGTGGAAAAACAATTTAGATATTTTGTACTGCTGCCGGCCACGTATCACACGTGTTGTTCTGTATTCTATAGCAAGATATTAGCTAGATCATTGATCTGGGGTGACATCTGTCTCCAAGAAACACCCGCCGTCTTGTGTCTTTGAATTTCTTCCCGATTCATTCAATATTCTTCCAATATTAATTGAGATTCGAGGTTTTGATGCGCAAAATGTGAGGATTATTGGAAGATGGTGCGTAATTGATTTTAAATTTTAGGGTAATAACTAAACCAAGCACTATCGATCCAAACCGCATACGTAAATGTTGGTAGCAGCTACTGAAATTTCCAAATGAGCAAGTGTATCAAGCATAGATGAGGACGTATTTCAGTTAATTCAGTTATTTTCCTGTCATGTCCGACATGAGTTGCAAAATGACACTTTTATATTGTAGCAACAGGACATTATTCGAAATCTTTATTAGAAATAGACCACCTATCGGAAAAGTGAACACGCCTTTGTCCCTTTATCCAAAACCCGTTTGTATTTTGCATAAGAAATTTACCAATAAAAGATTTAGTAACAATTAGGCCTACACTATGTAGATTTCTATCTGTGAAGTCAAGGCCGTACAGGTGCTCAAGGTGAAGGTAAAACAATTAACCCCTGACCTTTCGCCTATAGTGAGTGGAAACGCGACTGTTTATCACGGTAAATATATGTACTATATAGGTCTATAGAGGCTAATCATGAAGCGTTTAGAACGAGTTTGACAGCTAAACGGATAGACCCAGTATTTTGACTGGTCTGGCCGGGTTTGTTGGGAGTTGTAAGGAGGTTTTTTTTACGTGTAGACGCGGACGTAGACGGAATGAAACATGGACACAGTGAAAGACCGTACGGATTCGGATCAGTCTTCCAGACCCCGTAGCTCAGCCACACCCAGATTCGGTTCCAGTAAGACAAAAATTCGGAAACATATACCCGCCGGAAAAGGACCGTATACCGTGGGATGTGTGGATTTTATGAACGATCATTCCGACGACGGAGTTTTATTCCGATTGTTTTATCCCACCAGGAAATCAGATATATACGTGAGTATTTCATTCATTCATTCATTCATTCATTTGTTCGACCGTCCAATTATTCACCCATTCGTTTGGTTATTCATTCATTCATTTGGTTATACATTTATTCACTCATTCGACCGTCCATTCTTCCATACACTCGCTTATTCGCTCATTCATTCATTCGTTCATCCGTTCATCCGTTTGTTACATTTTCACCTAACTGTACTTTAAAAAAAATAACAGTATTTTGAGAAAACATGTTTGTTTCGTGTACTGTAGATATATTCGAATTCCTAGCCGAATTCTTTAGACAGCCGTTGGCAAGATTTGTATATAATTTATTTTATTAGTTCTATTTAGTTAGGTGTACTAATTAGCTAGTAATTCTCTACCGGGCGTTATCGTCGATATATCATGGTTACGTTTCTTTTGATGTATAGCGACAAGAGTATATGAGAGAGTTAATAAGCACCTATTGTGATAAAATCTATCATTGTGGAGGCTCCATTGAGCTGATACGAATTTGGGAGGGTAGTGGCAACGGGGCTTGTATGAAGGGAGAGGGGTTTGCATGAAGGAGAGGTGGGGTCGTGCATTAAGTGGTGGGGAAAGAAGAGGGAGGCTTGCTTTAAGGGAGAGGAGAGGGGAGGGGGCTTATATGAAGAGAGGAGAGGGGGCCTGTATGAAAGGAAGGGGAGAGAAGGGGGCTTAATTGAAGGGAGGAGATGGGGGAGGGGCTTGTATTGAGAGGTGGGGGAAAGAGAAGGAGGCTTGCTTTAAGGGAGAGGAGAGGGGAGTGGGCTTGTGTGAAGAGAGGAGAGGGGGCCTGTATGAAAGGAAGAGGAGAGAGGGGGGCTTGAATGAAGGGAGGAGAGGGGTTGAAGGATGGAATCAGGTGTTCACACAGTGAAGTAAAGGGAAAATTGATACGCTATAACCCCTACTGGTATGGAATATCTCTGTAGATATTTTAATGTCTTCTATAAGTATGATAAATGCACTCAAGAGTTTTCTAAATTTTATATATCTCTTCTTATCTATATACAAGATGGTAAGGTTAGTTTGGTTTGGCAGTTCTTATATCTGTTCAACCAATCATCTTCAATTCCTTTGATGTAGTGCCACAGAGAGTCTTTTAGTGCTGTTTCATGTAGAGTGGAATTCCACAATATTTATGATTTTAATTCAGTTTCAACTCATTCATTCATTCATTCATTCATTCATTCATTCATTCATTTATTCCTTCATTCATTCATTCATTCATTCATTCATTCATTCATTCATTCATTCATTCATTCATTCATTCATTCATTCATTCATTCATTCATTCATTCATTCAATCGTTCATTCATTCATTTATTCCTTCATTCATTCATTCATTCATTCATTCATTCATTCATTCATTCATTCATTCATTCATTCATTCATTCATTCATTCATTCATTCAATCGTTCATTCATTCATTCATTCATTCATTCATTCATTTATTTATTGAATTCATTAATTATAAATTATAATCTAATTTGATTCATTTAATTTGATTTAATTTATTCATCGAATCATACATTTCAGAAACGAGATAAACAATGGCCTCTGTGGGTACCAAGGAAACAATATGTACATGGTTATGTGGATTTTCTGGGGTTAAGCACCAAAACTTTTGGTAAATTCTTTAAATGGTATTGTGGTAAGTATATTTAATACTTATTTGGAAGAGTTTAATGAGAAGAGACAACATCATGCAGTGTACAATGAGGGAAATTTTGCCAGGACAGCAGCATTAGCGTACTGTTTAACTGTCAAGGGATCTTTAAAATGTCGCTCGCATGGACTAGATTTATTATCCCATCTGAATGATTTTTCAGTGCCATGCGCTCCATAAAATTTAATTTTATGATGCCTTTTCCATGCCAAACCCTTCATAACATTTGATTATATGATGCCTTTTCCATGTCAGCCCCTCCAGAAACATTTTATTTGGTGAACTTGTATTACAGATGATGTTTATGTACCAGCGTTATGGCAGGCTCCAATTCTCAAAGAACACAAGAGAAAACATCCAGTTGTTATCTTGTCTCATGGAATTGGAGGAAACAGGACCACATATACTGCCTTGTGCTGTGAACTCGCTTCTCAGGGATTTGTTGTCGCTGCCATAGAGCACAGGTTAGTCTTCAATCAAATTATTATCACTGTGAACACTCTAAAATGGTTAACAAGTTGACAAATCAAAATCTTAATTGAACATTAGCTTTAAAAGGATGCCGTACTTTACATCCATAAGCCTAGTAAACATTTTTAGTTATGTGGACTCTCTGAAAGGAATTCTGAGTTGAGGAACCCAAATTGTTATGCTATGTGGCCTATCTAAAATTTATACAGAGTTTACAGATTCTAATCATATCCCTTTAAATGAAGAATTTGGAATCCTTTAAGTTAATAATAAAACAATTTATCCTCTACTTTTACTTTCCAGTGACGGATCAGCTTCCATGGCTTTACGTCTGCAACAGTTTTCCCAGAATGCCTTGACTTCCAGTCCCGATCAACTTAACAACAATGATGTCATCGATGGTGACCCTGAAAACAAACCACAAATAAACTCACGACATCATCTCAACGCCTTCAACGAACATTGGAAGAAATTTGAAAAGATTGAAAATATTTTTGACTTTGACTTTAGGAATAAACAGGTAAGCAAAGATTTCTTCTAGATTTTACTGGAGGGTAAGGGGTGTGCATTATATTCGCAGGGGGGAAATGACCCACTGAACCACACCCTAAATAGTCATTGACCAGTACCATATATTATAGGTCCACTACCGAGCTGATGAGTGTTCTAGAATGCTGAATATTCTTACTGCTATGAATAATGGTGAACAAATGCATAATTATTTTGGAGTCATTTTTGATACATCACAACTCAGAGTAAGTTCCTTATAATTCTTTGTCATTTAATGTAAACATTTTTCAGTTAAATGTAAACATTTTTCCTTTAAATGTAAACATTTTCCCTCTAAGTTGAACATTTGGACCTTAAATGTAAACATTTTCCCCCCTAAAAGTAAACAGTTTTCCCTCTTTATGTAAACAGTTTCCCCTCAAATGTGCATTCAGGATTGAACAAAATACTTTTACCAATTAATTGAAAATAAAACAGGCTTAAAGTTATTACTATTTACCCTAAAACATGTTAAACGTCTTGTAGAGATTTTTAAACTACATGTATAAAAGATTAGAGTTATTAAACTATAAACAGGTTTTGGTTGAATAAGTCTGTATAATCTATATTTATGTATATAGTAATAAGTAAATCTGGACGATAGCCACTAATCCACTGTGGTCAAGTAGATTGTTTACTTTTAGACCAAACCATTTACGTTTATTTTATTACACTTTTATTAACTTAATGTGAAATGATTATAAATACTTCATTTAGAAATTTCAAGTGCTTTACATCTTTCTTAGCTTAAAATGAAATGAAATGAATGGAGTTTTACGTCTTTAGACACCTAATTAGGTTTATGAAGACAGGCAATGCCATGTAGTGTGCGATGAGGGAAATTTTGCCAAGACAGCGGCATAAGTCTTCTCTTTTTCGATTCCGAACGTCGAAAGATCTTTAACATACAAAGCCTGTAGCACACAGAACTTTGGTTTATTGTCCAATCAAAACAATTAGACGCTACATTCTGTGATACAAGTAAAGTGTCTATTGTAGTCAAGGTATAAGCTTACGGTCGTAACAACTTGACATTGTGAATATGTGTCTAGTCTAAGAAAGTTCTTTATATCTCTTGCCAAATAATAACCTTTTATGATTGACCTTTTTGAACTTATATATTTTGATTCAAATAAAAGGTGTTTTATTGTTAACACTCTTGTTGTCAATGGCAACAACTCATAATAGTAAAATAGCATGTCATACATTTAAAACCCTTTGTTAAAATGATAGGCATATCAGTAAATCCTTTGGGGAGCTCGATCATTAAATATGCATAGACTAATTGTTGAATATTGAGTTTATTTGTCAAAAGGGTTCATAACAAATCATTAATAGATCTTTTAACTTATTAGAGCTGTGTTTGATTTAAATTGATTATATTAACCTAGCTATATTTTGATATTGTTCACAGTCTAGGGCCGTAGTCACAGGGGACAGGGGGAGGGTTATTGCCTCTTCATCAATTGTTTATTCTATATGAGGTAGTGCTAATACAATTTTGTTGCTCCAGAAAATCTTTGAATACTTAATCCCTTCCTACATCCACAATCAACATTGATCCGCCCCTCCAGATAGTCTGAATGATGAAGTTTAAAGCAAAATAACACAAACAAATTCATTTAATTTGCAGAAATAAAATAAGAAAGTTGTTATTTTAGAAATGTGTGGGTTAATTGAACCAAACATTATCAGCTATATAGGTTTCTCAGACAGTTGACCTTGTACTTTAAAAGGGTTAAAATCTGATTAACATTGCCCACATATAGTCAAATAGTAACAGTGTTTAAATAAAGGACATTCTTTCTATAGGTATATAGGCATTTAAATATATATTTAGTAACTTTGTGTGGTACATTCTTGATAACAATACATACTAAGGTGTGGTGACAAGACCTGTCTTATCAGGGCATTGTGCAATTTAATTTACTGTTTAACTTGTATAATCAGGTCATTGTGCAATTTAATTTACTGTCAAACTTGTATGATCAGGTCGTTTTTAAGTGCATTTAAATGAATTCTCATTACAGAATAGCCTAGATCTGTCTCAAGTCTCTGTGATTGGTCATTCATTTGGAGGATCCACATGTTTATGTACACTTTCAAAAGACCCACGATTTAAGTAAGTATAACTGAAACATATCCATTTTTCGTATCCCTAGGAACGCAGTCTGAAAATAGGTCAGTTGTCTGAAGATCGTATAGGGTGAAACTCTGAAGAACAACCTTATTCAAGTTCTGTTTTGATAGCAATTTGGATTGCCATTGCAATGCAATTGATTGCTGGGTTCGAATCCTCCTCGGGTTTGAAAAATGATGCCTTAGCCAGTGCTTGTGAAATTAGCCCAGTGTGGGATTTCAACCTCTATTACCTAATGATAAATTACAATAACAACTTGGCCTCCCCACTCCATTACACCTGACTACTGTACCACTTTTAAGCCTATCTCTAGCCCTTAAATAGCAATCCTTCCTGACATATTGACCTTTATTTGACCTTTAGAGTTGGGGTGGTTATAGATGGCTGGATGTTACCACTGGATGAACAAGTCTACAGTAAGGTTAACCAGCCTGTATTAATGGTAAACTACGAAACCTTTCAATGGGTAGATAATATTAAATCTATGAATAGATTTCTAACCAATGAAGTTGATCGACGAATGATCACCGTCAAGTAAGTGAATTTTTTGGTCAAAAGTTTTGGTATTAATCTTTATCGGAATCGACCTTAACACACTGACCAGGATTAGAAACGATGACTATCATTAATTTGTTTGATTTAACCATGCAAATGACCTCAAATAAAAATTCAAACACTCTAACCGACTGAGCTACAGCTGGTGCTCAAAAAAGTAGGAAGCAAAATCAACCATGCAAATGACCTCATTAAAAGGATTTCAACACTTTAAACAACTGAACTACAGCTGGTCCTCAAAACAGTAGGAATAAATCTCAATTGATCTTATTTTCAGAGGAACTTGCCATCAGAGTATCAGTGATTTTCAGTTTATAGCTAACAAACTTCTAGGACGGGTGATGACAGTGAGATATACTCTAAACCCAAAACTAGCGTTTGGTACCAGTGCTCAGGCTACTGTTGGCTTCCTCCGAAAACATTTCGGTGAGTAACAGGGTTATTGCCCTTGTTTTCAAATTTAGCTTTCTATATGCTTCGATACATTCAGACCACATTTCCAAAGAGAATGCCCGGCAATGCCAACCCCCACCGGTCAGGCCTGTGATGTGAAAGGTCTTATTTTGAAGTGAAAATTAAACTCTTTAAATGATCAAAATTCATCTTAGGCTCTCTGAAATTCTGTTGGCTTGGCTACTGGGTCCTCTTGCAGCCCCCAGACTGCCGGCCTTGGGGGACTTTGACCCTCGCCTCAGTGTGAGACCTCTCAGGCATTTTCTAGATATGCCTCTGAAGGTAGACAGTGTTAGTTGAAGATGCCTTGATAACTGATTGACTTAATACCACTATCTAGGCATATTTCCCCCCTTTGCAAACTACATGACGCTTCTCATTAGGCTTAGAAAATGTGACGCTCATTAGGCTAAGTAAGTGTATAAAACTTGGATTTAAAACTGTTAAATTTTCCATTTTTTTATTTAGATTTGCCTGGAGAAAAGTTCTCTGAGATATTAGACGGAAACCATTACCTGGTAATAAATGGAACCAACGTTAACATGCCCGTCCAAGTCACATGACCCTGATTCAGCCAATCCATGACAAGCATTACTGTGATATGAAAATGGAATAATTTCTCTTGGTTAAAGAAACCTCACAAGTCAAAAATCTTTGGAATTAATTATTTCATGAAAGAAGTTTGTCATCTTAAGATGAGATCTTCTCTGAAGATTAAGGTGCTCTCACACCATAGTGATTACCAGTTGTGTATGGTTGTAAATAATAACAACTCAGTTACATGAGAGTTACCTCTAACCTTATGACCCCCATCTTATTCACAACCATACACAACTGGTAATCACTATGGCATGAGGGTATCCTTAGTTCTGATTTGTTTTTAAACAGGCTGTACAGAAATTTTTATGTGTATTGGAGTCTGAAAAGGTTCTTAATGACATCATTCAGATGTCTTAGGTTCCTGTAAATAGAATGGCATATCAGTGTATGACGTCACTATCACAAAAACTGCTGATAAAATCTCAGGGCCTTTGCAATAAAAATAAAACGCTAAGTTTTAGACCCACAGATAAGTGACTGAAAATTTGAATGGTTCAAATCGATGCCATCAGTGTCCCTGATACACATTTAAGTTTTAGAAAATATCTTAACAGTCTCCATTAGAGAACAAACATTTATGTTTAAAACACTCTTAAAATTGGGTATGAATTTCAGAATTACCATCCAATGCAGCATTACTTAGTCTACTATAGACAATTTTATATATCAATTATAGAGTGATATAGAAATATTAGAGACCCTTTTTGATGTTAATTCATACGGCTTTAAATTCTTTAAACAGGGTATTTTTTCTTTATTATTTTATCTATATTTCTACCTTATATATATGTAAATAGTAATATAGAACCTGAAACATGTTGTTACTCGCTAGTTTTAGACATATTTTGTGTACTGTTCATATTTTGTAATGTTTTTTGACACTTTATTCTTTCAGTCTTTCAGTAGGTGATGAAATATGTGCCTTTTCTTGCTTTCAAATCAGGATTTGTAGGCTCCTGGTTAAATCCTCTGTCATATTTTTTATTAATTTATGTGCCTTGCTTGTTTGAAATCAAAATATTCATCTATTTTGTTAAATTTTTGTCAAGAATTAGATATATATTGCACAATTCTTGTCTTGAGTGATAACTCACAAAGTGTTGTTTTCTGATAGTCTTTCATTCTATCCGAATCTATTTTTGTATTAACTATAGTCCCAATTAACCAGACAGTATTTTTTGTAAGTCTTGTCATTCAAGACTATATTGTTTTAAACTGCTGGTTGTGATAAAAGAATACTTTAAATTTGTGATGGTTGTTTTCATTTCCGTCCACTTCTAAAACGGTAAGTAGGCTATAGACTTACCAAGAATTTTCGTTGCCTTATGTGTACTGGTTTCATGTTCTTCCTAATGTAAGTGACCTGCATGTCCCATAGATGGGAGAGAGAAGAGAAGGGGTTGGGAGGGGAGATTTCATTGACTGCAATCCATGATAGTGGACAGTAGTTGAAGAAATGTCCAGCAAACAAGGTGTCTCATAACATGGGAAGTAGTTATTAAGGGAGATATTTCAAGAACCTACTCCCTTCTCTGTTAAGTTTGACCTCATACTTCAATGTTCTAACTTTGTTCCATTTCAAGTATGATGTGGGGTCCAAACTATAGTGAAAACAAGACAACAAGCTTAGAAAATAACATATTTAATACATTGGATGAAGCCATCATCTTTTTCAAATCATTTTACATTATTTTAACAAGTATAATACAACCCATAACTATCACCAGTTGCATATGATTGCCAATAAGAATAACAGTCATAAGTTTAGAACGCAACCTCAGTTGTGAGGTGAGTGGTCATGACCACTTTCATTATTCGCAACAATACGCAACTGGTGTGAGGGCCCCTTTTACAAAACAATACGATCTGTAGCACACTGTAGTACACAGGCAATCTCTGATGACTAAATGTTCTTGTTGGACACGACTGGCAAATACACGACAAATTAACATCAAAGGTCCTTTTTAACCATCAGTTGCTTTATAATGATCCTCATCTATTGTTGAGTAAATGTGACCTTCGCTACTTAGGAAATCAATGGCATCTTTGACAGCTTTCACTGGAATTCCTTTCAGATTCTGGCAGACGGACATCACATTGGCACCAGTTTCTGAGGGGTTGTTTTTAATAATCAGGTGAATCTGGTTTTGAATTGGCGTTAAACCTATGATTCCTCCTCCTCCGCTATCATTGTTGTTATAGGAACCATAATTCATTGACATGTTACCACCAGCATCGCCTGTAGCCGACATCGTGATTGGTGACGAGGTCAAAACAAGATGGCTGTGTATGATCTCTAACATATGACAGGATAATTCGTTCATGTCTAAGACAGGCACCATTTTGTAAGCCACGATGCTCCGCTTGCCACCAAATGATCTAACATGGCCGCTGACACGAACGTAAGTATTTTCTCTCATAGTTGGAACTCTTTCATCTTCAGGCACACTGTCATCGTTGTCAACAAACTGTTTGACTTCGATTGGTGGCCCTGTCATGTCGTCAACTTCATAATCTATTCGAGTTTGGGTCTCTTTCACTGTTCTCACCAATCCAACAATGGTAATTTGTAACATTTCAGTATCTCCTGTGAAAAATTTGTCTTCATTTTGAGTTGCATTGAAAACTTGGGCAACAGTGCAGGGCAAAATGTTTTGAGCTCTGGACCTGGCTCCCTTTTTCTCTTGAGATTGCTGCGGAGTTCCGAATCCACCAGGCGACTGGAATCCACCTCCACCTCCGTCGAACCCTCCTCCTTGGTTATTCCACATTTTGATTCGAAATTAAGGCTTAGATGTCTGAAAATGTGCAATAAACTACAAGTTTGTTTTCTTTTTGTTTTCGATCTCAAAGATGGCGGGAAATCAACCGGAAATAGAGAGCAGCGGCGTTCGATTTGCTTGTTCTATGACCTGTTCGATTTTTGTGCCGCTATTTGTATTAAACATTTTCTCAAAGAACTCATACGACTAACTGAATTCTTTATGTAACCTTCTTAGAGCAAATGTATGTGCCCACCTAAAACAAGTCGTAAAATAGAACTTATCGCATTTTCTCAAAGGATTATGGGTCATTGATCAATGTTATGAGTGCATATAAGACTTGAGTAATGGAGACTACACTATTTACTAGCAACCGACTAAATAACGATAAACGACAAAAAAATGTCAGGTATGTGAAACATAACACTCTTTAATATTGCTATCTTGTCTTGAGTGCACAAATCTTCCTCAAACTAGAGACAAATTTCTTTTTGGTCGCGCAAACTTTAAGAAAATAATAGATTAATTTAGGGAAAATGCGTTAGCTTCTTTCATCCAGTGCATTGAAGTACACCCTATTCCCTTATCACTGCACTGTCAGCAAAATTGAGTAAATACAGCAAACCTTCTCCCTCCCTCCCCCCCCCACTATCAGTTTTATTTTCATTTTACAAAGTGAATCAACAGCCCCTCTTGGAAAGTTTTGTCCCGTGCTCAGCCCTTTCGCCTTATGTTTTCTAGAAATGCCACTGAGTAAATATTGCCCCACTGCCCCCATTTTATTCTGAATTAATTACTTTTATCATTATTTTTTTACTCATTGAAACAGGTGTGATTAAAGTGGAAGAGGTTGAAAGGTGAATATAATGGGAGCAGCTGCCTCCCAAGATCCAGTTGTAAGAGCAGACACACAAGCCAGAGTTACCAGAGCAACAGATAAGGGCAATAACTCCACACTTAACAAATCAAAAGCTGAACAATCAAACAACGACAGCAAACCTCAGACAAGTGTTGTATCAAAGGGCAATAACTCTGATCCTAAAGCTGAGACCTCGGAAAAAATTGACACCACAAAACAAAAGGCGGCAGAAAAAACAAAGGCTGAAATCAAACCAGACACAGAATCTAAGGGAGATAATATGTCGAAATCACAACAAAAGCCACCTCCTCAACCTGCGCCAGCAACTGTTACCACGAGAACAGTGAAATAAGCACCGACCATGGAGGAATATAAAGCTAAAGAAGAAGCTGCGCTAGAGGAAGTTAAGGTAGCCTTTAAGGAGTTGGATGATTATCTTCCAAAAGGGAATATGGACATGGTTCACGGAGCCATTTATAAAATACGAATGTTGTATTCAGTCATGTATTCAGCACCACCAGACTTCATCGCGGAGTATCGTAAAAAATTAGCAAAACTTATCACAGCTCATGGTAAATTCGTACCCGTTGTCTGCGACAGTATTGTCAAGGTCATCAAAGAGAATAATTTCCATGGTAACGATGAAAATCCAGCAGCTAAGAAGAATTATGCATTGATAGACATGTGTAATGTATCGTTTTTAAACTACTCTGATTGTTCTGACTTGTTTCGTGAGCAGTATGGTAAACAGGAAGAGGTCATCAAGGTCATGGCCGAGAAACTGTTTGAATGGGCACCAGGTCATATTAAAGGAACACTACCAGTAAGTAGATCTATTCACAGGGACAGGAGCTGAACATTTTTAGGGACTGGTGGGTTGTGGAGGGCAGGGGGAATATTTTCCAATATAGGAAAGTTAGGCCCTATGCTTAATCCTCTGCCAGTGCATTCTGTTGAATGGTGACTAGTTGCTTGTCAGCCCCCTATGTCTTAAACTAGCTGTCCTGATGAAAATTGTGTATCAGAGACACATGTCAGCAGCATGAGATAAGCTCTAGTCATTACAAAATTTTCTATCAAAAACATGGCCACATCCATTTAATGTCTTCTTATTTCTTTACAGGCAGAAGAAGAGAAAATCGTAAAAAGATTTTTAGGAATAGCACATAATCTGGCGATACTGCCTGAAAATGTTAATATGTTACGTAAATATGATTATGTCAAAGCTATAGCACCTTATTTAGAATCTCAAAGTGGAATGTATACTTTATCTGCTCTGGCAACGCTGGCTGATATCCTTAACGAGGAGGAATGTCATCTTTTACAAACAAACGAAGGCAGTATCAAGTTTCTGTTGTTAAAATTAGGTAATGCCAGTGTAAGATCTGATCGTAGAGACGCTGGTTGGTCGGCCGCAGAACTCGGCAGGAGTAAGTCATTTGGTTTTATTATTTCATTTTCAAAAACTTGTAGTATTTCTAAAGCTACCAGTTAAAAATAAAGTTAAACTGGCCAGACATTTAAAGAAAGAAACAACTATATTTTACTAGGGTTCACTGTGGTTCACAAGGATCTTGTCTGTCAGCTGGTCCTTGGTAGGACCTCTTGACTTCTTGTCTCCTCGACTGGAATCATGGTAAATTTATATTACAGCTGTGGGAAGATTAGCAAGGAATGATGGTAACAAGAAACTGTTAGTTACATTGGGTGCCCTCCCCTTGCTGTTAGCCTTGACTACATCGAACATCAAGATTGAGCAGGAAGGTAACCTTTGACCTTTGCTATTTGAGTATCAACCTTTGCTATTTGAGTATCAACCTTTGCTATTTGAGTATCAACCTTTGCTATTTGAGTATTAACCTTTGCTATTTTAGTATTTTACAAACTATCTCAGATGGGTGCTCTTCAGAACTGGAATCCTTTTCACTATCCATTTAAATCTCCATTTCATTTCTCTCTTTCAGAATCTATCGAGGCCCTGTGGGTGTTGGCTTTCGATGAAGAAAACCAACCGAAGATGGTGGCTGAACCCAACTTGATAGAAACCATTGATAAATTACGGAGAACAACAGAGGGAAATGTTAAAAAACTATGTAATGGTATACTCTGGACTCTGCGAAATGTTTTAAAAGTGAATAACAAATTCAAACATCTGGGTGAGTATAGTCTTTTGGATTTTTGCGGGGCTCAGGGAGTGAATCATGGTGGTCTCGGTCATGGTGAATTCCTCAGCTCATGCTCCCTGGTTACTTTCGAGCTACCTTTCTCGGTAGGAAAGGTTCTCTTTGTAATAATATTTTTATTCTTCTAGTGAAAAATTTCCAAGAGAAATTAGAAAGGGAAAAAACCAACTTAAAAAAGAACGAGAGTTCAGATGCTGAAGATCAAGGTCATGTGATGATCAGCTACCAATGGGGTCATCAGAATATTTTGAAGCAAGTTAGCAGTGAACTGCGTAAAGAAAAGCGAATAGTGTGGATGGATATCGACAATATGGAGGGCAGCACCTTACAAGCCATGGCTAACGCGATAGAGGGCGCTAAAGTGGTCATCTGTTGCATGTCCCAGAAATACAAGGACAGTCCCAATTGCAGAGCAGGTCAGGCATTTTTGTGACTCTTTTGATTGACATTTCTTCAACCAATGGTGTATTTAGGTGGTACGGTCTTATCATGAAGTAAAACTTAAGCCCTCTAAATGCTAAACTTTCATCTCAGGTTATCTGAAATCAGTTGACTTCTGGGAACCTCTGGCCCTTCGAGCCTTGCCTCTGTGAGAGACACCTCCCCTTTTTTGCTCCCCCCCAGACATTTTATATATACACCAGGTTTTCACATATTTGATTGACATGTTGTAATCTGTCATTTCAGAAGCCGAATATGCCTTCCAGTTACGTCGACCAATCATACCTCTAATAATGGAGAGGGGTTACCGTCCTGATGGATGGCTGGGATTTATTTTAGGAGCTAAATTATTCTATGATTTTAGTGGAAAGTACAGTTTTGAATCAAGAATGGATGGACTGATCAAGGCTGTGATGCAGATTTATGATCCTCAAAGTGTGGGTGGGGACAGTGCTGGCCCAGGGGGTAAGGATGTCATGGCCCCACCCCCAGCTATGGATGAGGTTGAAGGCCCTCCCATACAGAGACAGGTGAGCCTTCTGATTTTTATGTATATGAATAGCTATTGTTAAAATTACTGTTATGGCTAGGACCAAGTACTTACGATCCAAGCTGCAGAACGAAACCCAAAGTTCATAGCAACATATTGGTGATATATTGGTAGCAGCCAAAAATAATCACTGACGAAATTCAGCTTTGAACAACATCCTATAGTATCTTGTCTTCTTTTTCAGAGAGCTGTGAAGCTGTATTCAAGCCCACAAAAACCAACAGAAGAAGATGAAAAGGTTAAGAAATGGACGTCACAGCAAGTTGGTACTTGGTTGAAAAAACATAATTTAAATGGGTAAGTAATTGTAAGGGAGTATTCTGGGTTATATTCTAGAGAATAATCCACTATGGTAGTTCTATTGTGTACCCAGTCATTCTGTTGTCTCCTGTTGTCTCCTGTTGTCAGCCTAGGTTTGTACGGTTGTATCAATGCTGACATTAAAATGTGTTTTAAATTATTTCAGGAATGCCAAGTTAAGTAAATTATCAGGAAGAGAAATTGTCTTTTTACGGAATCTTCGAGAAGAGGTAATCTTTAATTTATTTTATTCATTCATTCATTCACTCACTTGCTTCAAGCGTTCATTCATTCACTCACTTGCTTCAAGCGTTCATTCATTCACTCACTTGCTTCAAGCGTTCATTCATTCCCATCCCATCTTATCCATCAATTCATTCATTCATTCATTGATTAACTTAATTGCTTCAAGCGTTCATTCGTTCACATCCCCTCCTATCCATCAATTCTAAGCATTCCACTAATTTCATTCATCCATCCATTTATCCAAGCATTCATTCATTTATTCATTCATGCATTCATTCAATATTTTTGATATTTTCAGGCTCCAGAATTTTTTTACCATACAGTTGAAGGAAAATTAGGAGTAACACAACTTGGTGCCATGGTGGACTTCACTGAAGCTATCCACGATCTCACAGTATAGTGATCTCATTTAAAGAGATTGTAAAGAGGTTCTCTAAACTTTTTATGTTTGTGTTCTGTGTTCTCTTGCATTTTCAATACAGTTAAACCTTTTATGGCCTCATTTCAAAAGTGTCTGCCAATAATAAGCATATGCTGTTAAGCATTTCATAATTACAGGAATAACAGACATCTGATGGAAAATTAGAATGATGCGAATACAAGCTATAAATGGCGCCAATACACATAAACGTTCAGAAAACCTCGTTATAATTCCTTAAAAAAAACAAGCGCAATATCGAATACATTTGTCCAATCCTATGCCGAAAACTATTGGAATTTTCAGGGTTAAATTCCTCATGCTAATTGTTATTCTGTGATAGTATATGTACAGTGATCTTGTTATTATGTTGTTATGATGTACTTAGTGAATAGGGTATCTTCACAATGTCAATCTATTACCAACTTTGTTTTATACATTGACTGCAATATCACAGATTAATTGGATTGTACACTAGAAATTACAGCCAATCAGAGCCGTTGACAGAAAGATTGGAAACATTATGGCTTACTGTTTACAGACTTTCTGTTAAGACTTCTGATTGGTGGTATTTGCTAGCATACAATCCAATCAAATTGTTCTTCTGTTACATACAAAAGGTGGCTATTGCAGTCAAGGTTAAAGAGGAAGTTTGTACTAGCTTGATTTTATATTATTATATTATTTTATAGTCTATGTTTTTAGACGTATAGGTGTTGGTTATGATACTTTTGCTGATTTTTAGGGCACTGTTTTTAAGGCGATCAGGCTGTGATATTATTATTCAGGAAATTTTGATTATTTTTTAAAATCAAACATTTAATTAAACCATATCATATCAACTGATGAAGCTCAATTTTTTGTTTAAATCTCATTTTCAAGAAATTGACATATTGGTGGAATAAACTCTATTAGTTTAAGGAGAAATTCAGTCCATACTTAAAGATGTTTTTGTTTTAGTTTAATCATTCTATTGATTTTTTTTTTTGTACCATTGTACAATTTTACTTACAAATTTGCTCATTTTTATCGGTCTAAAGGGTAACTGTTTTTTAATGCATTTAAATTTGACAATGTTCTGTTATATTTTTATATCAGTTCTGTAACTTTTCCTTTTTCGAGAAGGGGTGTAGCTATTTTACCTCAGAGCACTGTCATGTGATGCCACATATTCTTGCATTTCTTTTTTATGAGATTATTAAGACCATTTATAAATTCTAGGTGACAAGGAACCCTGTGAGGCACTCTGTTGGCAGCTGGTGCTCTCTTCTAGAAGGCAATATATGAGAAGAATTGTGCCCTTATGGCTGACAGTGTCCCTTATGACATCGTTCTAGTGCTATTTCTCTAACTAAAGTGTTATATTTTATTAAGATTTATGCCTTTTTTGTTTTGAGTCTCTCAGTTGAGACCATTTCTGTGATATTTAATTTAAAGTTATATTTTTCTCCTTGAATTATCAATCAATAAATCGTTTTGCTTTCCTGTATTCTTTTTTTTTTCCACCAATGGGTCCCAGATATTCACCGAGACTCAAAGGGGCTCAAATATTCACCAAGTATCAAAGGGTCTCAGATATTCACCAAGTAACCAGGGACTCAGATATTCACCAAGTATCAAAGGGCCTCAGAGATTCACCAAGTATCAAAGGGTCTCATATATTCACAAAGTATCAAAGGGCCTCAGAGATTCACCGAGTATCAAAGGACCTTAGATATTCACTAAGTAAAGGACAAAGAAAACGGCTGGAATAGGCCTGTATAGTAGATATTCTCAATCACAGAACGCTTTGTTGTCTCTAAGAACATGTGAAATGTTGGACTTGTAGAGTATACTAGAATAAGTATATTCATTTATCTAGTTGCCTACACCTTAAATAGTGTACTAGATTTTGTTGTAGTACTTTTCTATTGGCACAGTCTGCATAAGGCAAAATTAGCTGCATTTACTGTAGTCTGGATTATTTTGTTATCGTTCTTGATAAGAACTCTTCATTTGAGAAGGTTAGAATGGTGGTCCATGATTCAATATGGCGGATGATTTGCTGAATATTTATTTTGAAGCAGAAAAACTGGAAAAATGTGGTGAAAATGGAGAAGCACTAGGGTTATATACTCGGTTTATCGACAGTATTACTAAGACAGTCAACTCTGGACCCAAAAACCTCACTGACAATGAAAGGTTATCTTTAATTTTTATTATAACAATACCTAGGCTTTTCCCTTCTGAGTTCTTCGTACAACTCCGTTCGTTAAGCCTACCCATCGACGTACAGTGTGAGGTACGGGGACATTGTAGAACATCCAGCAATAATTTGATGGACTAATTAATGGTTCAGCTTTATATATATACCAAAATTTATGCCAAATTTGGCCTGTTTTTGTGATAATGCTTTAAAACTAGTGATCAAAAATGGACTGCACCTCTGCAGGAAAGTGCAATGTTTTCCTCTTACTGATCTACCAACTGATTATTAAAATTTGGGTCTTTTTTTATTTCAGGAAACATCTAGCATTAGCATACAATAATCGAGGTTTTTTAAGATATCTGACAGTAGATTTTGATGGAGCTATAGAGGATTATACACATGGATTGAACTTTGACCCAAAGATATATTTCAGTTATTATAATAGAGGGTTGATACATTACAGATTAGGTTGGTATACTCTTGCTTTTTTGCATCAATGTCAGTCATTGAAGATACCTCAGTACCCCAGTTATCTGCCTAATGCTCTTCAATGCACTGAACCTCAGCTATTTGTGCCTCAGGAGTACTGTACCTCAGCTACCTGAAATGCTCCTCAGTACACTGTACCTCAGCTATCTTAGCTGTTAGAGTACTGTGCCTCAGCTATCTGTGTTCAGCAAGTCAGTTATCAATAGAACTATACTGTACCTATGGAAGCTATCCATTCACTGTTGTCCCTATGCCACACCCCAGTTATCTTTATATTGCTTCTCAGCTGTCTCATTCATCTTGGTACCAGTTGTACTAATAAAGCTCTGTTTTTCAACAAGTTTTAAGGACATATAATAAAAAGTTTGGTTTACTTTCAGGTAGATATAAAGAAGCAATAGAAGATATGGAGAGTTGTTTGGAACTAAAAGCAGACTTTGAATCTGCTCAGAAGTGTCTGAAGCAATCTGTGATAGACTTTAATAGAATTAAGGAAAAAGGAACTTCCTGATAGTGATGCCAGGAATTCTTAGTGTCACTTCATATGTGTATCATCTTCATAATATCAAGCTATTACGTACTTCGTCTTATACCTTGACTACAATTGCCAACTTTCTTGTATCATGGAATGCAGTGATTTGATTTAATTGTATGCAAGCAAATACAGCGAATCAGAGACCTTGACATAAGGTCTGTAAAACCTTAACCAAGTCGTCTATAGAGGGCTCTGTATTTTATGTATGTCTATTATGTATGTATGTGTGTCTTGTTAGCCTGCTTTTACAAGGAAATTGACAACAGTCTAACTGATTGGGCTACAACCCTCCTCAAACACTGTCAATTGAGAGACAGTTTGTGCTGATACTCACACAATTCAGCTGTATAATTTATAAGATTTTAATGTATCTAATAATGGATTCTAGGTCGGTTGTCTGAAGATTGCATAGCGTGAAACTCTGAGTAACAATATGTTTTTTTAGGTTCTGTTTTAATATTTCTATATCGCTCTACAATTGTTGTATTAAGAACTATTTTACGGTGAGAATATTTCGTTTATAGTTTTAGTTGTTAGAATTGTGTTTTTCATTATTTCAAATTATTATACCTAGGTGTACAAGGTTATTTATTCTGTATTTATTTATTGTATGTTGATGTATTTTGAATCTGTTTCTGTGATTTGGACTGACAGATATACCCGTAAATTAAGATAGACGTAACAAAACTAATATGAAACTGTGAAAAGTTTACATAATCATTTTTAGTTTATTTAATTGCAGTCAACCCTGACACAGCTTTACATATTTGGTTTTCTTTGTTTTCTGTGTGTTACTTCACCACTAAATCTGATTGAAATACAGCTCAAGATATATTGTCTCTGTATTTTTTATGGCCGAAAGAACACTCTTTGTTATTAAAATACAGAGCTAGATATTTTGTTTCTGGTTTTTCTGTGGGTAACAGCACTCTTTGTTATTAAAATACAGAGCTAGGAATTAATGAAACAATATTATAAGTTGTATTTTATTCAGATAATGTGTCTTGGTATGATTATTTTAAATCTACAATATTTTTGTCTAATCAATCAAATTATTAGTATTACTACTTTCTAGATAAAGTCACCTAAATTCTGTTTATTCTTTGTTTTATGTGTTTATCTATTGTATAATCTTCAATATGAATAAATTATGTTAGAATATTTCATTGTTTTATATCCTTAAGTTATTTATTTGTCAGTCCAAATCCATGACGGCTAATGCAGTTATTGCTTCTGTGCACAAGAAACAACGTTTGGTTCTTACATGAAAAAAGCCCAATGGTTGTGAACTACATTCCTATGTATTTCCATGTTAGGACCATACGTAGTTTCATAAGGCTTCTGTCCTGACATGGAAAATAATTCCAATAATTATGCTTATTAGGTACATTCATCAACAACATCCCATATTACATATTAGTTGGACTGTCACTGGTGTTAGACCCTCATGTTTAGTCTTATGTAGCCCTCCCAGTGCACTGACATCCTTTACTGAAGCAAAGGAGACATACTTTAACATATTCTTTAGAAAATCAACACAAAAATTGATAAAGAAATGACTTTAATTCACGTATTTTTTACATTTTAATAAATGTAAACAATAAAGCCGCCATGTTTGTTTACGTTTTGACACTCTATCGCCCTTGAACTCAGAGTTTTGGCTGAAAAAAGACACAGCAACCGTTCAAAACTGGGTGTAGACCTCGTAGAATCGTGCATGAATGTAAACAAATCCCCATATTGCCATGACAGTGGTTTGATTTAGTCCTATCCTCTTTAAACTGATGTACAGTTGAAACTTCTGACAAAAAGCCGCCATTTTGTTTTTATTACTCCATTTGTTTTGTTTGATATTCGAGACTAAAGTTAAGTGCGCATGAACGGAATTGACCTAAACCGGAAACACGTGACTTATTATTTTTATTAACCAGACTTAAACGTCGATAACCAATTATGACTTTTAGTTCGAGACTGTTGGATGTAAACAAACATGGCCGACATCAAGCAGATTTTTCATAAATATTCTGGATTTTTGGCTGTAAAAGCGAATATATGAAGAAATGGTTTACTTTTAACGTTCTGCAGGTTGCACAACAACTTATTCAAGTTTATCGTGCACTGTCATGCGTGTTGACTGGAGGATAAACATTCTACAGCCATTTTAATGTCTAGAAATTGACTCAATTGAATAGCATGGTATTCCCTGATAACGTGGTAGAATCGGTAATGAGTTGGATGGTCGACTGCAAGGCGATTGGGTGCTGTGGATTCGAATCATTAAAGGTAAGAAATTGATCCTGGGGCCAGTGCTTTCGAGAGTCGACTCACAGGCCTGCTCTGTCACCTGATTAAGAATGACTTATTGTAAGGCATGATGTTCCCTGACAAGAATAATATAGTGATTGTTGCTTGATAATCTTGATTGTTGCTGTCACGTAGGATTCTGTCATATTCTGTGCAACTCTCAGGACTTTTTTAAAATTGTTATTAAATTGTTACTAAGTGATAGAGTGATGAGCCTGTCACACTTTACTTGTTAGTTTTATTTTGTGATTAATTCTTTCAGGATGAGATCATGATACTGATAAAAACTAAAACCGTGAGAAAGAAGATGATCTGTTCAAATGAAAAAGGGATACCCAATTTCGAATATTGATTTTCGTATTGTTTTTACTTAAAATAAACTAATTATATTGAATTTTTCTTTATCACCACCCCCCCTATGAAAGGAGAAGAAGATATTTGACATCCCTTGGTATTTCTGAGGCTAAATACCAGTTGCTGTTTGCAGATACATGTACAATGATTGTCTTAAAGATGCAGTCTCCCTATTTCTACAGGAAATGCATTTCCCTACCGAAACATCCATTTAAAGGCTATCCTAATACTTAAACATATACAAATTGAAGCAGCTTTTATTGAATGATTACACAACAACACAAATAGCCATTATAAACAGAACTGTCTTCTGTGGGCTAAACACATCCCTAAATCACCAGTAAATGGATTTTTACATCAGTAAATATATTTGCAGTGTAGTAGGGGCCTTAGAATCACCAATAAATGGATTTTTTACACTAGTAAATATAATTGTAGTGTAGTAGGGGCTTTAGGTAGAGTCCATTTCAAATTTTAAGGGGTGGAAGAGTCCATTGTAATTTTATAGGGTGGATAGGAAGAAAATGGAGTTAAAATCTCATTTCCAAAAAGTGGAAGAGTCCAAGTTGTTTTCGAAGAGTCCATTAGGGTTTTAAGGGTAGTGCAGGAAGGATTTTCTGACGAGCCGTTTAAAACCAAAAACTGGAATAGTCCATTATAACCCTGGAAGAGTCCATTTCGATTTATAGGGGTGGACAGGTATGAGCTGTTTTTAAAACAAAATGGCAACTTTTGGATTTTCAAATTTTCCCGCGCCCTAGGTCAAACCTGGGTCAAATTTAGTGCAAAAAGGTCAAGTAAGTGGGACACGGGGTTTTCCACTGGATTTTGGCAAGGGGGGATAGCTATGTTTTATTTTGGTTTTTCAGCAATTTCTGCTAAAGTATGCATTTTTTGCATGTTTTGAGGTTATTTTCTGTATTTCTATGTAAAGACACATTATTGGACTAAATACCAGTGCTATAGGTGTAAGAATTACACTACAGCACTTGAAAATAGCCCTGTGAACTAGAAATATGAAACAACCCAAGTGAAAGAGAGGCTGATCTCTGTCCAGTTGTAATTTGACCTCTGTTTTCTGATTGGTCAAAATTATGCTCTTTTATTTCTATTTAAAATTAGACCTTTAAAAGACAAAGTCAATATTAGAGGGTTGGATAGAGAGAGAAAAGACACAAGAAAGATTTATTTAGTTTATTTAGCTTGAAGAAACAAGTTGAATATTGTCCTATCAAAACAACTCTTCAATATAGTAAACAGGTGATGTTGACCTCTGACATCTAGGTCAAGGTACACTAAATATTGGCATGGAGCCAAACTAAATGATAGATTTCTGTCAAATTTCTTTATCATAGACTACATTTTCTGTTTCTAGCCTATTTTCATTCTTCCACTATTTCCTAGTGTGATATTTCCTTCAAAATATAAGCCTGCACATGCATTTTAATCTTTAGCACCAATGATTAAAGGGAAATAACCTTGCTGTAATTTCAGACCACAATAAAGAAGTTTCTGAGAGCTGATCTATATCAGATGCCAGTTGAAATATATCTGATTTTCCAGTCATTTGTCCCTCTAGAAGGAAATAATAAAACATGCCTGGAAGATAGAGATGTATTCCAACTGTCCTCACAACCCTGTGTTTTGGGAGTAATTATCCCTGTCTGGACAGAAGCAATAACTGGGCTCACTGTTATGGATTTGGACTGACAAATAACCCATTAAACGATATAAAACAATGGAATATTTTAATATAATTTATTCATATTGAAGACTGTACAATAGATAGACACATACAACAAAGAATAAACAGAATGTAGTTGACTTTATCTAGAAAGTTGTAATACAAAAATCATACAAATAATTTGATTGATTAGACAGAAATATTGTACATTTAAAATAATCATACCAAGACACAATAACTGAATAAAATACAACTCATAATATTGTTTCATTAATTCCTAGCTCTGTATTTTAATAACAAAGAGTGCTGTTACCCACAGAAAATACAGAAACCAGATATCAAGGGCTGTATTTTAATCAGATTGAGTGGTGAAGTAACCCACAGAAAAACCAGAAACAAAATATCTAGCTCTGTATTTTAATTGCGAATACTGCCGTTGCCCTCAGAAATATCTAGAGCTATTTTAATCAGATTGAGTGGTGAAGTAACCCACAGAAAATAAATGAAACAAAATATCTAGCTCTGTATTTTAATTACGAATACTGTCGTTGCCCTCAGAAATATCTAGAGTTATTTTAATCAGATTGAGTGGTGAAGTATCCCACAGAAAATAAATGAAACAAAATATTTAAAACTATCAGGGTTGAATGCAATGAAAAATACAAAAAGGCTTATAAAATGAATTGAATAAACTAATAATGATTCACGTTAAATTCAAACAGTTTCATCTTAGTTTCATTACCTCTATCTTAATTAACGGGTATATCTGTCAGTCCAAATCACAGAAACAGATTCAAAATACATCAACATACAATAAATAAATAATTAAAAAGATACAATATTAAAATACAAGATTTTAACAACTAAAATTATAAACATGACCTCTAGAAATTACAAGATACAATATTAAAATACATGATTTTAACAACTAAAATTATAAACATGACCTCTAGAAATTACAAGATACAATATTAAAATACATGATTTTAACAACTAAAATTATAAACATGACCTCTAGAAATTACAAGATACAATATTAAAATACATGATTTTAACAACTAAAATTATAAACATGACCTCTAGAAATTACAAGATACAATATTAAAATACATGATTTTAACAACTAAAATTATAAACATGACCTCTAGAAATTACAAGATACAATATTAAAATACATGATTTTAACAACTAAAACTATCAACATGACAGTACACCTCTAGAAAATTACAAGATACAATATTAAAATACATGATTTTAACAACTAAAACTATCAACATGACAGTACACCTCTAGAAAATTACAAGATACAATATTAAAATACATGATTTTAACAACTAAAATTATAAAATATATAGACACAGCTTTAAAGAAGAACAATCACTGGTTAAAGTTTTATTCAACGTTTCGATGTGTTTCCCTCGTGGTCCTCAGGCACATAATTATAAGAGGTATTGGGCAAAGTATATATACAGTAATGTTTATTATTAAGAACATTACAAGCTTGTTTACGATATATCAATATGGAGATGTGGCAAATCAACTCATAAACAAGCTTGAAAAGAGTGAGGGTAAACTAATTCAAACATGTAAACGTTCTTAATAATAATAATATTAAAACTATAAGAATATACAAGATACAATATTGTTGTCTGTGGTTCCTGCAATTCCACTAAAACTAAGCGTTTAATGATGTCACTATCACAAAATCTGCATAGTGACGTCATAAAACAATAAGTTGGAATCGCAGGAATCACTGATGTCTGATCTACACCTCATTGATTCCCCCTCCTCCCCCTCCACCTTCATTAATTCCAACCCTTTTCAATTTTGGTTATCAGCGGTCCTCAACGTCTGTCTTAGGTTTAAAAAGATCCTCGAGATCCAACATGTTTTGTGGAAGCTCTTTTCCCATCGTCTCTGGTAGAAATATGATCAATATTGTAGCTACAATACAACATATTCCTAGTATTGCTCCTGGAGCCCATGAATAACTTCCAGCCTGAAATACAGTAGAGAAACTATTTTATTACAAATCAAATCAAATCGTCTTACGTCTGCACCTAATCGGGAGGTTGCCATGGTAGCTGAGTGAGTTAGAAGCTTGCTAACCTAAAGGGCCAGGGTTTAATCCCAGAATAAGTGGAGATAATACCTTCAGATTTTCAACGTCAGTAACGCAAATCAGAGGGGCTGACATGGAAAAAGCTTCTAGTTGTTCTGATAGGACAATAAACCGAGGCCCATGTGCTACAGGTTGCGAACATTAAAGACAGTTAGAATTAACTTAATTTGGCTAATGAAGACTGGCAACGCCATGCAGTGTACAATGAGGGAAATTTTTCCAGCAGCATTAGCCTGTTCTTTTTTGATTTCCAACTGTAGAGGGATCTTTAACGTGCACAGCCTGTAGCACACAGCTCCTTGGTTTATTGTCCAATCCAATCAGCCCCTCCTCCGATCTACATGAGAAATGCCGAATGCATCAACACAACTCATTTAGAAATATGATTTCTTTAAGTCTCTGATACCCAGACTTCTCCTCTCCTGTTCTGTCTAAGCAGCTGTATGTAGATAAAGTAGGACTGGATAATGAAGGCTGGACTATCATTAAGACTGGAGGAAGAAAGCTACTGTATTGTTTAAATACGTACCAGTAGACTGGAAAACGGAGCTATCATTCCACCAATACGTGCTGCTGCAGACGCTGTACCATAACACAGATTTCTGGAATAAATTTATACAAATTAGTCAGTAAGTCAGTAAGTAAGTTAATAACTAATTAAGTTAATAAATAAGTCAGCCAGAAAGTCAGTCAGAAAGTAAGTCATCCAGTCAGTAAACAAGTAAGTAAATAAATAAGTACGTCATTAAGTAAATCACTTATTTAGTAAGTCACTAATCCACTCAATAAGTAAGAAAGTCATTAAGTAAATCACATATCAAGTGACAAGTAAGTCACGAAGTATATCACGTATTTAGTAAGTCACTTATCCACTAAATAAGTAAGTAAATAAATAAGTAAGTCACTAAGTATATCACGTATTTAGTAAGTTACTTATCCACTAAATAAGTAAGTAAATAAATAAGTAAGTCATTAAGTATATCACGTATTTAGTAAGTCACTTATCCACTAAATAAGTAAGTAAATAAATAAGTAAGTCATTAAGTATATCACGTATTTAGTAAGTCACTTATCCACTATATAAGTAAGTAAATAAATAAGTAAGTCATTAAGTATATCACATATATAGTAAGTCACTTATCCACTATATAAGTAAGTAAATAAATAAGTAAGTCATTAAGTATATCACGTATTTAGTAAGTCACTTATCCACTATATAAGTAAGTACGTAATTAAGTAAGTCATTAAGTAAATCACTTATTTAGTAATAAGTAAATAAATTTTTACCTGACATTGGTGGGAATCATTTCTGGTGTATACATAAAAATAACATTGAAGGAACCTGATATACCAAATTTACCAATTATGGACAAGGTAGTGGACAAGGCTGATGACCAAGGAGTATCTGAAATATAACAATTATTTTGCATGTATTCAAAAACCACATCTACCTCCAAAACCATGTGAACCATGGCAATGAAAAGAAGTAATACCATTGTAGACCTATTCAAAAGATTGCGCTCACTGCATCCAAATGGCTCAGACATGTAAGCCATAATAAACCACTTTAATTGACCCCTTGCCATAGAATTTATAGAAAGAAGGGCCCTTAACCAGTGCATTCAGGAAGAAATTGAGTTACAGATTATCAGCTAGACTGGTCATTGTTGACCTACTCGAAAGATTGTGCTCACTGCTTCAAAAACTCAGAAAAAGAAGACATAATAACAATTGACCACTTACCATAGAATTTAAAGATGGTGGACCCGATCATTCCGATGGCAGCTACAGCATGAAAAGCCATACATGTCTTCTTTCTACCATATCTATAAACAGAATTCATATTACAAACAATCTAATATATTCCACTACAGCCACTCACTACACACACCTTAACAATGACCACTACTTCAATCAAAGTATGATGTATCATATACAAGACAATATACAATAGGATCCTCGACCAGTGCTTTCAGAATATACAAGATATAATAACCAGTATTACCAATGGCTCGACATCTCTGGCCCTACTCAAGTTCCTCAGATGTGATACCTGGATGATAGGATGATATCACATGCGTATATCATTCTGAGAAACAAGGTTGAGCCAGATTTGTCGAGCTATCTAATCGACAGGGCTACAACCCTCCCTTCCTGCACCACAGCGTGACTAACCTGTCTATATAGTGAACCACTATTTCACTCTATTAGAAAGAGCTACAACCCTTCTCCCCTTTTGCCATGATATCAGTACTAACCTGTTAATAGTGAACCAGTATATCAGAGCTGAAGGCCCCTCGACCAGTGCTTGAGATTTTACCAGATGTCATAAGATATTGAGAACTTTTACAGACAGAGCTACTACCCCCACCCCCTTTAGGTATGATATGAGTACTAACCTGTCAATAGTGAACCAGTATATCAGAGCTGAAGGGCCCTCGACCAGTGCATTCAGGAAGAAATTGAGGTAAAGATTACCAGCTAGACTGGACGAAGTTAAAAATAATCCATAATACGTCAAGCTATTGGTAAACCTAAATAACAAAATAACATATATTAGTTATATCTGCCTTAGTCTAGTCAGCATCGGTGGCGTTCTACAGGGGAGGGTGCTAAAAAGCAGCTGGCCCCACATTGCCCCTCCCCACCCCTACTTTCAAATTTTGTATCATTTTGTAGAATAGCCTGTAGAATAGCCTCTGGAAAATTTTGTGGCCCCTGCACGCCCTCTCACCTAATTTGTTTCCTAGATACTCCACGGAAAAAATACCTTGCTATGGCTTTTCTATGAATCATTAGGCGAAAGGTTGTAGGTGAGTAGGGGCTTTCCTTATGTAAAATGAAAAAGATATTTGAAAGTGGAAGAGGGGGGAGGGGGGAGAGGGCTATATCAATGAGGGACTATATAATAAATTCAAATGTGTAAGACTTATCATAAGAAAATCAAAACAGACCCGTCGTTTGTTTGTTCGGAGGGGCAATGATGAATGGTGATTAGTAGCAGTAGCTACTGTAACCTCCTCCACCCCTCTCCATCCTCCTCAAAAAAGGTCGCATAACAGGAATCTAAAGCCATACATACCAGATAAACCACACTATGAGTAGAGTTACCACTATTCTTCTATGTTTAAATAGATCACAGAAGTTGTAGTTTTCATTGATGTTTTCTTTCAGTTTTCTCCCTTTGTTTTCAGACGTCAAGAGAGTTGTCACCTCTGGAAACTCATCACCCGTGTTAAGAGCGCCATCTGGTTCATTCGATATTGGTATATTTTCGTAAATTATCTGAAATTGGTCAAAGATCAAGTTATTTGAGAAAGTGTGCTTATGAAAATGAATAAGGCAATGTATTGTATAATTGCGAGTATTATGCGCATTTTTTGCCCTAAAACAAGAATGGAATTGTTTGCCAGATGTTCCTAATTAATATTTACAGTTTGTCAAGTGGTCATTTTTAACTGTCAAACACTGATAATTCTGGACACACAGGATTTGAAGGCTCAAATTTTGACAGTGAGCTGTGAACACTATTATTGATTGGCTTAGCTAAAGCTATCTTTGCTTGATAATGACGAAAGACCTGTCCTTTTAATGGATGTACCACCTTTGTGCGCCTGTTTTATTTAAGTAGGCTTTCACCAGCCTACGGACTACTGATTTCCAAGTGAATCAACTAACCTTCAATGGTTCATTTGCATTGATCTTGTTCATTTTGGCAGCTTTCTTCACCAGTCGTACCGTCTCTTCTAATCTGTTGTTAGCGACCAACCATCTTATTGATTCATCATTTATCCTGAAGGACAAAATGGCGCTTAAATAATACATTGATGCCTTGAATACAAATATACGATTTCCATAAACCAAAGGAAAGTTGGAAATGACCACAGACAAATAATAACAACAGAAATGATGTTTTTTTTATTGCTTTTTCAAGATATAACTCAATATAAACAAAGTTCAAGCTGCTTTATCAAACAGTACAAGAGCTGTTGGTATAAGTTCCTCATGAAGCTGTCAAAAGAATACTGAACAGAATGCAAACTAAGGGAGGTAACTATATTAAAGGTAGATAACTCACCAGTACTGTACTAGAGAAAAAAGAGAAACAGACGTCAGCGTTAAATTGACAATCTGCCAGCTGTACATGCGCACAATATATGCCACTGGTGACAGAGATGATACACACACGGTCCACGTCAGTAATCCAAAGCTTCCAACATATCTCCTTTGATGATGTGGGAAGATTTCGATGAGGTAGGTCACTGCTGCCAAAATCATACCCTAAGGAAGAAGAAGATAGAAAGTTGTATTATATTTAATGCTGATGCTGATATTGATCCTGATGAAGAAGGGAGAGAAGGAAAGAAGAAGAGAAGGAGGAAGGAAGAGAAGAAACGAGGAAGAGGAAGAAGTAGAAGAAGGAAGAGAAGGAACAAGAAATAGGAGGAGGAAGAAGGAAGTGAAGAAGGAAGTGGAGGAGGAAGAAGGAAGTGGAGGAGGAAGAAGGAAGTGGAGGAGGAAAAACACGGAGGAAGAAGGAGAGAAGGAATGAGGGAGTGAAGGAACTAGGAAGAGGAAGAAGGAACTAGGAAGAGGAGGAGGAGGGAAGAGCAGGAAGAAGGGAGAGAAGGAACGAGGAAGAGAAGGAGGAAGCAATAGAAGGAGTAAGGAAGAGGAAGTAGAAGCAGGGAGAGAAGGAACGAGGAAGAGGAGGAGACAAGGCGGAGGAGCATAGAGGGTAAGGAGGAGGAGAAGGAAGAAGGAGGATGTGGGAGAAAGAAAAAGAAGGGGGGAAGAGGAAACCGAAGAAGAGAAAAAAAGGACCCCCCCCTCCCCCCTAACCCTAACCCTAACCCTAACCCCCCCCCCCCCACACACTCCTCTCTCTCCCTTACGATGGTATAGTAATAACGCCAGGCTTACCGAAGATCCTACTCCAGATAAAAACCTCGTCACTGCGAACAGACTATAATTTGGCGCCAACGATGATCCGATTCCAGAAACCAAAACCAGCATTTGAGCCAGAATGATGACTGGTTTTCTCCCGTACCGATCTGAAGCTATCGTGAAGGTGGACGATCCAACAGCCATTCCTAGGCTCATCAGGGTCTGGGAAAAATCATTCAGGGCGGCTCGATCACAAACTAGGTCGAACTGAAAGATCAATGACATTGAAATTTGCAATGAATGCTCATCGTTTCGGAAGACCTGATGCTATTTGCGACAGGATTTATTAATTTGGCATGTGCAGAAGTAACTGATCATAAGCCCATGGCGTCTTGTACCAGTAGTGGATTGGAGATCCTGTCACGCAGTGGTATAATGATCGAGTTGTTGGTATCGTTAATGAGGGGAGGGGGTCGTGCGTATCTTTCAGGAACACCTGATGCGACTAGAAAGGGGGAGGGGTGCTAAATTAAATAGTAAATGGTATAACTCACGTAAGAAACCACCGACATATCTTTCGGATATTCATACTGATAACCGTAGAGGCAGGATGTAACGTTTTTAATACCAGTATCGTTATCTGTGAAGGTGATTGAACACTGGTCTAACACGTAGTCGGAGTCGTTGCCGTAAATTCCAGGCGGAGGGGCACACGTATGAGGATTTGCCTTCCCTGCAAGGATAAAGATTTGTTGCGGAAAGTCTATCTTGGTCTACCATGGAGCTAAGATGCTCCATGGGAGACCAAGATAGACTTTCCGCAACAAATTCACAGCGTCAAGCGATTACGAAGTTCGAAGTTCGCAATAACTTGACATTGCGAAGATGTCCTTGGGGCTGCAACCTCCATTTTGAGACCAATTTTAAGCTTTTTCGCTAACTGTTAAGAACACTGAAAGCATTGCCGATTGAAAATACACTATATTATATGTTAAGCTTGGTATGCTACTTACCCAAGAAAACGATGCTCAATGTTGGGAAAGCCTCGGAAAAATAGACAAACGTGTTCGCAAAATACATGAAAATTTGATAACGACCATTACTTTTCAACGCAATGAGAACGTCATCTACATCAACACGGCTCAGATCCGCCATTTTTTTCGCCATCTTGGATTCTTCATATACTTCACTACTCTCAAAAAAGATCGGTTTGGACAACCGTGTGATTTCCTGAGACCATCAATGTCAAACTAGACTCTTCTTGAGACGCCCTTGAGATCAATCTTTTATCTTAAGATGCGTTACACCAGATCAGATTATGCATAGTCATGGATTTGGTTTGATAAATGACTTATCAGTCTGTACAATTTAGCCAAGTCACACTCGATAGGCTTCACAATATCAAGCTTTTACCAACGTCGTCTAATACCTTGGCATTGTGAAGATGATTCGGTATTTGCATTAACTTTATATTTAAATCTCTCTGAATAAAAGTATTCAATTCGGTGTGTGTGGAAAACACGAGGAAATAGTGCGCCTCAAAGCCAAAGTGCATGTTGGCGTATGCCTTGCAAAGAATGGGCAACGGCATGCAGTGCACAATGAGTGAAATTTTGCCAGGACAGCGGCATTAGCCTACTCTTTGTCGAAGGATAGTTAACGTGCAAAGTTTATAGAACAAGAGGCCTCGGTTTATTGTTTTATCCGAACCACTAGAAGCTTTTTCCATGCCAGCCCCTCCGACCTGCATCACTGACAGGCTGGAAACATGGTTGAAACATCAGAAGGTATATCTCGACCTATGCCGGGATTTATTTAATATCATTACGAATAGAGAAACAATGTATATCAATCAATAATAAGCATAACACAAGTTGAATATAGCTTTTTATTATCAGTTTATCACAGCTATCTTAGTTTGTTTTTTACTTTCATTCGATTTAATTGCCAGTGGATTTATTTCTGAAAGAAGAATGAGTATTCTTTTATTATTTGACACCTGAAGAAAGCTCGTGGAGTCATTCCTTTAAAGGGATATGACCCCGTCTTTATACAATAAAATGTCTGTGAGAGGGTGAAGGCATTTGAAAGAGAAAGACACACATACCCATTCGTTGCTGGGTCAAAGCAGCAAGTGGTTTCGTTGTCTGATTTTGAGCACAGATCAGAAGGTCCTTGGAGCCAGTTGGCCTCCTGACAGTCCTCTGGAAGCATGCAGACACCAACCACCGTAACAGTGTTGTTCACACCACATTCTGTAATAAAGAAATGCCATGGAGTTTTACGTCCTATTCTCGAGGAACAATAGGGTGGCAATGTCCATGAAAGTCTGTCGCTATCGATGATGGCCTACACTTGTGGGGTATAAAGATGATGATGGAGGTAATTCATTCCCTATGTAGCCTAAAATGATAGCCTCTTTTCTGCACCCCCACCCCTCTTTCCTAACACACACACCCACCCCACCCCCGTACAAACGGTACTAGTGGTAATATGACGTAGTTTAACGTCTATATAGATATTATAATGTAGTTTTTCGTTCCACTTTAATAAGAAAAAGTAGGAGCATGATGATGAAATTAGTGGAGCGTAGAATGACTATGAATAATATACTACAAGAATATTGATTCTAATAACGTTGACACTTCTCATAAACTACCGTCTATATACAGATCACCATATTTGACTTTAAAAACATTGAATGCTAATTTGGAGACAAAGGCCTAAATCTCTTTTACACCTATTAAATTTTGAGGTGACAGATCCGATAGGCTTTAATATTCAGTAAATGTAAATGAATCGAAATGTGGGCCTGACAAAATTTAATATGAACCTGTCTAAAGTAGTCTGGATCCGAATCTGGCCGTTCTATTCCTTGTTCAAATGGGACCGAGTGTACAAGGGGTCATCGTGTCCAAACCACACCCCCATTCGTCATACTAAGACCATGTCAAAGCCCGTATTCGTGATACGATGACATGGGGTAGGCCTTTAAGACGTTAACGTTAGTAAGATAATTATGACGTAAACACACGTAATAATGATGACGCCATTCGTAATGCACTCCCTTTGATGTAGCTGTATATGATTATGGTGTCATCTCGCTTCTGAATCCAAATAGTTCTTCCGCTTCTATGGTGCTTATGATGAATTCAACAATGTTTAACGTCGTATTAAGGGAGCCATCTTTAATCCTTAATGTAAACGTGTGAAATAACAGGTTTTAATCGCAAGGGTAGAGCAACCATCATAGATAAAACAAAGTGGACATGCATTATGTCTAAATAGTCAAAGATATATAGGCCTATAACAATCAACAGACATGGTAAGCAGCCAATTGAGCACAAATATTTAACGCACCAGTCAGTTAGAAACGATACAATAGACACACTTCCTTCAGGAACACACAATAACATAAAAAAAAGTTCTTTGAAATATCATAGGCCCTACGGTGGCAGTCAATTGAGCACAAACAGTTAACGCGCCAGTCAGTCAGACACGGTACTTTAGACACACGAAAACACCCTGGGGTGTGGGACTAAGGTGTCAGGGGTGTGGCCAACTGGTGCAGGAGAAGAATTCATATGAGTTCAGAGAGCACCTCACATCATCACATGCTGCAAATGTGGATGAAACAAATTTTTGGGGAGTGAAAGGTCCACGTGATTGCTCCAGGGGAGTGAAGGCTGAACTATGTTGAGAACCCCTGATTTAGGCATACGTCATATATAGGCACAGGTCATATAGGCTAGGCATATTTAGGCGTTAAAGCTGTCAACACCGAAAAAAACCCGAAATCATAAGAATGGAATACACTTACCGATTCCGAGCGGTTCCTCTGTAGTTAATATACCGAGAAGACATACATAATAAAGCAATAGCACCGCGACGTATACATCCACAATCTGCATACTGAGACTGAAACGTACTGCTTCTATTAAAATACCTCATCAACTCATCGTTTCGATATTATTAAAGCTAACTGGAATATATACAGTCGAAATGAACGTGGGTTTATCAGATTTGATAAAGCTTGCTGCCGCTGTGTGAAATTACGAATCGATTTCTAACATGTAATTTCATATAACTAATATTTATATTCATATTCAATTAAAATATGAAGTTCATTATACAACATAGAATATCTATTTATTAAACATGTACATTTACAATAATAGCAATAATAAAAATAGAGACCATAATGGAGCCAGAGAACATAACAGAGAGCGAGAACATTACAGAGATCGAGGCCATAAGAGAGGCAAAGAACATTACAGAGATCGATAACATAACAGAGACAAGGAACATAACAGAGACAGGGAACATAACAGAGATCGAGACCATAACAGAGATCGAGAACACAACAGAGATCGAGAACATTACAGAGATCAGGACCATAAGAGAGACTAAGAACATTACAGAGATCGAGACCATTAGAAAACATAACATCGATTACTGTGATCATATCGATTACTGTGATCATTTTGATGATAACTGAACACAATGTACCCTGTGGCGCATTGCCCCACTTTAAACGCTTGCTGTGCAAATATTTCTTCATTACAATCTATAGCTCTCGGTCAGATATCTATCTACCAATATATTGTTATTATTTTAATGATGATACTTATAAAAGTATAAAAAAGCAATATATAAGAGATAAGTTCATCATGCGAATTTAATTAAACATTTTTTGGCATTTAATTTCTCATAAATTTTCTAAATATTTGAATTTTTTGCTTCAAGCAGCCTAATTTCAGCTCACCAGACCTCAGATACCTTCATTTCACGTATTCATTCATTAATGTATCCATTCATTAATTCAATCATACCTCTATTCATTTATGTTCGGTCTCTAGGATGACCTAACAACTATTTCAGGATACTTAGAAGAAGAGCATCGAACTCGGCATCTTTACAATGGTCAATCTATTACGAACAGAAAGTTTTCAACAGCTTGACATAGTAAAGATGCTAGATCGGAGACAATGTACCTTCCTGTGTGGTCTGGAACAAGTCAGACTTGGAGAACTCGGCTGAGAACATAATAAAGAAAATCTTAGTCAATCATATACACTTTATTCTCAATAATAGATTACTGAAATATTAACAGAAATAGAATCATCTCTTACATCATTATGGTCAGTAGCGCCACCAGTCTCCCGAGACTAGGGGTACAAATAGGGAGCAGATTGACTTAATGGCGGGACAACCGTCGAGATAAGAATTTAAAATGCTGCATCTCTGTGGAAGCGGAGAGGTGCGGCTGAGATGGTTCTCACTCTGAAACGACCTGTCTACAATGCACTTTCATAGAACTGCTTTTCGCTGCCGTTGTCAAGCATTGTTACTTCCGGTTGTCTCCTTCATCAAGCGGAAGTTGAAAGCGCTAGAGTTTCAAAATTCAAAATCACAGAAGGTGCTAGAAGTTAGTAAAAGATCAGAACACAAACGTTATCCAAGCTAACATTTCGGATATTCAACTAATGACAATCACACAATCAAATCCAACCAATGAGCGTCGATATGTTAATATTGTCCGAATCAGTCTGCAACTTCATCAATTCGGACTTTAAACCTTGTAAATGGATAAAAGCTTTAGAGTAGCCTCCCCTTATCTTTGAATCGTCTCCAACGGCAATGACAATCCCACCAGAACTTCCGGGGCACGTGTCTGCAGTGTGAACCAACACCTTTTTTTTGATGAAGTCACTTTCGTCCTTGGTTCCAACAGCATGCTTCGATTTCAAAGAATCCTTGAGGACACTTCTCTCCAGCATTTCCTTTTGAATGTTCGTGAACGCTGTTCCCATGGTAACAGTTTTAGGGGCGCCGTGGGGATGTGAGATCACTATTGGCATTATGTCACTGTCTTCGCTATTCTGCCATAAGGGGTCGCGTTTCGTTAGTTCCCGTTTTATCACTTCCGGTACAGGATCAAACGAAATGATGGTATCCGTTTCGTCCATATAGAATATCCCAGTTCCCAAACTAGGTGCAAGCGCACCATCAATACAGAATTTGATTTGACAGTTCTCCGCCTGGAAATCTGTGTCTATCAAGTCAGTATTGGTCAAGACGTAATATTGTCCATCTTCAGTAAACACTTCCGCTTCTCCTGAACGCAGATTATCTTCTTCATCGGTCACAGTGACCTCGACCTTGAATCGGTCAATGTCAGGAATATATGACTTGCATATGACCTCAGGTTCTGGGTCAAAAGTCATTAAGGTCAATTGAGGGTTATCGGGTACAGATATTAGACCAGTTCCTTTGGACTTGAAGACGCCTTTGTAGTCTGAAGTATCGTAGAAAAAGTCGACCTCGGTTTGGGAAGCTGTTGTGTCATTGGGCACTAAACTTCGTGGCACGGCGATAACAGTTTGTCCTCGATATTTCGTCACTACGCCACTTCCATAAAAGGAGTCCAATTCTGATGCATGGACTGTTACTCGGACTACACGTTTGCCAACGTTCACAAGATATTTGTATAGTCTGTCATTTTGAAACTGTTCGGGTATGTCAGTAGGGGTCAATTTGCAGAATTGAATGTAGTCCGAGTGCTGAGATTTCTTTCGGCAAGTTTCAGCCTGATACAACGTCCGCGCACACTCCGTAGATATTTCAATATCGGTAGGTGGCGACACTCTTACTACTTCATTTACTGGCACATTTTCATTGGTTTCTGAAACTGCTTTCTGATTGGTCAAAAAACCAGGGACGTAAGATGTCAATGAAGAAATCCAATTTCCCATTCTCGTCAAACTTCACTGTCTGAAATGCAAAAAATAATTAAATGAAATCTATGTAACAGTGTATATTTTTTTTTACCTAGGTAGCCTTCCATAATATGAATTTTTGCCAAAAGAATCTTTTGGATGGTTTACTGCGGGCCTTATTCTCAAAAACTTAAGTAAGATGAAGTCGATGAAGTAATCTGATTGGATAATTAAGCTATATTCGAAATCAATTCTCATTGACAAATATTAGCTCTGTTACAATAGACCAATCAGATCAATAATCTATCAGACTAAGGTCCTACGTTTTGACCTATTTAGCCTTCCATAATCAATGTCTGCCCTCAAACAACATCTAATCTGTTGCTGATTTTCTCAACGGAGGTGGTAACGAGATTGATTACAACTGAACACCAGTTAACATTTTAACAGACTGGTGTCAGCACAATAAAACCATTAGAGAAATGAATACCATTGTATGGAGGGGTATCAATGCCAAAATTCTAACTGACAAAATTCTCCCGCGGGATCAGTTAAAATCAATGCCACAGTTTCCTTTGGATATCAAGTTGAATTCTTGAAGCGTTTACCATTGTGTGGCAGGAGATTTTAACCAACTGAAGGTGCTCTGGAGAGAATGGTCGATTACAAATGCCATTACTTTTCATACTTGTGCATGTACCCAGAGCAACGTTTCAATGAATTACATGATCATAAATCTGTCTGGTGATTAAAAAACAATACAACATTGACATTTTACATAATGTATCCTCAATATATAAGAAAACAACGTTTCAATAGATTACATCATCATGAATACTTGCATTTTACTACTATTTATGCCTACTCACAACACAACGTTTCAACAAATCACACAACGAATTATTTTAATACAATGCACTGAATGTCCCGATCAGAAAGAAAAGACAGATGTTGAAGATGTTTACTAATTGTGAAACAACAAACAACGTTCTAAACATTTTGTCAATATAGTAAACAAAATGTAAACAATCATCAAGTCAATGTAAACATTGAATCAAGTTGTTGAACGATCATGTCTGCTAGCCTTCCAAAATACCCAACTCGGCGAATCTCTGAGAGCAAAAATATAACATATATCATCTATAAACTAATAAAAAATGACAAACTTGACAACAAAGTCAAGCCCGTAACTACAGGGAGGGAATGCCCCCTACCCACCCTCGAAAAAATAGATTACACCCCCACAAATTTTCTCTGACAACCGACCAATTCCATTACTGGAACTAAACATCATAAACCATTGCTCCTCTGAATATATTACTTGCCCCTCCGAACTATCAAGTGTGGCTTCGGGCCTGTTTAAAATTAAACTATCCCCCTCCCCCTTTTTTTAGAAGCACGCCTCGCTACCCGTCACCTAATACAGTTCTATGGTTTAACAATGAACAGACCTGACTCACCTAATACCTGTACGATTCCTACTGAATTCTTATACATCAACCCACAGTTACACACCATTATAAAGCCAGTCACTCGCCTATAAATCAATGCCAAAATATCAACCATTGAGTACGATTATCATACTAACAGGTAATGGTTTAGCCAATTAAAGATAATCCCTATTTAGCTATCTATAAGATTGGCTCCTTCAAAGTACGTTCACTGGTTAACCAATTAAAGGGTAATCCCCATTTAGCTATCTATAAGATTGTCTCTTTTAAAATTCACTGACACAATCTATTAAAAATTCAGATATCACCAAAAAACACAATGGCTCGAGCCCTTTGATTTCACTCCCCAATATTTCTTTATTTCAAAAATCAAGGTGGGATTGTATAATTAAATACTGTAATGGATATATACCATCCAAACAACTTTGGGCCCCTACCAAATGTCTGAAAAATGACCCCAAAAAAACAACAACCAGATTTTGCAATAATTGGGCCACAGGAGAAACATCAAAGCTGATTAAATAACGAGGTATACGAGTTAAAACGCCATTATATCGTTCTTAGATAACTTAATGTGTTTTACTGGACGTCAACGCCTATAGAAAGATTATCCTATATGATATAAGCTGAGGAAATATTATGTTTTAATTAACCGAATCGGTAAGTATCTGGCTCGAACCTTATCAATCTCGCTTCCTCTTTGATAAACAAATTGTTTTTACAGAGATCAACTTACACCATTTCACGCAAGCTTTTAGGTAGGGGGTACTAGATTAGTATCTTATAATGATGACCGATAGGTATTTTCCCCATTATACACTGCATGGCATTATCCGCCGTCATAAGCCACACTGGGGCAGGAAGATAGCTGGCGTAGTAACCATTTAATTTCATTTCAATCACCCCAGGGCTTTCAAACGTTGTGACCTTCGAACAAGGAAGACTTCGTGTGAATAAATTTTCGATCACACCCATAGATCAAAATACTATGGCAAAGGTCGACATGATCTTAAAGTTTGAGCCATTATCAAGAGCTGTAATCGAACGCATACACGACGAATGACGAACACACCTAACGAGCAAAACAATATTATAACTTTGAGCCCATATTCAGAACTATCATCGAACACATATCGACACATCGATCCACAAATTGGAGATTTTCATACTAAAGTATCGTGTCCCAATAGTTAACACCCTAGGGCAAGGACAGTCTTCTGTGATCAGATGGGAAAGGGGGGGGGGGGTGTTCATAGACTAAACGACCTTCAAAAAACATATATGAATAAATATTCGAACACACCCATAGATCAGAATATGATAGAGGTATTCGATTCCAGTTTTCTTGGCGAATTATCAGAATAAATAATGATACATTATAGTATAGCCTTGAAAAGCGTGATATATTATATCTATAGCCTTTACATCAATATCTACATATTATACACTGTATAGTTCGAGGCGAGTATGGGGCGAGCAGGGGCCACAAAATGGATCCCCTCCGCCACCGCACACAACTTGCCATACCTCTACATGCATACATGTTTACAAATGATATAGCTTAAAGACTCGTTAAAAAGAATCGTAAACAATTTTTCAGCCACGCACGTACATTTCAGGTTCATGTACCGATGATGAATGGAATCAAGTCTGGTACCCACGACCAGACCAACACCTGAAAGTCATAACTATTAAGTGAACCGGTGAAAAAACTCATTTTATCTCCCGTTCTGTTTACGTTAATTTGTTTATTAACTTCAATATACCAGAACTGGATATAAAAGAAGTTGCCACATTGCCATATACTGATGGCAAGCAGGACCAATTACATATAGCCACATTGCCACCCATCTTCACAATACCCAAGATATTGCGAACTTTGTCTAATACCTTGACTGCGATATCCACATTTCTTCATCGAATGCAGAGATCTGATTGGATTGTACGCCAACCAATACAGCCAATCAGAGCTCTCGACAGAAAGATAAATTGTTTTGCTGATTGGTTGTATTCACATTCCAATCAAATCTCTTCATTCCGTGATACAAGAAAGGTGACTATTGCTGTCAAGGTATAAGACTAAGTTCGTAATAGTCTGGCATTGTGAAGATGATTCTACACTATTGTGTATTTTTCTGTGATGTTATTTCTTTCTGATGTAGTTAAGATGTTATAAACAATTTCTTTTTATTGTAAATACAAAAGGTTATACCGCTTACATTATTACTTCAAACAACACCCTGGTCTTACAGCTGTTTCATAATCAGGATGAATGGATGAATGAATGAATGGATAGATGAAAGAATGAATGAAAGATCACTGCTTGAAGGTTAGGCAAAGGCACAGTTGGTAGAAAGCAACCTAACTCAAAAGACAAGAGGTTTGGCCAACTACCAACTAGTTGAAAGGATCCTCGTGAACCTAACTTGGGAAGATCAATGCCAAAAGGTTTGGTCAAGGACTTTTCTTTGTAAATAATGATTATTTCGTTCTTTCCTTATTCCATTATGTAATTCACATATTACAGACCAATTGAATGATTTTGTATCAATTTAGACTGATGCTAATCTTTAGTAGAGAAATTTGAGTAAGTAATTAACGTTTATTTAATATAAAACTCGAATACCACTTACAATATGCAATTTATATTTAATTGGTTCAATCTGCTTATGATTATTTCTATTCAATCCTACAGAAAGCTTGGTTTCTCTACGAATATTGCTATATTACTATACCATATCTCGTCTATATGCACCGTGCTTGCTATTCTCTTAACAACCGAACACCAAAATACAACCTATATCACAGTATGTAAGTTGAAAAAAACAAACACCACTACTATCAAACACATTCCTAACTGATTCTTTCTGGTAATTAAACCAAATAGTTTTACACACTGTGTAGGTAAAACATCTGTCAGTTATTAATGAAGAAAATATACGTACCCAAATTTTATGCCTCAGAGAAAACGTTTGGGTTGCCTTTTTGATACGGAATTACATACGTTATGACGTTATTCGCATGCAGTTACAGGATACGCCTACGTCTTAAGCCAAAAGAATTGAATTCTTTTTCAAAAACAAAACTTCTAAAACTGAGGACAAATCGATTAAGCAACAATTAGTCTTGCAGGACCTCACTATCGGTGCTGCAAGAGTAACCTCCTGTGCCTTGTGCCTTGCCAGGTGTCATATGAAATACTCTCCTATAGAAGCACTGGCCTGGGATACAAAAAGAGTAACCCCATGTGCCAAGTATAAGTAATGTTAAAGAAGATACTCGCATATAGAAGCACTGGCCAAGGTAACAAATGGACAACACAGTGCCTAATGGAATGAGCCACAAGTACAAATTAACAATTGGTAATAGAGAGAACAGACACTAACCTTCGTTACTAGTGTACATCCTTATTCATTCTGATCTAACTTATATCTACTATAACTCTATACTCTTAGTAATATACACCATTTCCTTACTGTATGGCGGGGATTCTGTATCAAAACCTAATTTGTTTTGTACGCTAGCGAATACAGCCAATCTGTGCCCTGGGCAGAAAGACTTTGGCTGTATTCGCTGGCGTACAATCCAATCAAACCGCTGAACATGAAACAAGAAAGTGGACCATTACAGTCAAGGTATAAGGTGAAGACGTAATATCTTGACCGTTATGAAGATGGGGGTACATATCGACTTGCGCTTGGGGAGTAAGAGACTGAGTGTTTGAGACTGTATAAAAGTCATCCAGACTGTATATCAAGTACATGTATATGAATATTATTAATAATATTGAGATAGAAAAAGCTTTGACCTTTCTTATATATCATATACATCATCTCATAATGAAAACAATATACAAATACTGTCTACACTACATTCTTGATGAGGCAACTTCTTCTAGGTCAATTGAACATGGCGTGTGAATCGGAAACATCAACACATGGCTTGTATTTAAAGGGGCATAGTCCTTTAACTATTGATCATATTCCTGAATTGAGCTCTATGTGTTTGGAATAGATCTACGTGATAGTATCCCTTTAACAATATTGCATCTTCTCTTGTCAACAAAGGGTGTGGTTGATAAGTACATGTCGGCAGAGGGGTGTGGTTTGAAAGAAGATGTCGAAATACACATTATGAAAGAAAGTGCTTCATTCGTTACTTCACGTACAATCTGGGTTTAAAACTAATGTCAATTGTTATGCATTATGCATGAGATATAAAGAATGAATGTTGTGCTTCATAGGTTCACTATATTCAAATATTGATTCTATATAATACAGAGACAGTTTTATAGTCAATAATACGATATTTGCTCTAATATAAGCATACCCTTGACAGATCGAAATAATGGTGAAAACAGTAGGCTAATACCACTGTCAGGATGAATTTGTCCTCATTGCACAATGCATGGTGTTTCCCATGAAAAACGACAAGGTAAAATTTATATACATAATACGACAGCTATAAATATAATATTTAACTGTTATTGAAACTGATACTATATGACCCAATATTCATAGCAATACAAACATTTATTGGCTACCGTCAGCTCTAAATGTAGATGGACTACGCACGGGCTGGAGCACCATCTAACAGAAGCATCACAGCACCATCTAACAGAAGCATCACAACATCTAGCTCAAGCAACCCTGGCCCTATATGTAGACCCTGACAGATGATTTGCGACGATCCATCCAAATCATCTGTCGGAGATTGAAGACAGGGTCGGGCTATCTTGGACTACACCCAAGTTTGGCAGAGTGAAGAAGACCGAGTAACTCATCATACCAGATCAAACAAAATCTCAAAAGCACAGAACCACCTTATTTAACCAACCCAACTACCAACTACTACGACCATCAACAACTACCTAATTTCCGGTATCAGTTTCCGCTAGAAGCGAACGTTAACTTGTCATCTACCATTTAACCAACGTAGTTTCCTTTGGCCGAAATTCAAGAATATAAGAACGTAGATTCGAAAACAAATTGAAGATTCAAATGGATATACTAATATCATATACATTACATACCTTTCTTGTTATTCCCAGTCTGAGATTCCCAATACTCTTCAGTTTCCTCCAAATTTCAACGCGTAGTACATTATAACCGTATCAACGATCGTTTAAACACCAGTCCAGTCGATTTCCACAGTCAACAATGTCCGTATCAATAAGAGACATAAAGAGATGTTGATGTGCCGCATTGCCTGTTACTTCGACATTTCGGATCCGGTACAACCGGAGACGACGTGCTCTTCAGTATGTTCATCGATTAAGGATAAAGCCGCGGATAGACGAGACACGGTGCCCACATCCTGCTGGCAAAGATAACTAAAGTTGTGAAGCTGCTATCATGTGGTGGTGGCCCTAGGAAACCCATTGGATCCGAGTGGCCAGACCTGATTAAATCTCAGGTTCACTTCTGATACCGCGGATTGGGAAGCAGCCCTCTGAACATTAACGTATGGTCGGGTGGAGGCAAATCAGTCTACCCGCCTATCAATAACAGCCTATTTTTAACCGGATTATATGACTAAGTACAGTTACAAGTAGAAACAGGAAAACTTTTACTTTATTGTCGCTGACTATTCATGCATAGGACTCTATGTTGATAATGCACAGGTTAAAAATAGATCTTAGGCTATATATCAACTGTTTTAAGGCTGAGGGTAATCTTTAAATTGGCACACGGGGTGCACAAAGACAGTTGTCGTTGGGGTGGGGGCGGGGAGGGGGATGTATGACACAACTTTAAGAAACTGTTTACCCTGAAAGTTCTACTAGCGATCTGTGAGAGGCCGTGGGAAATGGTGTTTAGTTGCAGTACTGAAATGGATCGGTTGTCTGAATCTTTTTTCAAGGTGGGAGGGGGGTAGTCCATTTTTTCAGGCAGTGCTCCCCCCTCGCCCCTGGTAACTACGGGCATGTCAAGTTTATCCACAAGAAAATGCTGGGAAAAAACAGTTTATTTAAAAAGGTGCATCAAAGATCAGCAACATAAGGCTAAAATCAACAGAACAAAGAGAAGACAACTCCATTATATTTCTAAAGGCTTCAGACCGAATTCAAGTAACACATTTTTATTTTTAGACTGAATGGTCGTGCTCCGTTCTTCCCAACGTTCTTTGGCTACTTCCACTTTCTGGATCAATGCATCTAAGGCTCCTCTTAGGATTCCTTCATAGTCCTTTTCCATGCTGTTAATTTTCAATTTCAGATCACTGATCGTCAATTCCCGATTTTGGATAATTTTGTCCTTTTCTTCTCGCGTTTTCTTCAGTTCTAGTTCAGTTTGAGATAACCCAGATCGAGTTCGAGCTAGCTCAGTTTCCAACTGATGTATTCGGAGACTCATCTCTGTTTGCATGGTCTTGTACTGTCTGGTCATGTCTGCGTTGACTGTCTTCTGGTTGGATTTAGTGTCCTCCAGTTCTTCTTCAGCTCCCAGCATCCGTTGCCTCATCTCATCTTTATACGCCACTGATCTTCGAGTGAATTCCTTACGGATTGATAAATGATCTTTCAGTGCTTGGATCTCATCTACAGTTCTTTTGTACTTGTCTTCAAGCTCCAGGGTGGCATCATCCTTCTTCTTTCCCTTCTTTTTCCCCTTTCCCTTCCCCTTCTTCTTTTTCGGAGGCATTGTGTAAACTTTATAAGCTTATGGTGTCTGGAAAAGAAATTGATGATGCTCGGTTCTAATGGAACTAATGAACTTCTTGGTGCATTTTTGGAACGATCATCCAGATTTTGAATGGTTCCAGGAAGAAGGAAGAACAGTCGGTTGAAGTGGCATGAGGTAGATGAGTGGGGACTTATAGATTTAATTTGGTCGGTGACCCATCCCAGGAGAATTATCTTTTAACAAATGCTCTAGTTCATTCTTTTACAAGTTGGTTTATATAATAACCCTATGGCCCGTGAACCTGGTTAAACCAGCCCCTGTTTTGATGATGGTAGTTAAGCCAATGATGAACTAAGCACTAAATAGTGAGTACATAGCTTAGCATTATTGTCTTATGGTCTGTTCTAGTACGAATAAATGAGTCATTGTTGCTGGCAGAGTTTGTATACTCCTTCGACACCCTTCATACTACGTAATCAAATAAGGCCCTAATAAGGTCCGCAATAACTAATTTTAAAAATCGAAAGTAGAATGAATAAAACGATCAATGCATCAAATTTACCATGAATTCTGATAAACTTAAAAACTTCAAATTGCTGGAGAGGTTAGCTGATGTAATGATACAAATAATGAAGCCCCTATTAAAGAGATGAACTACTTTACCTTGTTTATTCCACTTTGAATATTTCACAATTCGACTTTAATGAACGGGAATTGACAGGTCGTCGCGAATGTAAACAATGTAACTACGCATGCGCCATTTGCACCCGACACGCTTGGCTTGCATAAAAGTATGGTGGACAAAACGTGCCATATATAAAAGTTGTTCAGGCTTCCCAAAAAGACCAAATGTGGTTGTTTTTAAGACACGTTCCTGATTTTTAAACTACATGGGACAAATAATAAAAACAAAAGAAATACATAATAAAGAATTATTTTATTTTAAGAAAATTTGTAACATATAATATATCATTAAAAATTACTTATAACTTTAGGAAAAATAAACTGATATACGATTCACAATGCCAAGAAAATAGAGAATATTATGTGTTGTCTTTGGGGGCTTCTGAGATACAAAATTTCAACTTAATATCGTTTAACCAGCCATCACAACTTACACTTTAGTGATTACCAGTTGTGTATAGTTACCAATAAGAACAGCGATCTCATGTAACTGACTTGTGTGTTGCATTCGATACTCATGGCCGCTTTCATTATTCACAACCATACACAACTGGTAATCACTATGGTGTTAGGGTACCTTCACCATAATTTATTCTAATTTTTTAAAGGACACATGATTTCATATTGGCACGTAAAACGAAAATAGTCCTTAAAAATTGATTAGCGAAAATTTACCCAAATGTTTCTGTTGAATATATATTAAGTATACGGAAATATTATGTTTATTTTTGTCAAAAGCACTAAAAAGAAATGAGCAACAACATCGAATTTGTTAACATTGAGTTGTTTTGAGTAGATAAAGAGAGATAATGCCAACTATCAAATCTCTTTTGTAAAAATAAACAACAAATCTTAGTCAGTCTATCTTCACAATGTCAAAATATAAGATGAAGTTCATATTAGTTTGACATTGTGAAGATGCAGTCAGTCCTGGGCCAGGACATAGACCTGGGACCTTCCGCCTTATTCTCCAAAACTTCACTAAAATAAATTCAATAATCTGATTGGATAATAAAACTAAATGAAAATAAATTTAGTAATTGACCAATCAGATGACTGGAATACTTAATCGATCGTTAGTTAAGTTTTCAAGAATAAGGCCCAAGCAATAATACAAAAAAAATTGTGTCTTGACATTTCTACATTCATAGATTGGATATATCCCTATGTTGCTAATAGAAAAAGAAATGATATAAAATTAAGCTTTGTTAAAGACAGCCATGGTCATGAAATCTTCGTACCCCAACGTTATCTGACCTCTCATCTGGGGATCCCGTTGTTTGAAGGAATCTGTTAACCCTTTTAACATGACACAAGACTGGATAAACATGTCTAGTGTTAACGCTCGTCGTGCCTGTATATCAAATTTATAAGTAACCATCTGAGCAAACTGCGGGGAAAGGTTGTACCCCATTGAAGCATAGGCTGAAAAAAATGAAACAAAGACTTGATATTGAGTGAATAACAGTTTAATTAAAACTAAAGCAAACTTTCGTTCCGTTTTTTTTTATCAGCTTTTTTTTAATATAACCACAGGGAGCAGAGTATACTTACTCTTTTCGAAACACCTGATGGTACTTCTCTTTAGGGTGTCCACAACTGTACTACCTATACTCCCGATTTTGCCAATCTTTGGACGAGATTTTTGAATTGCTTGTACAAATTTTTATGAGTATCATATACAAATACCAAAGGGAGATTACTCACCATTCCTAAGTTCATTACAATCAATAAAGCCTGATCTATTGCCATCAAATCTTTCAAAGACTCCCTTCCATTGGTCAATATATTTATACAGAGCCTGGAACTCATTGATATCTATAGTACCACTCATATCTCTATCAAACATGCCTTTAAACACATTAAAACAAACTATAAACTGTGAAGCCTTTACATCAGAACCAAAATATTTCTTACAGGTAGTGTTCCTTTAAAATATTGCAGCCCGTTAACAACTCGTAGTTTGGTTCTTCTGCTGTATTCTCACCTCTAAGAAAAGTGGAGTCTCGTTTATCCAGACATTTCCGTTCGCGATAAAATCGTAATTGGAAACTGGAAAGTTTCCCAAATGTTAAATTACTTGTTAGAATCGTGTAGATGATCTTATCTCAACAAAAATTTGACGAAATATGATAACTACCATATATCAGGATATGGAAATATGACATTATTTTCAACTGAGGTGGTAGATATATTACTATATCATATTTATCATGGTATATATATTATACTGGTATATCACCCAGCCCTGCTAACATAACATGTTCTATCAGATCAATCATGACAGATTTTTAACTTACCAATCATAAGACGACAAGTTTCAGCATTAAACTGAGAATAGTTAGCATTAGTTAAGGCTCTCTGTAATTCAAACACTGTTATTTTTCCTGACCTATCCTGGTCCACAGCTTGAAACCAGGCTGCTATTTGAGGATCAACAGGTGCTCCCATTGCTGAAATTACAACACAAGACATTATAATTAAAAACACAAGTATTAACGATTCGAACTGATTGCAGTTTAAAGACTATTCTTGAAGATAGATGAATCAAGTACTAACGATCCGAACCGCAACACGAAAGTCATGCTTTGGTTGCAGCAAATGACCTATTCATATGAGGAAGTATTTCAATTATAAATTAGGAAATATTTCATTATAAAACGTGGTATCAGGTGTCTAGAAGAGTATGCAAAGACAGTGTTGCCAACTGTTGAAAATATTCATTGTACCATAGATAAAGGGTATCAATATCTTACTTGGGGGTGCAAATCCACCAGCGCCACCACCTTGCTGAGGAGGGTAGCCCTGACCTGGGTAACCACCTTGTTGAGGGTAACCACCTGGTTGTCCAGGGTAACCGCCTTGTGGGGGCTGCAACAGAAATATAAAAGAGTTAAATACATAGGATAATGATACATCTTTGACCTTTAAGGGGATATTTTGACAAAATTTGAACCATTTTTGTTAAGGACCAAGTTAACTTTTTAACATACCGGTACCTTGCTTATCAAAATGGAATACAACGTAAACCCAAAAGCTCAATACCCAACATTAAGGAAAAACAAGCCAAAAGACTTGGCATAGGGTGTTCTGGAAATGTGAGCATGTCCCACCTTAAACCATATACCTGGATATTCATTGAGAGTAGCACCGCCTTTGATCTTACCCGTTACCGACTTTCACTTTCCTACTTCCCTACGTTGCCTTGGAGCTCGATATCTCGGCATTCAGGCATCAAAAACACTCAAAACTTGCAGGATATATTCTTGATATATCAATACATAATTTTGCAGGTTTCTGTGAACATCCATGCATTATTTAATTGTGAATTTTAAGAAAGAAATAAAATATTCAACTTACTCCATAATTGTACGCCATTTTGAATTCCTAAAAATTTCGCAATCCAGCAAACGCCCAAAGCGGAAACGAAACTTTCGAAATGATTTAAATTACGAAATTTAGATTCTAACTAGTGTAGCTTATTGTTAGGGGGATATTGAATGCTAAAACCGTGTTTTATTTCATTTTGGATGATTACAGATGCTTTATTCTAGCTTTCTGGCTATTGTATGGAAGCACATCAATGCCATTAACAAGCCTATAAGACTATCGTTGCAAATTCTTACATCATTGTCGTTGTTGTTGTACGAAATTTTTGCTTATTGCACACTGCACAGCGCTGTCAGTCATTAATTGTTCAGGGATAGAACTGTAGGATGTAAAAATATAATCTTTTTCTCTCCGAAAAGTCGTCTGCAGTAAGCAGGGTCATGACACTATGACATCATAAGGTGTGACCTCTAAGGAACACACCCCGGGGGTTCGACGGAAATGAGAAAAGTCTTTAAGTTGGTTTAAATTTGATTCAGAGACCATCTTACGATAATTCTTACTCAATATCTGACCTCTATGACCTCAAGACTTGAACTCCAGGTGGCACCAATCTTGGTAAGGTCAAATCAGTTAGCTATGGAACGGCATTGATCCCATTTGCAGCTAGTTCGAGTGGAATTCTGAGCGAACAGACTCCGACCAATGCTTACAAGAATTGGAAAGTTGTCGAACCGTTTACGCCTCTAAACTGCAACAATAAGTGACCTCTCGGCGCCCCAAATAATAGTAATGGTTTTGACCCATATTGACACGGTATAGTCGCGATAAGAATAAACAATCTTGACCCAGACTCCCTTCTCCATCAATAATTACTCAATAAATCCCTTTCTTACCCTCGACCTTCTACAAATATGAAATAATCTTAGAGGATTCGTAGCTGATTTAACCCTACCCTGACCCGAATTGTCTGTTAACCCTGTATAGGTCAGTTTATACCAGAGTTTACGCTGTTAACCCCTAGTAGATAACTTTGCATCCTATAGGGTCGTTACAATTTGACAAATTTTGGCAGTTTCTGGAAAGATGGAATTGATGCAGAGCGATGGGCCATTGACACTAACAGGCTAGTTATAGCTAATGATCAAAAGATTTCAAAATGATTCCATAACAATTACACAATATGTTCACTGTAAACAAAGTGCTCAATACATAAAAATATCAAAACAGTTTTCTTTTAATAAAATTTTGAGGTTAAAAAATAGTTTGAAATTGATCTTATTGTTAGAAATAGTACAATATATTATATTGTTTCAATAAAGACCTACTTGATATGGACATTCAAAGGGTCAATTATTTAAAGTATCCCTTTATGGAAGACCGGCGCGGTCGCTATATTTTTTTTTATTGTATAACTATCGCGGAATAGTAACAGCAAAGCTATATCGCGACAATTTCACGACAAAATTAACCGGGGACAAACTATACTGCGACGATTTTACGGTAAAATTATCGCGACGATATAACTTCAAAACTATGTCGCGATAAATATGCAAAAACACAAAAAAGTCCGTCTACCAGCTTAGACAAACCACAGATGATAAAATAATGGCCGCAATAAGCTTCCATAAAGCTTCTATTTAACGATTCTATTGTCCATTGATAAATATTGAAAGGGGAAGCGGAAGAGCGGATGAGGGATGTTGCTTAAAGAGGCTGGTTGTGATCATTAACTACCTACCCACCCACACACAAACACACATCCTCGTTTAGTATGTACATTCCGTTTCGAACAATGAATAAAATATATAGGGGCAAGAAGGCGAACTCACTGATTAGGGGTTGTGAAAATAACGAGAAAATTATCCAGGATTTCCAATCGGTTTTAAATATCGATCTGGTTGTATTTTTGGGGTTTTTTTTTCGGGCTAAAGCATTCAGATGACCCAGGGAGTCGCCCACAGAAGAAAAGGAAACAAAAGATTAAAATCTGTTAGAGATTCTGGACTTGCAATCGTCCCTTTAAACCTCTGAGTGTGTTTAATGGCCTATTGTTATTAACAGATAAAGGAAGGGGAAGAGAGAAGAAGAATGGGGGACCACGCCACACCGTCAATTCTATTATTAGCTTCATCATCAATACAGCAGGTGCATCAACATGTATGGGAATGCGTGAAGAAAGAGAGCAATTTGATTGGTTTGGAGGTCAAAATAAACGATTTGATTGGCTGCCAATAGAGATCAATGTAAAGGAATTTAAAAAATATTATGAAATTTCAATTGGAATTCTATATTTTGATTGGATTAAAGGATGAATAAATCTTTCCGATTGGTTGATTCCAGAACCATTTGATTAATGTTAGATCGAATTTTTCTGGATTTTTTAAAACCTTGAAGATTTTTCAAATCTACATGGAGTGGTGATTCCTTCCTTACGATTGGCTAACAACACGAATGGAAGCATTTCATTGGTTATCGATTATTTCATAAAAAAAATATAATTCTTTCAAAAATTAGACGGAAGAATAAATAATACCCATTTAAAATATGTATGGGAATTTTCGTAGCGTCTGTAATCTGATTGGTTTAAAGCTTGAATACAGACATCTGATTGGCCAATTTCATCCGACGCTGTTTACGCACGAGTGAGTTATTTAATTTTATTGATTGAAAACCTGTATGGGAATGCTGGCGTTGTCTTCAAATTTGATTGGCTCAGAGCTTAAATCCAGCGTTTTGATTGGTTGATGGCTATTTAAAGATATTCACGCATGAGTAGAAATTTGAACAGGTTATTGACCATGCCATTAATTAAGCAGCGGGGTCTGAAATTTGATGTGGAGGAATTTAAACTTTTATCTTGTACATCAGACCATCTGTCAGGCGATTAACTGGCCCCTTTTATTGATGAGATATTTAAATTTTAAACATCTCTTTACACGCCATCTTGGACCTTGGTCGCAAAATAAATGCCCTTTTGTGATTCAGACCATGCTTATTAAGACCATGTATTTCGTCCTCCGGCATCTTCACAATGTTAAGCTATTACGAACTTCGTACCTTTGACGGCAATATCCACTATTCTTGTATCATGGAATGCAGCGATTTGATTGGATTATATTCCAGAGAATACGAAGTTCGTAATAGTTTGACATTATGAAAATTGATCCCCGTCATCATTGGCCAAGTTTGGTGCTGTAGTGGGACGTAAAACTCCATTTGAATTCAATGTTATTAAATTGATTGAGACGAGAAACATGTTCAGACATGTTCGTCAAGTATGTGGGGTCAACCCCGCCCCCTCTCTCCCCGTCTGAGTCTGGTGAATGGGGGGACAGGTGGTTGAAATTATAATAGTTTTGATAGTCAATGGTGGTAAAATTAGGCCAGGGTACAGGTTATTTAGTGAGGCCAATATCCTCTTTACACCTCTGTATAATTTAACTGTATCGTTTCAAATGATGCGTAGGATTTGTAAGCAATATACTGAGGAAATAAATTATATTTTGTATATTTCTATTTTGCATATTTCTATTTTGTATCTTGTATATTTCTATTTTATTTATTCCATTTTTGTATATTTCTATCTTGTATCTTGTATATTTCTATTTTATTTATTCCACTTTTGTATATTTCTATCTTGTACCTTGTATATTTCTATTTTATTTATTCCACTTTTGTATATTTCTATCTTGTATCTTGTATATTTCTATTTTATTTATTCCACTTTTGTATATTTCTATCTTGTATCTTGTATATTTCTATTCTATTTATTTCTCTTTTGTATATTTCTATCTTGTATATAACTATCTAGAGTTTTAGCGTTGATATCTTATATATTTTTTGTATATTTATATCTTGTATCTTGTATATTCATATTCTATTTATTTCTCTTTTGTATATTTCTCTTTTGTATATTTATATCTTGTATATTTCTATCTTGTATATTTCTATCTTGTATAATTCTATCTAGAATTCTAGCGTTATGATGTTTGTATAAATGATTCCATTGTTTGAAATTGTTTATAGTTCAAACCTTAAGTTCTTTGGAATCCCATCTCTCTTTCTTTTCTTGGTTTTTCATCAAATTTCTTCAAGATCTGAAAATAGAAAGGATGAAATGAATAAGTGGAAAAAATTTCAATTTTTCGGGGCAACTTTCAGAAACACAATCTGTTCAAGGTGTATTGGACAGTAATGTTTTTATAAAAATACTTTAATATCGATTGAGGGGCAGGTGTTGGCACTCGAAAGTTGTCATGACAAAACGTGCAAGCGACAGATGACAGTCATCTCAGTTTACAAGAAAGTGTAAACAGCTGACACAGAGAGCGTCATCTATCGGCACGCGCATCAGACCATTGGTAGGATAGAAAAGCATAACTTTAGAGAGAGAAATTAGAAGAAGATCGACAACGAACAATCCCCCAAAACCCCCCGAATATGATGCAAGTTTGTTAGACGGTAGAGGAATCCACATATTTACAGCATCATTTTTCCGTCACAGATTTTGCGTATAATCACATATAAAATTATAAATTAAAGAGTTTTACATCCAATTCTTTCCTGCCCTGATCGGACTGGAAGACGGGGAACGTGTGTCGGGGTTATCCAGCTTAATATAATATTATGTGTACTTTCATGACAATAGAAATATTCATAATGTGTATACGTCAATAAACTATTATTTAAATTATACTTCAAAAGATTTCTATTCCAGAGTGTTCAATTATTTAAACCAAAGCGATGCTGGCAGGTGCGTGAAAGCGGGGACGCGTCTCACAATACCTTACAAATGTTCAAATTTTCCGTTAGGAACTAAATTATTCAGTAGTGATATTATTTTGGCAGCTGATTTTTTTCTCTCAAAACATCAATGACAGAGTCCAAAAGAAATTTCAAAATTTAGCGTCATCTTAAAGGGACGTTTGAATGAAAATTGGAATGGTGCAAATTAATGCTATCAGTGTCCCCGAAACACGATAAAAATTCATAAAACCTCTTTATAATCCCCTTAAATTCAAGCCGACGAAAGCGTCATTAACCTTATCTGGTCCAATTTATCAGGTAGTTGTTGGTTCAATTTAGATCCATTAGTTTAACCCCTTAAACCCCTATCTCCGGTTTGTATATATTTACTAAACTATACAATTCAAGGCAATAGTTTGTTTATGGTCAGTTAATGACGTAATGATGACGTCATATACCAATACCCTTGGGTTTAAATACGCCATATCATATTTGCAACTCTTATAAGGAATTTGTTGCTCGTTTCAAAAGGGACAATTGAAATGGCCTCGTAAATGGACCTCGATATATTACAAGTCCTACATACGCTTATATCGTTGATGACGGCAAGTTTATCGGATTGAACCGTAACAAAGGATCCGTTTCGGGTCGGATCTGCACTTCAGTTGCGATAAGCACTTGAAATGTTGATCTGTATACCTCGGGCGACGTATTTCAACCATACAACAATTGTAATTGATACTTTTATCATTATCGTGTTTGCCTAAGACGCAAATAATGATTACGTCGACAAAACTGGGGTTTTGTTCATTAAATAATGACGTAATAAACATGGCGTCCTGGTGATTTGAGTAAGATTTATCAACTGGCTATTGTGACCACATCTCGTTTAGTTATTCCCTGATTAAAGCGAAACAAAGAGATAGCATCGCCATGGGGCCCATTATTTTGGGTTTAACGCTTTCCGTAGTTCGAGTGTTTTTCGTCATTGGTTTTGAAAGGGTTAATGTAGCTTCTTGGTATGTGCCAAAATTAAGCCATGGTTGTTTTAGGAAACCGGGGAAACTACTAAGCTTTCCATTTCTTTTTTTAAGAATTAAGGTATTTTAATGAATAAATAATGCATATAAACATATAACGAATATGTTTCTTAATATATATTTGATCGCGGAAGAGAAAAGTAGCCTATACTTATAATATTTGGTGCTGTAGAGTTTTGAACAATAAATCGCCCTCATAGGGTTAAATCAGATTTAAATTAAATGGTAAAGAACTGGCGTTGAAAAGTACAGCTCATAACCAGTGAATCTATTTGAAAAAAGGGGTACAATGAGCATTGTTTCATTTTGATTAAAACTGAGCGGTGTTGAAATTTAGTCGATCAAAGAATAAAAATATCCTTGATCCAAAATACCGATGATTTTCATTGGTAGAGAAAGCAAATCCCCGCGAATCTATTTGACCCTTAGGGTTAATATTCTCGGTTTATCCAGACCAAAAATCCCATCTTAATGCTTACGCCTTGAAAGACTGGTAGATTGTAAATTTGATGAAGAGGTCAAGAAACGTGAGAAAAATGCCGAAATCTGCAACCTGCCTCGGGCCATTTAACCAAATTCTACACACATATAGGGTGTTATAGTAGGTCACGTGGTATTTGACCCGACCCCTCAGGTTTATGTTGTTTTGAGACAGTATCCTCAACTTGACTTTAATAATAGTTTTCTCTATCAGTAAAATTTTATAGTCACCAAATATTGACTGCAGATTTTATACGGGCCTAATTTAATATCCCATAACTTAACCCCTTCCCCACCTTCGCAGCCTTAATCCTAAGCGATTCTAGGTCTTATTTCCTACTCAAAAACCCCCTTCCTAGACAAACGCCATCCATTTTCTGGGTTTTGTGATTAGATATAATACGTATTGAATATTGCTCAAAATTTTTAGTAATATCATGGATAAATTTGATTGTAATTGGCGACGCGTCATGAAACGTTTATTAATATTTAAATTCCACAAGCTCATTACAAAAATGTTTCTTTCTTACGAGCGCATTTTCTTATATTTCGGGTGTGTATGTTAACAGATCATTAGCCATTCACATCTCATTGAAAATTGAGAATTTAAAAGTTCTTTAAACCGTGTGAATTCATCTCTGTGCTTTAATTCTAACACTTTTAATTGTGAAAAGCGAAAACTCACGCCCGTAAAAGTGAATTTTAATCCGTTTACAACTGAACGAACATGTGAAAAATAACGCTGCGGAAACTAAGAACGTGCGAAAACTCTTGTCGCTTTCGGATTAAAAAGTTGAAAACCGTCCAAGTTGTTAGGGGAAGGTGATTATTCCCATTGTTTGCTACAATTATTGAGTTCGCTCAAAGAAAACAAAAGATTTCCTCAAAAGCTCCTGTATATCGGCATTTAAATGAATGAAAGGGCCCTAATTGTGTATACTCAACCATTGTCGGTAATCTACAGCTCGGATATTTTTAATTATCGCTTCTTTTGAGGATATAAAATTACAACTCGACATAATTTAGACCATTCTTTTCAATCATTGCTCATTATTGGCATCCAGTTTTCAAAAGTTTCCGTTTGGAACGTGATATAAACAAACCATTTTTGAAAGTACTGGTTACAGGGCCGTTTAAGTGATGTCAGACCGCGGGAAATATGATTTCGCGCCATTCGATTCTCGGCTTTGTTGGTTGATTTTGATGTGATAGAGAGGCTGGGGGACTGGACCAAAATAATAGACGTGTCACAATCCGAACCATCCCGGACAAACTTGATCATCATTTTGGACGATTTTTGTAAAATTTTGTTTATTAAGGATTAAATTATCACCACTTTGGACCATTTTATTAATTTTGTGTTCATTATTTGGAAATTTAGCTGTTGATTACAGCCGATGGTTTGACGGATGTTGACTTAACGGTGAACGTATACCAGTAATACTTTGGAACTTTTTAGTGATAACAACGGAATTATGCCTCGGAAACAAGCGATTGTGGCTCGTAACTGTTACCCCACTGTTCAAATTAAACAAGAACAAGATGAAATAATATATGCAACAACGGTACAATCGTTTGATCCGCAACAAATTGTGAATGTAAAAATTGAACCCTCGGATATTTCGACAGCTGCGCTATGGGGCACCCAAGCGCCCAACCAATATGGACTTGGCCTTACCCCCCAAGGGAACAATCAAAGCCCAATAGACAATAAGCCAGTGCTTGGCAGACCTCAGGTATTGGATGCATTTGTTATTTTAGCTCTGCATGTGCAGGAATGCATTTTTTCTTTGTGATCAAAACAAGTTAGTGTCCTCATCGGGCAGAGCTCCGCCCACAACCGACGTGTCCCCATTTGATGAGCAACTTTCGGACAAAAAATATGGATTTTGTAATCATTATGCAATGCAGGATACAGTTTTTGCTTTCATAAAGGTCACAGCTTTGACCTACGCCCACGAAAATACCAAAGAGATTTTAAAGTTTGAAACTGAATAACTTCCTTTCTTGATGTTATTATTGTTACTATTTTTAGACTAGACCTTTAAATTTTCGGCTTTATTTTGATGGCAAATTTTAAATTCGATTTTAAAACAATATTATAACATTTATCTTTCATTTTGAGACATTTTAAATCAGTTTTGAATATTAACATTTCCTTCTGGAGACTTTTAAAATAGAGCTGAACTTGCATTAAGAATGAAAGTGGGTCATGAAAACTCAAGTTGAAAAGATATGGCTTGATGCATTCACCTTGTAGCATAGCCATAAACTAAAAGACCTTACTTGAGGCTTTGTAGATCTTGCATGCTTCAAGAAACATATTTTTGAAGTTTTAGCTAATATTCCAGCAATGCCCTGTATACCCTAGACTGCGCATAAAAGATCCCCTGAGTGCAGATTAAAAACCATAAAATTAGACCATTTGTGATGACATCTTTTACATGGATTGTAAAGAGGTTTTCTTAACTTTTTTTGTGTATCACTGACACTGATATCAATATGAGCAGCTTTTGCGATAGTGACGTCATAAGTGATGTCATTAAACGCATATAACTAGCAGGAGCCACAGACGTCTGACTGAATATTACAATGGTGCAAATTGATGATATCAGTGTCCCCAATACACATAAAAAAAATTTCTTAAACCTTTTAACTATCTCTTTGTTTATTCTCTTAAGTTATTCAGTCTACTGGTAATTTTGGTACCCACAAAGGGCCATTCCTTAGAGCATACTTCAACATTATATTTGATTTGTTTCAGGCGAAGAGAAAGTTAGAGCTAGAACCAGATTCAATTCAACAAGAAGGATTCAAGACCCCGAAATCATGTAAACGACGAGGGAGATATCTCTCTAGTGATAATAGTCCACGCAATGGACGGGGACCATGTTCTAGTTTAGATCAACTCTGGAAAAGTAAGTGAACAAATTCAATGCAACAGCATGGATAATGTCCTGATGATGCACTTTATATCCAATACAATAAAGATGAACAAGAAATGGGCAATGTCTGATACTTGTATATTTTGTACTGACCTCCCAATTAATGGACAGGCATGCGTTTAACCAAATGACCTTTGTCTAAGAAACAGGAAGACATTCAAGACCCAAATTAACGCTGAAATAGTTTAGCAGATGATAAGCATGGAGTTATAACTTTAATTCTAATGTATTTTTAAATATTTTTAGATTGTTCGAGATCACCTATAGAGAAGACCAGATATGATACATCATTAGGATTATTAACGAAGAAATTTGTTGGGTTATTACGTAGTGCTAGTGATGGGGTAGTAGATTTAAACAAGGCAGCCGAGTTATTAGAAGTACAGAAAAGAAGAATTTACGATATCACCAACGTCCTCGAGGGTATCAGTCTTATACAGAAGAAATCTAAAAATAATATTCAATGGAAGTAAGAAGCTCCATTGTCTTTACCTCTTGGTTCTTTTTTTATCCTTATCTTTTAAATGGACAGTCTGCCATGATTGACCAATTGTACCCTAGTCTCAGAATCAGGAATGTTTCTAGCTTAGTTAATCAGTAATAGTGTTCACAAGTCACTGTTGGAATTTGAGCCCTTAAATCTATGCGTGTCCAGAATTATCTGTGTTTAAAATGAGGACTATTTACATAATGTATTCAAGACCCAAATCAACCCGCGAAAATGGTGAACAAAGACGCATAAAGTAGGAAGTAAAGCTCCATTTCATTTCATCATTGCCATTAGATACAGAGAAGAGTTGTATGGCATAGTTTCCAAATTGTCCAATCCTTAACATATTTGATTTTGTATATTTTTCAGGGGCGCTACAAATTCTATAGCAGCCAATAATTCTTATTCTCAACAACCTATCTCTACAGAAACTGTTGATTTACATTCAGGTACGTTAAATATTTAGATATATTATATATTGGTTGGTCTAAATGCCGTGACTCACCAGCAGGATGGCTCTGGAGTGACCGATCTTGTCCGCCATTCCATCCAAAGCTTCCCCTGAAGAAATAGGTTGAGCTGAACTGGTGCATTATTACATCTAAAGCTTCACCCCGAAGGAAAGGGTTTGAGCTATTGTCACCTTGGTATTTATTGTACATTCCCATGATGCACTAGTCCTGCCTTGATTATTAAATGGCGTAGACTGAAAGCGTACCAAGGTGACCTTCTTAGACCTTCTCTTTTCATATATTAAATAAACGATTTATCATCTGCTGTAGGAAAGGAATGACCTTTAATAAGCTCTCTTGTACATTACAGATGTAGCAGATTTGGAAGCGAAAGAAAACCGGTTGGATGAAGCCATTAAGAACTGTACACGTCAGTTAAAATTACTGACAGAAAGCCCTGAGAATTCACGACAGGCTTACGTCACCTATCAAGATATCCGTAGTTTAAAATCACTAGATGAAAGAACAGTTATAGCTATTAAAGCTCCACCAGAAACCAGACTTGAAGTTCCTGATCCTTCTAAGGTTTGTATTTTATTCTTTTATTGGACCAACTTGAGGCGGCAAATGCCTGGGAAGAATCCTGAAAGTCTAAAAGAGTAGGCTAATGCAGCTGTCCTGGCAAAATTTACTCCTATATGCTCTTGCCAGTAGAAAAGTAGGACATAAAACTCCATTTCTTTTCATTAGTCCAATAAGATACAGAACAGTAGGACGTAAAACTCCATTTCATTTCCTACTTTGTAGATATGGTTAAAGAGTCAGAAAGGACCAATAGACGTCTTCCTGTGTCCTGAAGATATGCCAGAAGCCGACAACTCTTCCAGTGAGAAGAACAGCGACTTCGCTCCTAGCACAGATCCTAGCAGTGCTTCCAGGAATCTCGAGGAATCGTTCTCGGAAGATTCGGTGTCTTCTGATGGATACAAAGGTATGGTTAATAATTATTATTTTGATCAGTTAAAGAGACAGTAACGAGGTTTTCTTAACCTTTTTATCAGGAACACTGATATCATCAATTTGCACCATTCCAATTTTCAATCAGACATAGGCACATATGCAAAAGGTGCTTATAATATCTAATTAACAGACAGAAAAATCTTCTAATATATCCAAGGAATTTCAAAGGATGTTTTCTATGGCCAGTAAATTAAAGACTTATTACTTATTTTCAGGTCATCATGGTTTGAGAAATGCCTTCTTAGATGACGAAGACATCAGTCCAGAAAACAACTTCAACCTTCTTCAACAAACAGAAGATCAGATCATAGACGCACCCTTCGTACAACTAGAACCTCCGATAGACCTGGATGATTATATCTTCGGTCTGGACGGTGAGGGTATATCAGATTTATTTGACGTGTACAATCTTCCCACCAATATTTAAGGTTATAATTTATCTTTCATTATTTCATCTATTGATGGTCTCGGGTCTGTTTCACAAGAACTAAACTAAGTCCCAACGGTAAGGAAGAGCTCTGCTTTTATCTATCTTGATTGGTGTAGTATTTGTTAAACAGGCCCAGAATAAATTAATGATGAAATCGGGTGTGAGTCGGTTGAAATACATAGTTTAGTTTTCTTTAATTTATATCTCTTTATATATTTAGTTGTAAATTATTACTTTAAAGCCACAAGGCTTAGACATTAGACTGTTGATTGAAGTCACAATTTGCATCAGCAAACAAAAGATAAATATGACAGAAGCCTATCTTAGGTGAAAAACTTAACAAATTTTCTAGAATTAAATGCATTGTAGGCTTTCAAAAACTCTTACCGTTTTAGTTTTGTCAACAATAGATTTCATGATTGATTTGCATATTATGTGCATATATTACTTAATTAATTAAATGAATCAAATTATGATTAATTGTTAATATTTTTTCTATTAATTATGCAAATTTATGCATAGAATTATTTATGAATGGCTATGCAAGAATTTGCACATTTTTATTTGTTATATATTTAATGCAAAAGATGAAGCATTGACATTTTAAGTTAATCAATTTTTTTGTGAATAAAATTTGCATAAATTAAATAATTATGCACATACTGATATTAAATTACTCTTATATGCTAATTGAGCAAATTTAAATTGTTTGAATCTAAGTTAATAGTATTTACCCTTTAATTTGGATGAATTTACGATTGTTCCTGTTTTTGTTGAAGTTTGAAAGTAATCAGAATTCAGGGATGTTGTTTGGTCTGTTAATGCCAGTCAAGTCCTGCCAGTTAGATCTAACTGGCCATTTGAACATGGGTATAAATTAAAACCAACCATCTAAGATATTAAAGAAACTTGCCCAAAGAGGAAATAAAAAATTGAAATTAAAATGTCGATTAAAATTTGGGGCATTTCTGTAATTTATGAAAGAGAAAGATTTTGTTTTTTGTAATTTAATCATGCATTTCATCAATAATTCATACATAAATTATCACCTTATAATGGCATCATCATTCATCATCATTTGACCTAATGAGACATCATTGATCTGAGACATAATGCTTAATATCATTGACCTGCTGAGAGAAATCATTCCTCATTGACCCACTTTAGCATTGCTATGATCATCATTGATTCACCATAGCATTGCCAGTCATCATTGACCCAAAGTCGCTTTTCTATCATCATTAACCCACTGAGAGATATCATTGACCTTCTTAAGCATTGTCTATAATCATTATTGACCCACCTTAACATTGCTTGTGATCATTGACAAATCAAATGATAAACTATCAATGACCCAGAGTAGCATTGTACATAATCATCATTGACCTACGGAAATATTGAATCATTGACCCACTGATTACTTGTTAGACTCATTGACCCAATGCTGAAATTGCCAAGGGAAATATGATGAATCATTTAATATTAGTGCCTTAGATAAGAGATTATTATCACTGCCTCTACTATGCATTTATTATTGTTAAGGAATCAATTATATGGTTCACCAAAAGGATTAAATTAGTGCCTTAAAGTCTATGAGTATATTATCACTGACATTACTATGCATTTATCATTGTTAGGGAACAAGTCACCCGGTTCAGTTTCTTAAACAATTTTCACTGCCAATGGAGTTTATGTTTTTTATAGATTATTATTTCTATTTTAGTCCAATGTGCCTAAATAACTATGCATTGAACATCTTGGGAACCAATTTTGTTCACAAGTGTCACTTTTTCATATTTTCACTGCCAAGTTAAGAATATTAACATTTTTTGGGGACCAAATTCATTGTCATTTTGTTTATATAAATTTCACTGCCAATTCATATTTTGTCAATGTTGTCTGAAAGACTTGATACATTTTCAAAATATATTAAATATACAATATATGTATATAATTGTTAAACCATTTATTGTCCTAAATCACTTATTATTGCCTTCAAATCATCAAATATTACATTCAGTAATTTGAAAAACTATAAAAAAAAAAAAATATATATGCAAGGAAAGTGTATGGCAAGATACGTGTATTTATGGCAAGATATGTGTATTTATGGCAAGATATGTGTATTTATGGCAAGATACGTGTATTTATGGCAAGATACATGTATTTGTGTCAATATAATCGAATGATGGCAAGTACCAAAAAAGAAGTTTGTTAAGGAATTTTTAAAACAGTGCTATAAATATAATTATTTTTGTAAAAAGTTAAATGAAAAAAAGGAAATAGAAGAAATATATTATGAATGTTGTTATACAGTAGCTTTGTGTGCTTTGTTAAAATTTTTGTGGTCTGCTTAAAATTACCTGAGCTCATTATTTGTGAAAATACGTGTAAGGCATAGCTTATTCCAGCATCTTGTGAACATTAAGTTTACTTATTTTTAAACGATTTGACTTAAACATGTAAAACAATGCATAGGGACAAATTCGGCATCTGTTTGACCAATCATACCTAAAATGGCGAACCAAGGCCTATATCATTTCATAAAATGATGAAGTCTCTCTGGAATTTTACAGTGGCAGAATGTTTTTTGTATTGCCCTTGACAACAACACGTCAATATAAGATGTAGACCTTTTAAACAGACCATAAAACGTTTGCTTTTCGTGTGATTTATTTTTTGTTATATTAATTTGAATTTTTCTAAAAGAATCTTTTAAACCAGCATACTAGAATATTTAATTTAATTTTGTAATTTATCTAAAATCAGACACCTTGCTTTCACAAAGGCATTACGAGTCATTTTACTCCCAACCCTTGATCAACAAGCTGATCTTGTTACTTAAGTCTCTACCACGTATTCCTAGAGGGGAGATTATCAGTATGTTGAACCTCACACCATAGTGATTACCAGTTGCGTATGGTTGCGAAAAAAAACTGGGGTCTTAAGTTTTCGAATGTAACTGAGTTGTAAGTTGTGTTCAATACTCATGACCACTTTCATTATTCACAATCATATACAACTAGTAATCACTATGGTGACAGGGTATCTTATAGGTTTTAGGCTCGTAAGACCTGTGAAAAAGCGAGATGGAAATCACTATCTATAGTCAAATACCTCACTATTTACTAAAAGACCTAAGTCAAAATACTAACTGGACCTCTTCTACACACAGTCATGTTAAACTGGCAGGGATTTATGTGTGAATGAAAATTGGCATTATTTGGGAATTGCTTAATCATGTATATGACATCACAGCTTATTTTTAGCACCTTTTGCGATAGTGGCATCATAACAATGCTTAGTTTTAGTGGAATTGAAAACCACAGATGTGTGATTGAAATTTAGATGGTTCAAATTATGCTATCAGTGTCCCTGATACACTTCAAAATTTAGACAACCTCTTTAAAGTTTTTTGTTTCAAATGAGAATGGAGTTATACAGCCCTGCCAGTGACATATTGTGTGTAGTCCAATAACCCAATAGGCGTCTATTTATACAAATAATTTTCATATTATACAAGACTATATTATATACTACAGAGTGTGTGAAAGCTTTAATTATCATCAAAATATCATGCTATTATATAATACCTTGCATACTGGATTTAAACTTTCAAAACATCCTTTTTGGGAGTCCACATAGACAATATTTGTATATTAGACCAGTTAGAGAGCGGTATTAAATATGTTAATTTTGGTATATTTATTAATTATCATCAAAATGCCATGCTAACTTTATTTGATAGCTTATAGACTGGATTTAAACTTTCAAGGCATGATAGCCCTATTTGGAGAGTCCACAATGCTTGAAATGTTTTAATTAGTTTATTAATTGTTCTGGTTTCTTATCTCAGTGAGTCCACAAAGCTAAAACTGTTTGGTGTTTAGGTTATCAAAATTGACATCCCCAGTTTCAGAGAGTCCACATAGTTAAAATGTTAAGTTTGGTATAGCTATTTTGAAAATTAAATCTGTAAAAATACGGAAATGCAGTTGATTCAAAGTTAATCAGTTAAAAAAAAACACAGCCTTAAAATATTTATGCATGTGATGTTATTTATGTTAATGTAACGTATCTTAATTTTTTTTTGTTCAAATTTTATTTTTACTTAAAAAGTTTATTTGTGTTTTGTATATCTGTCCTATATTTATGTTCACAATGTCAAGCTACGTGAACTTTGTCTTTGATATGAAACAAAGTTCATAATAGCTTGACATTGTGAACATATCTGCTATAGTGTTTTTCTGTTCATGCTTGAAAACCTCTAAACCTTTTAATATTTCACTAAACATATATTTCAAAAGTTTTTTTTTTTTTCATCATTTATGGCATTCTATAGCAGACAGAAAGAACTTCAATATTTTGCTAAGTGAGGAAGAATTTCGATCTCCATTTTTGTGTCGTTAAGTATATTTTTTCTGGATAGATTTAATAATTTCCCTGTTAACCATAATTCCATAGTGCAGAAATGTATTTTGTTAATTTGAAATTCAACAAAAAATAAGGAAGAAAATTGTAAATCTTATAGAAAAAGAATAAAATTCGAGAATCAATTAGCCTTTATTTTTATTTTAGTCACTGAGTTCTTAACAGGCAACTAACCCCCCACCCTTTCCCGTTTTGCTCAAGGTGTTGTTAAGCCTTACCCCATTCCTAATCAGCCAGGGATGATACCACCACCTGCCCTTTAAGTTTAATAGATGGGTCAGTAGACTCCTTGACCATTGCTTTCAACATTATGAGACTAAGGTATGATTGGTCAAACAAATGGCGAACGTATCCCTTTTAAGCTCAGTTTATCTTGCTTGTTGACATGGAATATGGAGGAGTGAAAATGTTCACTAACCTTCGAGTTTAGTAGAAAGACGACTTGTCGGTCTCTGTAATCGACTGGCACTTTCATCACGGCATTTCTTCTGTAATTTGGAAGGAATTGGATGTCAGAAACCCATGAAATTCTATTGGAAAACTGTCTGTTCTTTTACATTTATGGCTTTTGACGTTTGCTATGTTTTGATTCAAAAACGAAAGTAGTAGCAATAGAGTTACCTCCCCCTTGTTTCTACGCGCGTTAAATATGGATTTGAGGTTGTAACGTTATTTTTTCTCTATTTTCATTGAAAATCTAAATTTTAGTCCATAAAATCATACAGACGAAATTTGTAATAGTTTAGAAATGGAATGGAAGTAGGATGGATGTTGATTTCGTCTGTTTGACACTCCAAAAACCTTAGAAATCCAATGAAAACCAATCCATGTCCGGGTTTTGCTTTTTAGGCCTATCATTATTTGGAAAGGTAGCCCGAGACTCTGAACATTAAGCAAATGACTGAAGAACGACATTCCAGAATGAAGCATGATTTTGGAAATGAAGGGAATGGGCTGGGGACTGGGAATACATTTGCGGTTTGAATGACTGACTTAACGTGCCTTTACACCATAGCGATAACCAGTTGCGTTTGGTTGCAAAATTAATAATGAATGCGACCATAAGTTCCGAACGCAACACACAACTCAGTTACATGAGTGTTGAATTCGAAGCTTCTGACTCCTTCTTATTCGCAACCATACACAACTGGTGACGGCCCTTTAAGGAATTCGAAAACCGACATGAATCTGCTCAAAGTTAAGTCCTTAAATCAATAAGGTAGACATAAGAAAAGAAATCTTTTCAATGAGAGGTCGCCACATTTTTAATAGACTTATTGGACTATTTGGATTCTTTGAGTCTTTCACGACGAGCGAGGGCTATTAACCACATCTAAAGATAATTAATAAGATTTATCTATTGAACATTTCAATACATGTACATGAAACGAGCACCTGCCGAAATGGCAACATCCAATGAAAATCCTCTATTTCAACTATTATCCAATCAAAACTTGATATTTTAAAAATAGCGATACATATTGTAATGAGACACCTGTTTAATTGTTAAGATCTTTGATAAATTGATACAAAACTTAAACTATATCAACAGCATCTTTTTCATCTTTCAACAACGGTTGGATTATTTTGCCTTCAGTGCCTTCCGTATAAAACTGTCGGATATCAATAGTGGAAGGCCCAATTCAAACACTCACTGTCGCGCTCTTTGCTTTATATTCTGTACGTCCGATGGCCTAAACAAGGAGTCGTTGCTTTCATTTCTAACCTCACAGACTACACTAGCACCACGAAAACAATCCACGTCCAAAAGACCACATTTGACTCTTTTGCAACGCAGTTTCACTACGTAAGAGGTTTATTCCACAGAGTTATCGGTCCTTTAAAGATCATCTACGTTTGCTACACTACCTACTGATAATGCTGTTGGAAATCTTCAACGACGTCTGTTCATTTCGTTCTCTGGTTTTTTAGTTTCTTTTGGTCTGACATACTGTTCTAGGTCAGGCGTCACCTCAAGTTCATATTTCCGCTGTAGTCCCGGGAACGGCATATAATCATTTCTACTATATCTTTGTATGTTAGGGTAAACGAGGGGGTTTCTGGGCGAACAGGCGGTAATAAACAGCAGACGATCTGAAAATTGAACGATGGGTTCGTGATACTTCATTACGCCCTCCGATAATTCACGGACGCTGGATAATACCTCACCGTTACTCAAGGCTTGGAAACGTGGAGGATATTTGCCTTTCAGCAGCTTGTACCATTTTTTCTTTTGAATGACAATCGGCACCGTCTCAATTTCCCACTCAGCTACAAGATGGCTGTCCTGGAGATCCTTCAGAATGCGCATGTACGGTGCCTCATAGTCCTCGAAACGCTGACGAGCCAGTTGAGAGATGGGGAGAGTATTCAAAGGTGTTGGACGGTCTATAATCAGTAGCAGACCCTTTTCTGTCAAGCACTTGATAATGTTTCTATAAACGTCTTGTGGTTCTTCCAAATAATGCGCAGTGTCTTTTAAAATGATCTTATCAAACAGAATCCGCTTATCGTCGGGCTGCTCCGACAACTTCCGGAAGTACTCCTCGGCACCCACATTCTTAATTCTGATTGGTAGATATCTATTGCCGGAAGTCTTTGCGTAATGAAAATGAGCAGGAATCACCATGGTGACAGGAGTCAGAAGACAAAATTTGTCTTGGAGAATGTCCACGATGCTATCTCGAAACTCTCCGACGTAGCACACTTTGTCCGTCGTTCCAATGTCCAAATATTTGTACAGATATTCTCGCATCTTTTCTTCGTACATTTCTCCGAAACTAAAGTCCTCATCTCCGGAAAATCTCGGAATATCGAACCACGGCTCGTAACTTTCCGATATCACAGAATATGGTCTAGGTGACTCTGGTCCAAGAAACGACGACGCCATTTTGAATCGGTTGCTAACTATCCTGCCAATGGTTTTCTACATAATATTATTTCTTTGGTAATCACGACTACACTTTATTATATTCCCGATTAACTAGGACTATGAATAAAATTCTCGTTACACCTTTGTTCTGAAAAGAAAATCGATACAAATTATTCAATAAAATGATTAAGAATATGGCAAGTCATGAATAACGACCATTGTGAAAGAATGCAAAACGACAAACAGTGAAACAACAATGGTAACACGACAATGAAGTAGGACTGAATACTTGCTAGAACAATAAGACAATGATCCATAGAAGTCGTTGAATAAATAAGAAGAGTCACAAAGTAGACTATATGTCACGAATGGTTGAAATAGGATTAAAGGGATTTTTGGACGTAATCAGAAATAACAATAACAGTCGAGTTAAACTGACAATATAACCCCCACCCCTATTTTGGGGTCAACTGGTCCTTGGTCGAAATCTCGAGCCCATTTTAGTCCAATTGCCCAAACTCATCTAGCTGAGCCATCTCTGGACAATGATCTCTCTCGGACTATCCGAACAGAATACATATAAAACAAAATGAGAGGCGGTGGCCAAATACCCACTTCCGGTAGAACTAAAGCTGGTCTGACTCAACCCCCACTTTTAAAATTCCTCATTGACTGTGACTCACCCTACCCCTACCCCTACCCCTTGTTGATCCTTCATTCTGGCAGATCACACTGCACCTTACTGTTTCTCTGCTCCTTACCTGACTCCTAACTGATTCCAAGAGAGATTAGAACAATATTCACCAGGTATATCTACTAATATCTATACTATTATGATATAAAACCAAGGGTGATAAATCGATTTGTAAGATTGAATAATTTATTACGTTATTTATTGATAACAGTGGATAAGATCGATACCGCATGTTATTATAGTTTATAACGCCCTGGGAGAGAGTTAAAGGGTGTCGTACACTATATGCATCATAAAGTAGAGGGGAGGGGGCGAGTAAGGACCACATTATTGTCAAGGGGCTCACAGCACCCGTCATTTAAGAATTCAATCATTACAATTTCCAACTGTGGGGGCTAAAGCCGGGCTAGACACATTGTTTGGGGGGTAGGGTGTGGCACTCTCTAACCTCACCTCTCTGGGCCCTGTAGAAACGCCACAATCTGCCAATGGTGCCAAAGTATTCCTTTTTAAATCAGAAAATTAAAGAGTCATTTACCTTAAAGTCGGTCCAATCTTGATAGAACTAGATAAGGCTAACGTGTATATCGTCAATGCATGACAGGGGGTTGACATGTATAGCCTACATTCGTTCATTGTCAAGTGGGTCTTATCTACCATAACGGTAAGGGTAGCGAGTTGTGGCGAGTGGTTTAGGCTTAAGTATATCAATGCACTTATGATTGGTGATGAATACTGCCTTAAGTTTCATTTTAAAAACTTTAAATAACCCAGAATGCTGTAGGTCTTTTGGGAGGTGGGGGTGAGGAACTTGTTTAGAAGCCACACATCTTGGCAACGGTTAAAGTGTTTTAACATGATAGACTATCAAGAGCCATCGTTTAATAGCCAACAGTTTCGGACTACAGTGTGCAGTATGCAGCGAGAAAAAGCATGTTGTTTTTGCCTCGTAGGGATCCGAAGAATCTAGCATTCCTCAGAGGCAAAAACTCCTAGCCTCTGTAAAAGTGTCTATGTTAGACCACAGAGTCGCCCAAACTCAGTAGTATTGGTTTCTAAGGACGCTAGTTACGTGTTACATTGAGTAGTATATTGCGACAGTTGTGTCAATATAGCTAGTAGTACAATAGATAAAGGTGGTTATTATAATAGATAGGAATCAATACAGAGACGTGTAACATATATAACTATGTATGGCGAATTTGTACACTTACTTTTCTAACCTAATTTCATATAATCAGGTCACACATCATAAATGAGTGATGTCTCCGAGCCCCTTAAGGTCGGGGTGGCTGCCAGAGGACCCCAGAAGCCTAAGAATTTTAGATAGCTGGGACCAGGACGATAAAGAGGCTGGTTTGCACAAAATTTTACCTTTCACAGGTCTGAGGGGTATGACCCACCCTTAAATATGACACTGGTTAAGGGTACCCACCAACCCATCTTACTTGCAAAAGAAGCTGAACAGGGATAGCATAAGGAACAAATGCACATAAAATAATAGGGAACACCCTAGTGTTAAGGGGTGTACCAAATATGCGCCAATAGAAAACAGGGCGTTTTCAAGCCATTTTCAATCCCATTTCATTTATCCTCAGTGAAAATTAATAGACAAATCTCAAGACAATTTTTTATTCATAGAATCTACAGCCATCTAGAGCACGAGATCTCTGGCTTGTAAATATCGTGGATTGTCGAAGTTGGTCAACTGTTTAATCAAACAGACCGAATCCCATATCATCATCGGACTCCTCTGATTCCTCTTTCTTCGCTTCTACCTTGGCAGGGGCAGCACTGGAAGCAGCAGCCGCAGCTGGGGCAGCTGCTACAGCAAACTTAGAAGGATCTTTCAAGTACTCCTTAGTCTGAAATAATAAATGCATTGAAATGAAATTGAAAATTAACGTACATCGAACATCTGTTCCAATTTCACGAAGACAGGCAAACAGATGTGGACCCAGGACCTGCATAAACCAGAAAATTTTAATCCAAAGGAACTATCTCTTGATCTATGCATGGATATAAAAACAGCTATGTCAAACCAGAAAATTTTAAATTACTCACCTTTTCAGCCTCAGTAAAAGAGATCTCAGTAACACAAGCTAGAGCCAGTAGATTTTTAAATCCATTAGCAATAGAGTGTGGTACTGAAGCAGCAGTAGGATATCCTACAACCAATGAAATACTGGCGATATTTCTTACTCCCTGAAATATAATAACAATGGTATAAAACATCACATCCTATCCTGAATACTTGTGTTACCATGGTAACGAAGAGGTAAGACAAATTGGGGTGAGGTTTGGACACCATGTAAAAATCCATACAAGCAAATCAATTCCAGTAAAGAATTGTGCGTGAACTCCAAAGCGAAATTCAAACAATTTTGTGACCTACCTCCATGAAGACTCCCTTCAAATAATTATCAGTAATATCCAGAATCTTAGGGCTGAAGATAGTTCCTGAATCGTACACTGTAAACAGAAGAAACATTTCTTATTGAATACATTTACTTATTAATCATGCAGTGAGGGAAATTTTGCCAAGATAGCTTACTATTTCTGATTTCCAACTGTCCTGAGATCTTTAACGTGCACAGCCTGTGGCACACAGGCCCTCGGTTTATTGCCCGATCCAACTGACGCTTTTTGACAGGGGGGAAAAGGGGTTGAAAGACATGATTAAATCTCATGAGAAACATTACTTACCATTTTCAATCACCAGACCATATGAGAAGGGTGAGATGTTCAACATGTTCAGAAGCGTGGCTTCAGAAGCTCCCACCTTTTCTCCTTCCTTAATCAAGTTCACTTCATTCTGAAATTGAAATAAGACATTTTCTATATTTCAACTCCCAGTATGGTTGTATTGTACCTCTTGCTAGCTTACCAAACCTGGCTATTCCTTTTTCAAAACACTGTTCAACACTCTTTGCACGGTTTGTCAACTTCTTAGTATCAACACTTTAAGACTGTGGAATAGTGCAGACAACAGTGCTTTGGATTGTCGTCTGCAAGGTAATTAGGTGCCAAGGGTTCAAATCTTCAAAATAACCTCATGTCAGCTGTTATCCCCTAATGAAGATTCGAAGTTAAGAATACTCCATTGGTCATCAACCTATTTCAATTTGATGCAAAACAAGCCAAAATAACAATGCACCTACCAAGATTTCAATGGTACCCTTGGTAATTTTGGTGGGAATTTGTAAAGCTTGAAAGAAAGAGGTCTTCTCTGGACCCAGGGCTGTTTGCTGAGCTGGAACTTTGACATCCAATGGAGCAAGGGCTCCTGCTTTGGCTGGAGCTTTTACCTAAAAATAAAGAAATGAATTTATTATAGGGAGAGTCCGTGAGCTTGTTAAAAACAGAAAGCATGACAGGGTTGTGTCCCTTTAAATATCAAAGACATCCAGTTGCTCGCCTGAGTCGTCAAGTTGTTCAGTGACTGAAAGCCAGGAAGCAGCACAACGTTTCACCCAAATTTAATACAAAATAATTCTGTGAATAAGATAAATTCAAATCTTACTTTGCTCTCCAACAGGATTGCTCTTACTTCAACCAAATCATCCTTGGTGAAGACAAATCCAATATTACCTCGAATCTTTGGAAGAATCCTGAAATTAGAAGCAAACCTCTCTTGAATTGGTGGCACCTGGAGACAACTCTCGTCTGATCTATGACAACCGTTGTAATGTGGCTAGTATTGTATTGAAGTATTGGTGCAATAAGCTTTCAAAGCTCAAGCATGAACACACCCCTGCATTCATGAACGTTGTCTGTGTCCCTTATATACAAGTCCTTGCAAGGCAACTTTAACATTATAGTCATAACTTGTACCTACTTTTCTAAGGTGGAGTTGTTTTCAAGATGGCCTCTGATGGCTTTCCTCATCATGGTGTTCTTGCCCATCAACACAACTAAAAAAAAAAAAAGAATTTGAAATCCTTTTCCTATTGAAATGTGTCTTTTCTTCAAATACTGCAAAGAATTTATCTTGTAAAGTTAAAAACAGATTTTACCATAGAAACAACAATTGAAACATGCTAGGTCAAACTTGTCACCATCACTTACCTCCCTTGCCTCTAAGAGCAATACGGATGCTCTGCATCTGTTTGGAACCAACATTGTCAGCATTGACGATGAAACACTTGGGATATTCATCAAATAATTGCTGAAAGCAGAAACACAGAACTATATTACAGTAATCAAGAGCCACAACTCCTGATATACTAAGAAAACATCAAGCAATGCTCAAGGCTAGTAACTCCTGTATTTCTAAGAAAACATTACAAAAACAACAATCAAGGCTCAAGGGCCATAACTCTTGCATAACTAAGAAAATATGGCTAATAAGCAATTGGTGCTCAAGGGCCATAACTCCTCAAGTAATACTTACTACAAGTCTCATGAAGTATTTAGACTTCCAGGTTTGTTTATCTTCCTTGACCATCTTGGTGAATCAGGGATAGCCTACTCAGCCTTTTAAAGATAAACCTGTAACAGAGAGATCAAATCAAATTAGGGTGGGATCATCTTACATTTAGCCCTGCGATCATGTAGCTCTCGCTTTCCCCGGCCATTTTGTGTTATATCCTATTTACAAGAATCCCTGCAACGATGCGACAATTAATGAAACTGACAAAGTCTTGCAAAGCGTTCATTACGGGGCCCAATAACTGTAAAGACGTGACAGAAATTATACGGTTGGAGGTTGGGAAAACTAAGACACATTTGTGTTTATATTGCAACAAATTGTGACGATCTATCCGGTCCAAAAAGGAATCGGGCGTTTGATTTGTATCTTAGGGTTGTGATCTATCATCGTACGTTTCAGATCGCTGATTTTCATCGTTATCAAGCGACAATATTTGAAGTTTTTCTAATCGAAAATCAAGCGTGCTCACCAAATAAAATGTCGTAAGAAAAGAATGAACACGTGGTATCTCCACCTGGTGGAGGAATTTAGGGGAGATAATTCTTTGTAAATTAAAAAGGTTACAGACTACACATAACTCGATATTTTTCTTATATGTAAGAAACGGCGCGTAAAATTTATCATGGTTATGGCTTATTTGAGGAGTTTGCTAAAGGCTTCTTTTAAAATCAAAATCAAAATCAAAAGGATTATTTTAGTAGATTATCTAAAAACGAATACCCTCTGTAACGTACGCTACACAAGAAAAACAATCCTCATCAGGACAGCTAGTCTAGGAAAAGGGGCTTAATTTCCCCAAATCAAGGCCTAAGAACATGTGCACTCACTGAAGCGCATCATCATACGTGGTTAGGCAGCGTTATATGTCAATAAACGAAATATGATTCATAATATAATACAATACAAAATAACAAATACTCGGACAATAAGCGGATTACTTATACTTGTTACCTATTGTATGTTTCTGACATATAACCACAGGTTTAATACGCAGTTTATCGCATTAATAAGTATTTCTATATGTTTATATAATACAAAAGGGGCGAGTCAAAGTAATACTGGCAGTTGTAAAAGAAATTGAGCATAAAAGTCGACCTCACATGAACTTGTCACAAAGCAAGTCATGGGTGTAACGTTCAAAGAGAATTTCTCACTTCAAAAAGATCTTTCCCACACCCTTGATATTCGTACCTTGGTTTGTGACGAGACTGAACCTAGTCTCTAAAGCATTAAACGTGGAATCAGAATTTATTGTACTATTTTTAATATAATATTCCAGTTCACTTGAAAACAAATGAACAAAAGAAAGAAGAAAAGGGCGTGGGGGTCTTGGAGTAAAAGCACATTGAATAAGACTTAGATAAAAGTCTAAAATTTATTAAACACTACCGGAAATGACGCTTTGGGATCAAACGGAAGGATTCATTGTGTTGCCATTTACATAATTCCCGGCCACCATTTAAAAATTGCTAGACATGTCCGGCAGGTTCTTTATATTTCTATTGAACTTTATTGAGAACTTAACACACCCTTGTTGCCTTTTGAATATTCTTCATTTTTATTCTGCGGATTTATGTGTATTTTATTCAATTATATTATGGGCTTAATTATGAAATATAGACCCATCCAATTAAGGGGAGTCAAGACTAACATTTTCGGGGGGATTTGCTGTGCTTCTCGGATATTTCCATTATTTCTTCAAAAGTGGTTGAGGGGCTTTTAAACATTTATGGAAGTTATTCAAAATTTGATAAATCCTACGTCGCAAGATATAAATTTGGGGTAAAAATTCAAACCTCTATCCCACCTGATCTAAATGGATTCAACCATTCATTGACAAAATCGATTAGCTAATATAATAAGATTTACCGATATATACATTGCCTTATTATTACGACCAAATATGCCAAATAGTCAAATATACTCCATAATAAGTAAACAATATATATGATATTTTGTCATGTTTAGTCGTGTTTTAGAGAACGCTACTAATTGCGATAATGACGTAGTCAGGTAAACAGTTATATACAAACTACTACTCACTTCAAACACTCTGGTCGTCTGCTATCGTCTTGGTCACTAACGTATCGTCGACATTTTGTTTTCGTCTTGAATGGAATCACAATTTCATTTCTGCAACTTAAATCCACAGAGACGGCATTGAAATTTAAAACTTGCAGAAAGATAACGGTGGGAAAGCGTAAAACGTCATAGATTTTAGGCTATTATGACGACATACTTCGAGACAGAAGTTTTTGGTATCGCCGGAAAATTGCAAGTGTTACTGAATGTGTTTAGATAATCTGGCCGTGTGATAGACTGAATGATAGTACAGCACAATCAACCACTTTGATCATGATTGACAGTTTCTAGTAATTTGGTAGGATATATAGTAACTCAGTAATTCTTACTGATAGTGTTTCGGATATGGGTTCAGGTACCAGTAAACCTAAACCGGTGCCGCAGAAATCCACCACAAAATCGCCCGAGAAAGAAAATGGAACGGTTACTAACGTAAACAATAAGTCACCAGATAAGAGGAAAGGAAATGTGCACCAAAAAGGATCAGGGACGCCTGTCAAGACGAAGTCAAACGCGAGTGAAAACAAATCTCCGAAAAAGTCGAAAAAATCCAAAGATTCGGATTGGAGTTCTGACTCGGATTTCGAAGACGATTTAGACGAGTTCATTAAAGAGACAGTTTCACATGCAGCGAAAACAAATTCATCTAACACAAACAACGAAGAACCGGTTTCCTCTAGACCTCGTACATCTCACGGACGTACAACTAGTCGTCCGGAAAATGCGTATCCGGAAACGTACGCGCAGAAACATACACGTGAACAGTATACTGTGGATCGGCAAGCGTTGATCCGACAGAAAACTATTTATAGAAACCCTGATGATTGGAAAGATGATTCGGTGAGTATTACATCTTCATTTAGATAGTACGACCATAAAAATATACAAAATTAAACTAAATAACCAGCAATATATAAATGAGTGAAATACCATTAACTACTGATTAGAAATCTTTAAATCTTCCATTAACACAGATTAAATTGACTTAACAGAGGGGTCACAGAATATAGGAGAGCATATTATGTTTTGAAAAAGTCCAGGGGAGGTGCCCCAACTCACGTTACAGCCTCACCCCTTGCCAGCCCCGTCGCCAGGGGCTCAGATTTTGTAGTCTACTCAGAAAACTTGAAGGATCAAAGGCTCGTTTATGACAATTTTAAGGTGCCAGTCCCCACACTAACGACGGGGCTGCCCCTCGCCCGGTGTCGGCTCTCACCCCTTATAGATAGTCTAGATTAGTCCAGTGTTCTAATTAAACTAAATAAATAATTAAGGCAGGACGAAAGGTGATAATTATCTAGCGATATTAACAGTATGTTTTGTCTAATGGATTTCTAGACCTAATCAAATAAATATTACAATGAAGTTTTTATAATGATAATAACAACCTACATAGACCAAACAAACAATATTAGCTTTGTGAACTCTATAAAAGTGATGCCGAGTTGACGAACCCGATGTCTGATTTTTAATTCAGAATCCCCCAAAATATCTATTGCCTCCAATGGCGTTTCTACACCCTCTCACCCAACTTTCCATTTCTTTTTATCAATTTGCATAGTGAAAGAATTTTCTGTTAATCCACCTGGAAAATTTTGTACCCCCTGCTCTACCCCCTTGCCCAATTTTTCCGAGAAACTCCACTAATTGCCTCGCCTAAAAGTTCCAAGTCATATACTGTTTGATAGGCATTAAGGGATCGGCACGAATAGAATATTTCTGGATAAAAACTCATTATCTGTTGAATTATATATTGGAAATTACATCATGTATAGATCCCCTATTCCACTGCCTCACTATACTCACAGGAAGATATCAGAAATCACTGGCAGTGGCGGAGTCAAAAGGCAGCGCCGAAGGCAAGTTTTTCGAGCAAAAATCTCATAACTAGGAAATTAGGGCAATCTCAGATATCCCCCCCCGCCCCCTCTCGGACGTAAACCTGGCTCCACCACTGAGCACTGATCGATATAAGAACTACTTGCTTTTTGTTATTTACAGGAAGAGTCTGAAGAGGAGCATGGTGGATTTGATGCTTCTAAATTTAGACAGGTCAATACACATAACGTAAGTTTCCGAATTTCTCGCAGTTTTTACAAATTCTCATAAACGAAATGCAGTTCTTATGCAATACGAAACTCATTCTAAAAAGTTCTTGATATTTATTTTAGTTTTTTCATTCCAGGACCCGAACCAAGAGTCGGTGGTAAAAGGTGAGCAATAACATATCTATCTAATCTAATCATCACAGCAAATCATTTCTTAAACAATCAGTAGGCCTATAGTTTTGAAGTTGACACTACAATTCAGTTGGAGGACTTTAGAAGAAAATTAGTGGTTATGATACATTGATGGAATTCTTTCTAATCAGAGAACGGAACGTCTTTCCACCAGACAGGAAATCGATATGTCATCTAGTAATTATACAGGGGAAAGATGAGGTAGGGGCGAGAGGCTAGTAGTGGGTGCCGCGAAGACAAAGGCTCTTACTATTAGTAACCTCTGATCATTCGTAGGGGGGAAGGGCAAAGTAATATATCCAGTAGAGGCACTGGGTCAAGCTTGGCATTACTAATTAAAACCATAGGGTAAACGTTATGTTTATTTGTGTTTTAGAGTTCGAAACCCCCCGGTACATCACCTCTAAAGATGGGAGAAGGGAAAGTTCTTATGGAATTTACGAAAAAGAAAGAGAAAAGCCAGATTATAGCAGAAGGTTAGTACGTAAGCCCATTAGTTTTAGCAATTTAGGGTAGCCTTGCCTAAACATCGTTTTGTAATAGGCCCTATCGAACCTTTAGTCTAGACGTTTGAGCACTGTATCGTCTGATATTGGGAACAGTTCAGAACACATTACAATAGATCTGGGGGCTTAAACTTTAGAAAATAATACCTTAATCTTGTTTATCTTGTGACTGGAGCTACGATATTTTGACAGGGAGACGTCTGCAGTTATAACGTCGTTGAATGGTCAAAGGGACGCAACTCCTTTTAACACAAAAATATAATTTTCAGACTACAGTTAATTCTTCATTTTTTTCTTACGCATTTTAGAATCAGTAAAGTACCAGCATATGATCTGGAAGAACAGAGGCTATTGGCTGATCTAGAGAATGAATTTTAACTCAAGTGAAGAGGGGAATCATGTGATATTTACTCTGAAATCTGTGATATTAAGCTATAAACTTGTATTCCTGTTAATAATAATTGTAAACTCATGCGATAGATCACAGAAATTTTACTGCTTGACAAAATATAGCAACGTTTGCTTTGTTTATCTTATCAAAACCTACAATCATTCATAATATTTTGATGACAAGAGCTCATTTTTTGAAGCTGACACGTTTCAGATACTAAATCCTCATCAGGACAATGTTAGGCATGTAGGAAAAGTAAGTGAAACTATATGTGAGATTTCTGAGATTTTAAAGGGTTATGGAAAAAAATCCTTATAAGAGATAAAGGCTGACTGTCCATGTCAGATTTCTGAATTTTTTGTTGTTTGTGAGAAGAGATCTGGATGGCTTCTTGTGATAACCAATATTTTTGGATATCATCATAAATATCCTGTAAATAAATTCATCCCATTTTTGTTTTCCCTTTTTGTTTGGTTCTTTATTACATGGGAATGGATAGACAGTGTTTTGATATTTTGGAATAGGAAGAATTCTATAGAAAAGAATCAAGTCTATGGAAATGAGACAACATTTTATTATGAAATTAATGGATATATACAAATGATAAATAATATAGAAAAAATAAAACGCTTGAGTTCAAAGATGCTAAGGGCTAGAGGAATCTTGGACAAAATCTCTCCTCGATATCATAAGCTAGTACTTGGAGTTCAGTTTTAGTCAAAGAATCAGTTTTTAGGAACAATTTTTCATTCAGAAACTTTAATCAAGACTCTTCTGCTTCTTCTTCTTTTAAAATTTCATAATATTCTGACACTTTTATCTTCTTAGGGATGATATCTTCAAAAAAAAATAAATAAATTTGATTAATAAAAATCTGTACAAGCAAGAAAATTCTTGTCCAAAGTATGGCAAAATCAAGAGTAAAAGTTGTATAGTAGGGGACTCCTCCCAAGAGAAGTACTCTCAGGTGTTTCAAAATGAATAAGAATGGTCTGCTTCAGACTAGGAGGAATTCTTATGAACAACAGAAGAGTCTCTCTCTGTATTCTGGATGAAAATGGTATTAAGTAAGAAGGTACCTTGTAAAAATTGTAGAGTTTCGTCATTGTTAACAATTTCTGCTAAATCATTGTAGGTTATCTCTGAATCTTTATTTCTTTCTAATGATACTTTAGCCAAGGCTTGGATAAAAAGTTCCTAACATTAAAAAAAAAAAATAACAAAGAAATGTTTGAAGATCAACTATTCCACCAGTAAATAAATTGGCCAATAAATTCTCTTTTACTTACAATAGATATACTTCAGTATTGAAAGAAATCCATCAGTAAATACATTAACAAATTACTAAGTTCAATGGGGTCTGAGCCTATAAGTCGCAGACCAGTTATCTCCCTTGAAAAAATTCGTTTGACAAATTATGTAAACAATGGCAATTTCAATAAAGATCTCATATGAAACATTTAAATATAAATACCGTTGCTTTCCCCGTCATCTGTAGAGCTTCTTGACTGATTATGGTTACATCTGGAGACGATTTCATGATTGTTTTCACTCTTGAAAGCGGCAGAGAAAACTGATGTCGTTCTTTGTCGGCCATGATGAATTTTGTTAATCCCGCTCTAACGGTTCATTGGATAAATATAAAGAGAGAAAATATATCTAAGTTATAATTATATTCTGAAAAATAAAAATTAGCAAATTTTAAGTCTCAAATTTGTCTCGTCTGAACATTTCTGCAAATAAGTACGAATTTGGAATTGTCATTTTCTTAGTCAAAATATTTCTGATACTGCGGTGCTGTTCTCACGTTGTACCTACTTCCTTTTTGTACTACTTCGTGGAAGGAAAGGCTGTTTTCTTCAAATCATTAAAGGTTAATTGCCTAAATTTGTATCATTCACACCTATTTATCCCCTCCTCTTGCCACATACGCGCTTTGGACAACTTTGAAAGCGATCGGGATCCATCCAATCGGTATAATGTGGTCATTTCGTCTGCTATCTGTTTTTTTTTTTGTTAACACTGCATATTATACCACGGTTTAGCAGTAGACCTATACATCTACCTCTTTAACAGCCTCTGATTACTATTTGGACAGTTGTCGGCTGGTGTAAAGACAGAAAAAACAGGCCTTGTTTAGTGGGGATTTTCTGCACATCAAAAGGTGAAGGGTAACAGAGGCTGGAATAGTCAATGGAGGCAGATGTTTCGGACGGAGGTCTAGCCAACAAATGAAAAATGACTGGCACAAATTTAGGAAATAATGCTTTGTATTTAAGTCATTTAGCCTAAGATCTTTTCTTGTCTATTTCATGTTAGAAAGAAACATAAAATGTCTGCCCATCCATTATTGCACGATTCCGTCTGGCTACATCAGAGAAAATATGAAGATGCTGAAGCGTTTTATCAGTGTGTAGTCGCAGGTACATCCGCAAATGTCTCTTCACAGGTGCTTATCCTTTTATCTTCTATTGACAAAAACTATTGATTGTTCCAAATTCCAAATAAATGCCTGATTAATCGAGGCTACATGTGTAAGCGAGCTGAATTAAGGTATATTTCATGACATAAGATTATTTGAAATTTGTCCTTGGACTAAGGTTAAAATATCTACTGTGGCCATGTTCTATTATTGTCAGTTTTGATTTGATTATTTAAAAAAAACGTCTAATAAATTTGTTTGTCAACCACTTAACAAATATTGCTTTCATCCTGATTGAAGAACATCTTCATGATGCAAGCTTTCATGAACTTCATATTTATACCTTAACTGCAATAGCCACCTTTCTTGTATCAAATCGCTGCGTTACGTGATGTGATAAAGAAAGGTGGCTATTACAGTCAAGGTATAAGAAGAAGTTAGTAATAGCTTGACATTGTGGAGATGTTCTTGTAACAGCAAAGTGACCACTAAATGCCTCTCAAACCACCATAAAAGCATGTGAAGAAAACTTTATATATTTTAGGCCTCGACGGGCGGAAAAAGTTCCCTAATCAATGAAATTACTCAAGCCAGGCAACAAATTCAATTAGCATTGAACAATCCAGTAAGTAGGATAATCAAAGCTACTGGTAGACTCTTATTTCCAGACTGTTTAATTTTATTAGTAATTGATGCTTTTTGGCTTATTAAGTTATGCAAAAATATCTCCGCTTTGCAGTCAATACTTCTTTTAAAATCAATATCCAAAGAACGACAATAGTACAGTAAGTGTATCAGAAGACCCAGATTAAAGGAAGAGCCATGTATTTGTCAGAAACTTTGTTTTTGTCAATCAAAATTCACAGTCTGGACATAAAGTTCATTTTCATCAATTTAAAATTCATTTCCAAATTTCACTTCTTCAATTTTTTTTGTTTCATTTTTTCCCTGCTGCTTGTTATATTTCATTGGCTAATTTTTGTGATTTTTTTCTGCTTTTTACTAATTTTGTTCACATTTTTGATGATTATTTCTGGATGTTGGCCTTCCATTTCAATCTTATTTTGGGAATGCTTGTTAACTTTCCTTACACACATTTGTGACTTTCCTGATTTGTTTGGACTTAGTTTGACTTTGAAACATTAACTTTTTCTCTGTACCTTTTCGTTTTGATTTATTTTCTAATTTTGGTTGACATTTGCTACTAAATTCTTTATTACTTTTCACAATAGATAAAAATTCTGAAATTGAAGGGATTGTGTTTTCTGGAATTTCAAAGCATGGGGTTAACAGCTTTCGAACTGTATAATCATCAATACTTTACACTGTCAACTCAGTTGGCAGTGGAATAGCTGTGGTAGTGAGTTGAATTGCTGTCTGCTTGGAGATTAAGTAATCAAACTCCCCCCAAAGTAGGAGAATTCTGATGCCTCTGCTTGTGCTTCCGAGAGTCAGCCAGTTGTCCTCTTTCACTCCCTGATACTATGTTTAATTCTGTATAACTGTTTGTTTCAATGCAGCGATGGAGTTCACAGAATAATAATATTAATCAAACTGAAGTAGGCAGAATGTTAGATGTTGTATTGATTGTTGTTTTTGTGATTTTATAATGTGTTTATACCTTGACTGCAATAGCCACCTTTCTTGTTTGTGAATGCAGCAATTTGATTGGATTGTACGCTAGCAAATACAGCCAAACAGAGGACAGATGATACAAAAAAGGTGTTCATTCTAGTTGAAGAAGAAGAAGTACGATGTTCGTAAAAGCTTGACATTGTGAAAATTTATACATTTTGCATCCACATATTGTATTACAAATCTGTTTTATATCGCTAACGTTCAATCCAATCATTTACTAACTTTCGTAATATAACGAAGGGTGCCTATTGTAGTCGAGGTATAAGTACAATGCTCGTAATAGCTTGACATTGTAAAGATGTGAAATCATTATCTAGACCAAGTTAAAATACTGGTGTATAATACATTTATATTTTTAATGCTATATCAATGAAGTAATTAACTGATATGAAACTGAGTAATTAATATAAAGTGAAAGAAAAACTATGTGTTTTGAGAATTATTATAAGAGGCACTATCTGTTATGTTTTTCAGGGATCAGTCACCATGGATACCACCAGAATTGATGCTTTAGAACGTGATAACAAAGAACTCAGAAAAGGTAAGAATCGTTTAGGAATTCTTGGTCTATCAGAAATATTTTGAAGCTGATATTCTGTTGTTGTCTACCAGTGCTTCATAAATAAAATATCACCCCTCCACAGAGATCATGATTCATTGAAAATATTTGAATGCTGTTTATTTTAAATTTCAGTAACAAACGATTTAAGGAACTTGGTGATCAAGTTAGAAAATAGAATAGTAGCTTTAGAGGGAGGTAAACCTACCAGCCAGTCTAAACCTGCCCCAGCAGATGATGATGATGATGATTTTGATTTATTTGGTGGTGATGATGAAGATGCAGAGGTAATTAGAATTTTTTGGTGTTTTTGAGGGTCGCAGCCACAGCAATGAAGACGTAACCAAGCAAATGATGTCATGACTGGACGTAACCAAGCAAATGATGTCATAACTGGATGTAACCAAGCAAATGATGTCATGACTGTAAAGAACCAACGCTGTAATCGACTATGCTATAAGAACGAGAACAAGAGCAATTTGTTGAATTATGTTTCTCATTTTGGTTGTGACCTGGACAAAAAGTCTGCCTATCATTAAATAAAAACCCGGGTCTTATTTCAGGCGGAATTAGAAGCATTAAAACAGAAGAGAGTAGCTGATTACAAAGAAAAAAAAGCTGCCAGTAAGTTTGGAATGTCTTCTTTTCATTGTTCAATAAAACAAGGCGAACCTTTCGAATAAATGGCTTCTATTTGCAATTGAAATACTAAATAGTGCAAATGTTACACAGAAGGTAATGAACATTTTGCTTTTTTTCTTCAGAACCCAAAGTGATCGCCAAATCCAATGTAGTCCTGGACGTCAAGCCGTGGGATGATGAAACAGACATGAAGGAAGTAGAAAAACAAGTACGAACTATTGAAATAGATGGCCTAAAATGGGGAGCAAGTAAGTCTTGATTTTATTAACAGCATTCACTGAGACAGACATTTATGAGGGCTGATTGTAGCACAGTCGGTTAGAGCTTTGGAATCATAACATGATGTCATTTGCTTGGTTACGTCAAACAAATTAGTAGTAGTGGGTTCTAATTTCCAGTCGCCTCAGCTACGTATTATCCTGGAAAGATCAATACCCGGATTATTTTGTTACCAATGGGTCTCACATAGAGACTTTTCAACCCTTTTTTTTCCCCTATGTGTGTCTTGAGGTATTTCCTGGGTAATTTTCAACCAGGTTTCCCCCTATTGGTGTCTGAGGTATTACCTGGGTAATTTTCAACCTAGTTTCACCCTGTCAGAGTTGTAGGAGGTATAATAACGTATCAATTGCCATATTGCAGGTAAATTAGCACCAGTAGGTTATGGTATAATGAAACTACAGATCTGTTGTATAGTAGAAGATGACAAAGTCAGCATAGACGATTTGGTAGAAAAAATCACAGACTTTGAAGATTTGGTGAGTAAAATTTACATTGTTTTTTAAAGTGATCTTTGTAAAAAACAATGTGACAGCGATGCGGCGTATGAATACACAGCATTAGACAAAAATAGACCCACTACGATGGAATAGATCTCTGTCTCTTAGTTTGTGTTAGGCACTAATGATGTTATATATATCTGTTTCAGGTACAAAGTGTTGATATAGCAGCCTTCAATAAAGTCTAACTTTCACAATTAAATAAAATATTTAAATTTTACTGCTTGTTTTTATTTGAGAGCCTTAATTTTCCTTAAGGCTTGTAGGCCTAGACAGTTTGGAAGAGAAGGCTAATGCTGCTGTCCTGGCAATGTTTCCCTCATTGTACACCACATGATCCTGAGAACCCCTAAATCCCTCAAGATTATGATCCATGCCCACGATGCCCCTGCTCTTGTATAATGATAAAGCATGCAAAAAGCCCTCTAAATTTGACACAACATTTATTCTGACTGATCAAATGCAATATATAAGAAGCCTTATCATAAGGCTAACTGGTCTTGGGAACATCCAACTTAAATAATGCCAGAACAAGGCAAAATCATTTGAAATTTGCAAGTTCTTGCCAAAATCATACCCTAGAAGAATCGGAAGTGCGATTGAAGTTAATACTCCAGCTTAAAGCTTATAATGAGACCAATTAATCCATTGTATTAATTGGGGGAAGGTTCATCTTTAATTTTTGATAATACCAGTCTCGATCATCCAGATTTGAAACACTAACAGTAAAATTATAAAGTTTCTTAGCAACGGACGCTATCAATAGACTTGATCAACAAGACACTAAAAAAACGCCTCGAAGTGAGACAAGGATTAGAATAATTGCGTTCAAATTTGTAATTTAGGTAACTATTGTGTAATTTTCTGCAAAATCTATTCAATTTTGGACTAAATCTATTCAAAAATTTCGAAAATAAGTCTACACAAGTTTTGAAAATAGAAAATTGCACATCTTACAAATCCACATATTAGTTTTAGACGTTAGTATATTTCTTCCATGATAGAAACTTTAGACGGTGAAAATGTTTTCTAGTTTGTTTTCCTGTTGTATGAAGGTTTGTACTTTTATAATTTTTTTTAATGAAAGGAAATAGTTTTGAAATCCATCTCTACGAGCAAAGAATCCCGATTTTTGATTCGATCTGAAAAGAGTAACTGGAACGAAAACAGTTTTACGTGTAAGGTGCGTCCAATATGCAAATGTAAACAAACCAAAAAAAATCGAAAGCAATTGACAATATGACAAACAGTCCATTCTTAATTAATAATTAACATCGGCCGTGAATGTATGAATTATTTCATTACAAATATGATATCTTACAGAGGCTTTAGGCCTGTCCTATGTAAGTTGTAGCAACCTCCCCCCCCCCTCCGCCACTCTTTTAAAAATATATAAGTGAGGTTCTTAATTCTTTTTTAGTTTCAGATATAAAAATGCGCAATCTAAATTAGTCAAAGATAAAGAATAACAGCTATCAACATGCCAACGAAAGATCCGAGAGCCTACGTTAATCGACAGCCTCTACCTATTGCGTCTCAGAAAGGGTTAAAACTACAGGCCCGATGTGATACAGTGTATAACCCCATTCATCCTAGTAGAGATATCGTCCGTTCAGCTAATTATAGACGTAGACAAGAACAATTAGTCACTCAAGGATTTAACGCATTGAATTACCGCCCCTATGTTGGAATCGGTGATCCATTCTACCTTGATGAAAAACGCCTGGTGCTGAGTGCTCTAGGACAGTGGGAAGAGGTAAGTGTTCAGTTTTATAAAGTTGTGGGGGGGTGGGGGGGCCCTTCCAGCAGTAGCTCACTAAAGTAACAGGACCAGCTGAGGCCTAAACCTCTAACTGCAAGCTTAACCAAGGTGAATTACTGACCAAAATCTAAACAAATGTGTCCCTTTCCATGGCTTGAAATAACTTTAGAAATGGGCCGGACAGTTTCTTAACCTTTTTATTATTTATTAATCTTTATCTCTCTGTAATATCATTGTATTATTTATTATAGTCAGATGAATCGTGCTATAGTTCTAGTTCTGATGAAGATGAACGAGGACTGGAAGTCACTAAACAGAAAAAATCAAACGTAAGTCTTTCATTAAATATGAAGTCATCATCACTCATTATTCCAGACGACCTAGCTGTAAATGGGTAGGGATAATCCGAGAGAGATCAATGCCAAGATGTTGGACGAAAGGACCAGCTGGTAGAAAGGATCATTGTGAAGCTATCTTGGAAAAGATCAAAGCCAAAAGGTTTTGACAAGGATCTGTTAGTAGAAAGGATCTTTAACTGTGAACCTAAGTTATTATCCTTGTAAAATATAGTTGTTTCTTTCTTTCTTGTACAAATTTCTTTTTTTTTTCAGTCGGCTGCTAATTTTATGCTGCGTAGAAAAAAGCGGGAACTTAACAATTTGAATAAGGAAGTTAGACATGGAAGGTAAGTGTCTATTTTCTGTGATATTTGCAGGCAAAAATTGGAATCAGTGTTCTCCGTTAAAAATAACAAATTTAGATAACCTTTTTACAATCCCTTTAATGTCTGTTTCAAGTGTGAGTCAATATCACAGACGTCAAATGATTGATATCTAGTTTATATACTTGTGAATTATCAACTAATCTATATGACCCTTTAATATTAAAGTATATTTATAGTTCCTTGTAAACACTCTAAATAAATCAAACTTTATCTTTCCAAGTGGAAATAAATCAAGTATGGCCATCCGTACTTAACCTTACAAAAGTCATTTGATAGTATTCTTGACTATCAAAATGGCTTGATGCTTGAAAAAAAAATAGCACAGCGACAGGGAAACAATCCACTGTCCATGCACAACAACGGTACGGAAAAGATGGAGAACAAAGACAATACACTCTGTGGCTGTGCAAATAGCTAATGTGATCAATTATTAAAAAGAAATCAAAGTTTGAAAAGGTAACCATTGAATTACTATGTTATATATTGTAGGAATTTGATAAGAAACGTAAAATTGGGACACGGATTATTTGATTTGATAAAACAAGAACGACAGGCTAAGGTATGAGATACTGTTACAATATATTACATCTTCACAATGTCTAGCTATTAGACCTTGACTGCAATAGTCATCTTTCTTATATCATGGAAGTTTGTAAGCGATTTGATTGGATTGTACAATAGCAATACAGCCAATCATGGCACCCGATTACACACACAGCCAAACTCTGCAGTTTCAGCCATTTTTGATCTTTAATTGTAGAAAGCAGCAATAGCTGAAGCGTACAGGAAGAAGGCAGAAGAGGCACGTAACGCCTGGCAACAACCCAAATCAGACAGTAGTTCCGATGAATCTGAGAATGATATTCCTCAAGATACAGAACTGGACAGGTAGGTCTATTTACAATAATGAGCTTGCTTATTTGTACAAGTCCTAGTCTTATAATTTAGCCATTGATCGCTATTCTTATTTGCAGCCATACAAATCAGGTGATCACCATGGTGTGAGGACTAGAATATATCTTAGTTATTGCTTCTTAATACATTTGCTTGAGAATTTTGTTCAATTTTTTCTTATCCATGTCTTGCTTTGTTAGCAGTTTAGTTTTAGTTATTTATAACATAGCTTGGCTGGTTATTTTATTTGCAGTAGTTATTTTTCTGGAGGGGAACAGGATAGCATATTTTTAACACAACCAAATACTCCAGGGTAAGCCTGTTTTGTTTCATATTAGATTTATAGTGCCATTTTTAAATTTGCTTTTAAGGCTTTTCCTAATTTTTAATATTGCATTTAAACCCTGTTTATTTTTAAAATGACTGAAACGTTAAATACATGTATTCAGTTTCCCATCTTCACAATATCAAGCTATTACAAACTTATGCTAGGCCAAAACTGTACATTACAGTATTGACTGCCTATTGCAGTCAAGGTATAAGACGAAGTTCGTAATATCTTGACATTGTGAAGATGATATACGTGTTGTGACTAATGATATCAAGGGAAAAGTTTGTATGTACTATATCAAAGATCTATTTACAGTGATGGTTCACGACCCAATAGTTCTAAATCAACACCACGTAAGAAGAAGAAAAACATCCCACCTCGTCCTTTTACACCGAAATATACCAGTTTATCAGAGGTCACTGATCACACGGCAGACTTCGAAGCCAACATTACGTCCAGTTTAAACCCTTCACGAGATGTATCACCTGATAATCGTTCTGTAGTCCCAATTGATCCAGACTCAATGAACACTGCTGTTGATAATTCTGTGATTTCATTTGATGTTTCAAGGTAAAGGTTTTATTTTAAACTCTTGAGGTCTGACATGAATGTGGAACAATCTAGTTCAAATTAAATTACAATTTGGTTCCTTATTATTTTGTTTTGTTAGTCTGCATTGCAATCTAACAACGTTTATACCAAGGTCACGTACTGGTGATTTTCCAAGACAATCGCTGGCCAATTCTGAAAAGTTTGGACGATCAATTATAAAGTTACCTTGACCTTTGATATTTTCAGAGATTCTTTGTTCCGTCAATTATGTGTATTGAACTGGATATTAGAGGCTATGAATATAGAACAAGGATGTACGATGTCTTCAATAACAACCTGCTGGAAACTCAGTAAAAGGTAATGTATATATAAATAACTACTAAATATCAAAAATACTACAAGGGGAATATTAATTATGCCCCCGTAGTCCTAAATTGGTGGAAGAATTGTAGAAGAACCTGGTGTCTGGTTAAAATTCTGAAAAGCATTATAGATAGCAGAGTTTGAGCTCCATCAACTTTTGCGATCTTTTTACTGTTCTAGTACTTCTGAAGACTTAACATATCAAGACCTTGATCAACCCCCAAAATAGGTCATTAATGAATCTTTATTAACCTTTTCAGTGACATGGGAGGTAATAAGGTTTCAAAAGGAAGAATACAAAATCAGAAGACAGCTCAGACCAAGTGGGATCAGTTTGTTACTAATACTGGAGCCCATGCTAAGGTAGGAAATTCATGTGTTGGCGTGTTTAAGGAAGGATATGGCATTTTGAATTCCCCTTAAGACGGGAAAAAAATAAGTTACTAAGTGATATCACATAATGTTAAAGTCATACGCTGCTAGCGATGTAACTTAACAATCAAGAAAGTAAAAGCTGTGGAAGATTACGAGATATTTGAGTCAAAGTATTTCGCAAATCATGGTTTGAAAGTGACATTTGACCTTCAATCTTTGACCTTTAATCTTTGACCTGTAAAAGGCTGAATTGTTGATGATTTCAGATTAGCAAAAGATCGAGACTGAGTCGTCAATATAACAGACGAGTTCAACTGACTCGAACATCATTAAGCCCTAGCAACAGTTCAATACATTTAAATACAACCAATCAGAGCTCAGTATCTCATTCACCCCTGCCCAATACTATAGATGAGACATCAGCCATGACACCTGTACCAGAAAAAGAAGATGAAGAGACACCATATAGCAGAAGTAAGATTTTTTTTTGCCAGTCTGTTTGCCAAATTTAACAATTTTGTCTATCTTAGCCTGTGCAAACAACTGAATTCATCCGCCTCGAATTATGGGTCCAAGAGGCAATTGGACAAAGTAGGGAAGGAGCAATATACTTAACGGCCAATTAGGAAAGAGCGATTTAGGGAAGACAACCCATAAGATTGTTGCAAGGAATAAATGGCCACTGAATGGAAAAAACTTAATTTCTTAATCAATAATAATTTTTTTTTACTGTAGATGGTTCAACAGGTAACTAAATGTTGTGTTTTTGTTGTCATTGTTCCATTTAACTTGTTTATAAATGTCTAATAAACCCTCAAAATATAGCCTGGGTGGCATTCGATTGGTTAGTTCTGAACAGGCTCCGTCTGCTCCAATTCTGATTTCAATCAAACTGTACAGAACCAAATTATTCAAGATTTTCCATTCTGTTTCTTTCTCCCCTATTCTGAAATTTGTCTGCACTTACTATTTGTTTAGCACACGTGGAACGCGTTCTGAACTCTGTTCTAACTTATTACTGAAAGTTGAATCAATGAATCCCGAACATGACGAACTGACCAATCGAGTGCCCCCCGGAGTTATTCCACCTATTGTAATTGTAATGCTTATATCAAAATGTTGTGCTAATTTTGATATTGATATTGTGTATTTAAGTTTGATGTGTTTTAATAGATATTTAACCTAATGTATAACTGTGTGGCTCAATTGTCCAGTTGTGTTGTGCTAAATATTAAAATAAACATCAGCAATGTGGACTCTCTGCTAAGGGACTTTATGCAAATGTGAATGTCCAAATACTTACTAACTTTATTAGCTATGTGGACTCTCCGCTAAGAAATGTCTAGTTGAGAAATCAAAATCCTGAATAAACATTATTAGCTATGTGGACTCTCTGGAAGGGACAGTGGCATCAGGTGTTTGTGTACGCATGGCCTCCATCAATGGCTGAGCAATTTTGATAAAAAATATATTCATTATCTCCCTTTGATATATATTGTGATATATTAATTGATATTTCAGGTATATTTAAGTTTCTAGATGAATATTATTCAAGTTTAAATCGTGGTGAGGGCCATATTAGTGATAAACTGGACAGTGTATACTATGGTCGATACGAACGCAACGATACATCACCTGATAGATTCAAACGAGATAAAAGGTGAGTTGTATTTATAAAATGTATTAGGTGATACAGAAAGGTGTCTGTTGTAGTCAAGGTATAAGTGCGAAGATTGTAATGGCTTGATATTGTGAAGATAAGTTAAGCCATGATTTGTATTTTTACAGGGCCAGTGTATCTGAAGGGAGAGCCAGTAGAAAATCTCACAGAAACAAGTCTCCAGACAGACGCAGTTCGGTATGTTGGCTTTTACTATCTCCCTTCCAAACACCTGTACAGCTAATGGAGCTTTGCAATCTAGATGTCATTTGATTGGTCAGATTAATGAATTGGAGGTGATTTCTGCTTTGGGGAAGCGCCATAGAAGCAATCCTCTTGTGTAACTTACACATTTTTAAAATTTTTCAGAGAAGGGAATCAAGAGTGCAGTCTGCTAAAACTATCTCCACAATTGAAGACCAGCGACCATCGAGAATTTCAACAGCTCATTCCAAAATTATTCGACCAAAAACAACACAAGGTTTAGTCGACTATCAAGCCACATTGCCTAGCAACAGATTCCAAAATCTGTCCACCAATCTAAGGAATAAATTTGAAGAAATTCAAGAAGACAAGGCGCTGACTTTACATGATATTTTACAGAAATTAGACAGGTAGGCATGGAAACATTTTAAACTGGACTCCTGTTGTGTTTGCTTATCGGTACGGAGTTCTTACTGCTGGACACAGGGAGACGTAATCTAGTCCTAACTAAGAACACCAAGGACATTACTGTAGTGTATTACATGAATTTCATCCAATCAATGCCAAGATGACAATACCTTCAACCCATTCCTTCTGGGCGAGGCCATTTTGAAATTGATGGCTGATTTCCAGGGATGACCTTCTTATGTACCGTTTCTATTTTTATTTCAGAGATCGTCTGAGTAAATGTCTATCGAAATATGAAGCTATCCAGGCTGGTAACAGTATGTGGACATCTCTAGAGAAAATGAGAGAAGGTGCTATCTCTAGAAACCAGAATCCACAGAGAAGAAAAGAATCTTCTTTCAAAGGAAACTGGTCAGTAGAATTTGAGTAGAATTAATGATCATGCGTCCCCACCCCCAAACCCCACCCCAAGGCCCGTAGCTAGAGGGCCAGGCCCCCCCCTAAGAAAATATTAGCCCTCCCCTGAAAAGTTAGATGACTTAAATGACTTGTTGATTCACTATAGTTGAGCCCCCATTTAAAAAATTTGGCCCTCCAGTGAGACCATGGGCTAGATACGGGCCTTGCCCACCCTTACATTTATCAGACTATTGGACAAAGAATTATGTGGCCCATAGTCCCTTGGCCTAATAATTAATTTAAATATCACTGATGATAATCTCAATTCATCTGTACAAGTAGCATTAGCCTTTATCCGTTTGAATGGTCCATGGGAGATAACCCATTTTAATTTTGTGACTTGAGCTACAGACAACAAATAACTTATTACAGTTTATAATGTACTATTATTTCTAGGTATTCTGACCTACAAGACAGTATTCCACGACAACTAAAAGAGTTATGGTATTATAAACTCATCCTCAATAAACTGGGAAACTTTGGATTGGTGAGTTTTGTTTTTTTATTGGATAATCTCAGATTTAGAATTACTGCTACATTTCAGATTATTGTGAAACTTTTCTTTTAACAGTTGGAAATCAAAACAGAGTAGGCTCATGCTGCTTTCCTTGCAAAATTTCCCTCATTGCACACTGCATGGTGTTGCTCGTCTTCATTGGCAAGTTAGGTGCATAAAGTTGGATGTAAAACTCCATTCATTTCAACAAAGGTCTTTATTATAGAAAGGGCTGCATTAAGTATTTATTGAAAAAAGGTTTGCTTTTTTTTCAGATTGAAAACGTCAGCCGTCAGAGCCCGTATCCATTTATAAAAGCTCTGGGTACGTTACGTGATTGGGAAATATGTAGTCCAGATGTCACTGCTGCAGTAGAGTTCTGTCGAGAAAAAATCGTGGATATGACAATCGAAGAATTTGAGGAATGGTTTCAGCAACAGTTTCCAACGGTAACCAGACCTCATACAGCCTCCTCTACAGTTAAAGGCAAAGAACAAAAAGACCAGATGATCACAGCTTCATTACCATCATCTCAATCATCCAGACCTACAACCACAGGGACTCGAACCACTAGCAGTAAGAGTAGTAGGAGCGGTCTGGTTCCTTTCACGTAATGATCTCACTGGAAATAGTTAGCCACCCCTCAATCTTTTATTGAACTCTTTCTAGTATTTATTTTATTATTCAATATGAATCTTCAGAAGAGCTCATTTGCAAAATTAGGGGTGTTTTCAATATTTATCTTACTTCCAACTTTGCATTTTATGACATAAACACACAAAATGTAGTTAAAGAAATTATATTTTTATATTTAGTAGATTCAGAAAGGCATGAATTGTTTAGGACATATTTATTTATTTATTGGATCCTGTTAACCAGCTTGTCCTTGGACATTCTCTTGGCAACGATCTTTCCGGGATTATCCGTTACCATTCAAAGCTGGGTCGACTGGAATAATGAGGATACTGTCTACTATCTGATCCTTGGACAATCTCTCTGCAGCGATCTTTCTTAGATTATCTGTACCCATTCAAAGCTAGGTCGACTGGAATAATGAGGATTTTTCAGAGAGTCCACATAGCTGACATCGTTCATCATGACTGTTCAATATTTATACAAATCTATTTTGTGATATTTTATTTTTTATATCTGGTATATATATTGATCAAATCTCGTATTTTTCTATTTTGAATTTGTTGCTTTACTTGAACTAGATCTTTTATAATTAATAAAAATAATAAATATACATGATTTCATTTTTGAGTGTTAATGGTATTTTGAAGGCTGAGTAGGGGCTGGGGAATTTTACTGGTGGGGGTAGGGGAAGGCTCAAAATTCAATTTGTTCCCTGTCCCAAATTTTAAAGTGATGGTCCAAAGCCTGCAGTTATAGGGGGGGGGGGAGGGGGGGAGGAGACATGACTGCTGGCCCCCTGTACAAACACATCTGTTGCTTGTGGGTTCATTTGAAATTCGACGGGCAGATCCTTTATCAGGATTAGTAAATTGAGGAGAATCGTTGCAGGGAAATGGTGTTCGCAACTGCTTTAAAAGAGAATGAAAATGCTCTAGAAATTAATGAGAATTAGTTGTTGTCTGTAGGCCTAGTCATTATACATTAAAAGAGTTGTCTCCCATACACCATAAAGCATTCATTCTGTCTCCCTTTTTATTTATCTGACAATGATACTTTACATTTTATGCACAAAAGTTCGAATGAGGATAAACAATATACAAATATGTGTCAGAAATCTAATTTATTTCTCGTTGTAACTAGAGATTTTTGTTGCGTTTTTTATTGTTTTTATATGGAAATTAGAAAGAAATTCTTTTTTTTGTTGCTAAGAGCATGCGCAGTGTTTGTTTTTAATTAAACTTCCGGTGTATAGATTACCGTTTTCCAAATTTACCTTTGTACTTTTTTGAATTCAAAGTGCTACAAAAGCTGCATAGTTTCAAAATGGGATGTGAAGAAGAAGTTCTTGGCGTCGGCAAGAAGCTGGACAAAATGATTACCAATAAAACAGCAGACCATAGCTCTGTTTTTGACTTACTGAAAACTTTGCAGGTTCGTTGAGTTTGTTTATTGTTGTTTCCGTTTCTTTCAATGCTCTAAAAAGTATTTACAGATACTTTCATTTCCTCCTTTCTATCAAGAAATCTGCTAAGAAGTATTTGAAGTATTAGATCAACTAATCATTGCTTCCAATAAGCCTCATGCGAAAGCAGTGTTTTCGATTTCCTCCATTTCTTTGGCCCTTTTCAATTTCGACCCCTATTGTTTATTTCAATTAACAATTTCCATCTGAAAACTTTTGATGAAGGCTGTCCATACTTTTTCCACCCTGTGATCTACATTTATATATATAAGCTATGTATATTTTTGTCCAGTATAATACATGTTTCTTTGGATCAAACTATTTAAACACTGTTGTTTTTCTTTCAGGATCTGCCCATGTCTTTGGATGTTTTGCAGAAGACGAGAATAGGTATGACTGTCAACAATTTACGTAAAGCCAGTAAAAATGAAGAAGTTATCTCCCTTGCTAAAACTCTGATTAAATTATGGAAGAAGCTTCTACCAGGAGAAACAACCCAATCGAAGGGAGGCAGTTCTTCTAAGGTTAAGATGGACGAAACATCGAACGACAGTACAGATGTAGCTGCCGAAAAAGAAACGAAGGAAGAAAAGAAGCCGTCTTCTGCCTCGGATACCAACGACGCTGTGAGATTGAAATGTCGTGAACTTCTTGCAAATTCCTTAAAATGTGACAATCCTCCAGAAAATAGCGGAGATATAGTTGAAATCGCAGCAGCTATCGAAGATTATATATATATTGAATTCGGAAATACTAACCAGAAGTACAAAAATCGTGTTCGAAGTCGTGTGGCTAATTTACGAGACGCCAAAAATCCCCAACTTCGTTCACACGTTCTGATTGGTGCAATATCTGCTTTGAGAATGTCCAACATGTCCACTGAAGAGATGGCAAATGAAGATCTGAGAAAACTTAGAGAAAAATTGACCAAAGAGAGCATTGATGATCATCAGATGGCCAAAAATCAAGGCACAGTCACAGATTTGTTCAAATGTGGAAAATGTGGAAAAAGTAAAACAACATACACGCAGCTTCAAACGAGAAGTTCAGATGAACCTATGACAACATTTGTTTATTGTATGGAATGTGGTAATCGATGGAAATTTTGTTGAGATCGGGCTGTTTTTATGTTTTTCTTTGAGAGTTATCACCCTTGTTATGAAACTGTTATTTGTGAATGTTCAAGACTGAATATGATTTAATCCGCATCAAAATCGCCCCTAATTTTGAAAATGAACCTGCTTACAATCATACGTAACAGTGTTTGTATAGATGGAAGAAAATTATATGGAAGAGTTCAATGAACAATCCAAGGGGATGCAGATGCAGATACAGGACCAGCACTCTATATCCAGTCTTGATGCATTTTGTTGAAATTTGTGGGATCCAGGAAATTGATCTTATAAGAACTTGGCATTATGTTCAGCCCATTAGCTTAGAAAAGATTGACTTATAGACCTAGAATGCGTCCTTCAGTTGATAGTGATGGTGTGGAACATATCTTTCAAAGGATTCTCTCTCTAGACCAAGGCTGATTTTTGTTTCACGTTTTGGTTAGGATTACTATGAATGAAATGACTTTTTCGTTACATCATGCTGTTTTTTGATTGGATTGTGGTTCTCCTGGTTCAAGTGTTAACCAATCAGATCATTGTAAATATCATTGTTTGTATACACCATTTGATTTTCTGTAAACTTAGATTAGTCCTTCTAAAACGCTTTTTCCAGATCTCCTGAGCAGAGGACTGAGAAAACTCTGGAATATTACTTCTACTTGTTAATTGTTAAAAACGTTTCATTATTGGATGCAATATTTCTGCATTTTGGACAATCCCGTCAATTTAGGTGTATGAAATGATACTGCCAAGTAGATAAAACAAATAAGGTTAAATAGTAGCCTGTATTATTACATTTTGGCTTCTTGCATTTATCTATTAGTATTGGATAAAAATTAGCTATAACAATCATTCAATAAACATGTACAAATTGTTGTCGTTTTTTATGAATCAATCTTCTTGTGAATGTTTCGGGCACCTGCTTTTAGTCTACAGTATAATAAAACCATGGTGAGGTGTGGAATACTGACCCTGCACAAATTCCTGGATAAAATATAGAACTGGGCCTTGAAATAAACATCACATACATATATATATTACTCTATTTAATGTTCATTATGCAAACTATACATTCAATTGGTACAAAAATTGGTGAAGAAACTTTATGATCCCTTGAAGCCTTTGAACACTGAATGTAAATGAAATGAAATGTTTTAGACACAAGTAATATACCAGTAACCATTAAGCATATCTTAAGAGACACTTCACAGATCTCTCTAGTATATACAATTACATAATATTAATGAACGATCCTTCCACCCATGTATTTAAACATCAAGTCTATACTATAAATCTATTAGGTGTCATCCAAACATTGAATTATGCAGTGATTCTTGTTCAAACTCTCTCTGTTTAGCTCTAGCCTGAAAAATAAAACCAAGGATTAAGAATATTTCGGATCTAGATTGATTAATTTGTACACAACCAAGATCCCAGCTAATTCAACTCATGTAGCTGCGAGTTCCAGCTCCATTCCTGGCTAGAGTGCTGCCCTGAACCCTTTTAAGATTTAAAAAGAATAAACCTACCTTGTGTCTCTTCATTTCTTCATATTGTTCATCATCAGTTGGTAACTCATGTCGACACTCTGGACAGGAATTTACCTACAATATCATAAGCGGCTAAACTAACTGTCCTGATGAGGATTCATATCCAAAACCCATGACAACAAAATGATAAACAGCTTTCCAATCTAACTCTGTCCCTTGACTTTGGTGTTAGAATCTTGAGAAACTGTGTTTTAATGATTGCTTCATGACTAATGATGTCTGACCTTAAGGCTTGCTCAATAAAACTTCCGAACTTGTTTAATAAAGAAATTGGCACAAACCTGTTTTAGCCAAGTTAAGATACAAGTGGAATGAAACTGATGATTGCAGGGTAAAATTTTACTTTCGTTTTCTTCTTCAAATTCAGCTAGACATATAGCACATTGTCTTCCTAAACCTAGAATACCAAGACAATAAAAAATGTCAAAAAATTGGCGTATGCTTTGAAATCAATTATATTTCGGCATACATGAAATGAACAAATAAATCAAGAACTTAAAAGTAGACTTACACGGAGAGGTAGGGGAAATAACTCTAGTTTCTAGTTCTTCCACGGCTTTCTTTGAGGCTGGTGGAGCTTTACCAGTGAAGTTAAACGGACTGAAAATAGAAAAAAACGACAAAAATATCAGATCACGAAATATTAGCTGATACAATTCTTGTTATGGCAAAATGCCTACCCCTTATTCTGTACCCTTTTAGATGTACAAATAGGAAGACCTATAGTGACTCAGCAATTTTGCAACTTTTTTTTAACTTAGGCTGTAACATTAGATCTACCTAAGTTTTTTAGAAGATTACAAAAACAAACCACTCACTCACCCATCTAATTCATCTTGTATTAAATCTAGTTGCCTGAAAGAGAAATGGAAAGAAATGAATGGAGGTTTATGTCCTACTGGTCTGTAGCCTATTGGGCTAATGAACACAGGTAACATCATGCAGTGCGCCATAAAGGAAAATTTGGCCATGACAAAAGCATTTGCCTGGTATTTTTTCGATTTCCAGCTCGAGTGAGATCTTAAACGTGCATAGCCTGTAGCCTATAAACGGGGCCTCAGTTTATTATCCCATCCGCATGATAAGACCCTTGGACTGGGAGTATGACCAGAATTGGCAGCAGGACCAGGAGAGAGACACAATATCAACAAGTAACTTGCCTTGCCATTTGAATAATTCTCAACAATAACTGATCTGGTGGAGGGCCTTCTCCAGCACTCATATCGTGTTCGTCTGCGTATTCAGCCATCTTGAATATTAGTTAATTCTGTCCTTGATATTCTTGTTTGACTTCACTTAAAAAATACACGTAAACTTGAGTATAAAACTGAGTAATAAATTTATCAAAATGTCAAAATCATTCTACCGGATGTAAACAATACTCGCGACAGATGGACTCAGACAACAAACAATTCCGTCTGCTCTTAACAAGTTCATTCATAAAAGAGTTTAGCTTGGACTACCACAATGCACGGTTGTATTCCTCTTTTATTTCAAAAACAAGTAAAATCAAACGGGATCAACGTAAGAGACTCGGTTTTTATCTGAAATTTCATTTTTCAAGAAAAAAAAAAGAAAAAGAAAAGTGTCTTGTAAATCGAGGCACAATAAAATAAATTTAGAAAGGTCAAGGTTACGTAAATTTTGTTTGACGTAAAGCAGGAAAGTAAAACAGTGGTTCTCATTATTTTCCTCTCAATTCAGATCGGTGAGTGCAATTTTATTTTAACCAGGCCTATTTAGACAATAGATTGCCCCTGGATGTGTGGGGGAAGGGATATCCGCGTGGATCGTAAAAGTATTCAAAGAAAGTGCGAGGAATGGGGTGGAATTCTGGCATCTGCTTTGCCTTTGTTTTGGATTAAAACTTAATGGCAGAATGGATTGATTAAAATATATTGAATGGGCCTGAACAACTCTGTAGATCTAGTCCTCTTAGAATATAATCTATAGCATTTGGCTGTAGTCTGTAAATTTTAAAAGGTGGATTAAAATTTTTGCTTGTCATTGTGATTGTTTCATGTGGTTGATATGATGAAATGGTTGCTTTATTAATCCATAGCTAAGCCATCTGTCGCACAGGTTTCAAATACATAATTCTAATCAGGATAATTCTCCCAGAACTGGAATTTAGCTTTTAAAAAAGTATGTAAACTCTGTGAACAGGAGCATTAAAGTCTTTCAGCGACAATCTTCATACAACATGAACTCTTTTCTAAAGACATTACCATATATTACTGTATTGTTTACTTAAGTCATAAAAAAACAACAATTATTGTTATCTGATATGGGAGGTTTTGAATTCATGATTTATGAACAGAATGAACCTTTTCTTAGGATGACTATTTCTTTAAATTATAAATTTACACAAGTGACTATTATTCAGTTATAAAAAATGGTAGTCATAAATCTCTATAAAGGGATAGTCAACAGGTTATCTAATTTTTTTAAATGTATCAGGAACACTTATAGCATTGATTTAAAATGCAATTGGTTCGTTGATTTCAACATGGTGGGTGGGGATCTTTAATATGACCAATCTGTAGCACATGGCACGATAAATTGAAGGAAAACCTGAAGAAATTTCCCTTGAAAAATGACACACTATAGAACTTCCTCTATGTAAACCATATGCAGAAAATATTCAGTATTTTTTTATGCCATTATAGTACCTGCTTTTAGAATTTATAAGCATGGACCAATTTACAAATTATCACTGAACACCTGATGGTACTTCTCGCTTGATAAGTCTACTAGTATACAATTATTGCTCCTGATTTTGTTCTGTTGTGGAAGAGATGTTTGGTTGATAGAATTGTTTTATTTGTATGGATTTAAATTGTATTCAATTTGAGCTAGCTAGCACATATGAGCTAACACATTTGAGCTAACACATTGAGCTAACACGTTGAGCTAACAAATATGAGCTAACACATTGAGCTAACAGTCTTTAAATAGATACAGTACTGTTTTCCAATCACAAATTCACATTATAGTTAAGACTGCCTGACATTATCACCTGTTTTTACTGTGCACATCAAAATAGACTAGATGTAATATCAGAGCTATTTTAAGCCTTAGTCTGGCATGTTCTTATCATCAGATGGTATTTACAAATACTAAAAACTACTAGAATATATGGTTGTATTTGCAAATTGTTAGACTTTTCCAGTTATTGAGGAAAAATTTAACATTAACATTAATATTTATAACTTCCTAATCTTTTCTTTATTTAGGTAAAATATTACATTACATGATTAAATAAAAAAATAATATGACTTGTCATTATTAGTACTTCACTTCTCCTTGTTTATTAGGGGGCTAAAAGTCAGAGATATGGACTGGTTGTAATATTGAGGGGTCTGTTTTAAAGGGATAGGTTCACCATTTTGAGTGTTGATTTTGGTCTTGAATATAATGTAAATAGTCTAAAATAAGTACTAAATATATACAAATATGGCATAATTCCTTTAAAAATATCCCAAACTAGAAATTTCTCTCCCTATTTCCTTACATATGTCAGTCTCTAGACATTACGAGTTGTCATTTTAACATTCAAATGCAGATTATTCTGGATACACATGGATTTGAAGGCTCAATTTTAGATGGTGAGATGCGAACACTATTAGTGATTGGCTTAGATAAAAAAAATTCCAGTTTCTGTGACTAAGGTTTGATTGGTGGAATTGATAGCCAATGTTTTCCTGAAATCTGATTAACAATATGTTATATATATATGGTGTATTATGTGATACAGAACAATACTTGTATAATATCTATATATCATCTATTAACATCCTTCCTGATATATAAACAGGTTACCATGGTAATGTTTATTTTTGATTTATCAGGTTTTTTCCATGTATAAATCTCAATTTAGATTTTGATAAGCTTAGAAAGGTTTATAGGAAAGATTGCTTCAATCGTATCATTGGTTTTATTTTTTACTTATATAGTCACTGTTTTGAAGTAAATTAAAGAAAATAGTTTTTATAATAGAAGACTGCTAAACAGAAGGCCATAAGAGAGTGGTGGGCACGTTATGGAAAAAGTCCATGACTCTATTGCATGGTATCAAAAACAGGTGAGTTATTGCCCTTGATTGCACTATGATGTTGCTCTTTAAACAAAGTTTTATAACATGTGCCAATAGTATTTAGTAGTGTGGTAGATGTTTAAACCATTACCTCCATTAAGACTAATCTTTTAAGAAAACAAACTATTTGAGTGCATGAGTTAAAAATGTCTAACAGAAATAAAAAGCAAATATTTAGTTAAGTTAAAAACAAATATAGGTAGAAAAAATAGTACACGCCACTTCATTTTCATCTTCACAATGTAAAGCTATCACGAACTTCGTACTTATACCTTGACTGCAAAAGTCACCTTTCTTGTATCATGTAAGTTTGTAATTGCAGTGATTTTATTGGATTGTATGCTAGCAAATACAGCCAATCAGAGTCCTTGACAGACAAATTGTAAACTTTAAGGCTTATTCATTACATTCTGTTTGTCGAAGGCTGTATCTGCATTCTGTGATACAAGAAAGGTGGCTATTGCAGTCAAGGTATAAGTATGAAGTTCATGATAGCTTTACATTGTAAAGATGAGGTCAAGGTGACATACACCTTCATTGTTGTCCAGTCATGTTAGGATTAAAAAAAGAGAAAGCTCAATCCATTCACGCTGATGCAAATCTAAATCTCCATCTGTAGTAGAAAAGTAGGGTGTAAAACTCAATTCATTTTCTATGTTCTATTGTATTTCAGATAGGATCATATGATAAACAGTTGTGGGAACAGTCAGTAGAAAATAAACTATTAAAGGTAATGGGAGATTGTAATTACCTATTAAACTAGATAGTCATACATTGTAAACAGGGGTGTATATAGAAAATGCCTGAGGAGGGAGGGGCGCTAAAAATGAGAGGTCTCGAGGCCCCTTGAGACTGGGGGACTTGGGGCTGCCAGAAACCAAGGATTGCAGATGGCCAGAGATGAATTATGAGCATTAAGAGGTCTTAATTTTCACTTCAAAATAAGATCTTTGGCTGCTTTATGATTTAGCAGAACATATAATTCACCCTTCTATTTAAATTTCAGGCACCAGCCAATGTGCGTCATGCACCCAGAAAAAGTGTTCGTTTAAAGACAGAATTTATTGATGTAGATCTCATTAGGGGTATGGCATTGTTTGTTTATTACTTGGAGGAATTAAGGACTAAACTATGTTCTTCAGCACCGATGTTTGGCATTGTTTAAAGCTTATTCAGACAAAAGCTGGGATGTAAGCCAACCTAGATGTAGGCTTATTGACTGATGGCTTATTGATTACAGACTGTCTGTTGAGAACTCTGATTGGCTGTATTTGCTGACGTACAATCCAATCAAATCGCTCCATATGTGATACAAGAAAATTAGCTATTGCAGTGGAAGGATTTTAGATATTCATCTCTCTGTATTTCAGGGTCTACATTTTCTAAAAGTAAGCCGCAGGCCCCATGGTCTTATATTACACGGAAAGCTTTCATTAGAGTTTTTCTTCTACCTTTCTGCTACAGATGGTAAGCTTTGAACCTTGAACTTTCAACTTTAAACCTTGAACTTTAATCCCTGATTAGGCTCATGTAGATTAAGATGGACTGTTCATTACATGTCACTAAACCCAGGGCAATAACTAGGGTCTTTTTTTCTATGAATTTTTTAATTCAAGCAGGACAGTTGTCTCCCTTTGAGTCAGTCTGCCCTTATTTGTACCCCCAGCCTCGGAAGGCTTGCGACGTCACTGGCAACCAATCTTATGTGACCCTGTCAAATTTATCTGACTTTGTAATTTACAGGTGGATTCAGCAGACGTCCTGTTGTTTTTTCACATTGCTGTTGTTACTGTACAGTTTACAGATTCTGACTATAGCTATATACTGTAGTAACGTGGGTGACGCTATAGTCCAAGATGTAAGTCAAATAGAATTATATAATCGTAACCTGTCACAATATTGCAAATCATTAGTGGCATATTTTGGGTGTGGGCCATCATCAAAGGTTAAAATGGTTAAATTTTGCAAAAAAGAATGTTTTAATTTCCATTTAACTTCAAGATGGTTCAGTCCAGTCTTGCCAAAAGAATGATTTTGTGTCCCCTTTTATACCTAACTTAACTCCAAGATGGCAGTGGCGGAGCCAAAGGAGGAGTAGAGAGGAGAGCCACCCCTCTGCAGCCCCCAAAGAAAGTTTTTTGGGAAAAAATATCATAACTCTAGGTTAGAAATTCAGGCAATCTCAGATATTTCGCCCCTTCGGACGTCAACCTGGCTCCGCCTCTGCATGACAGTCAGGCCAAAGAACAACAATATTTGACGCTATTAACCTCTATCTGTGTATTTTCAGGAATTGACGATATCAGAAGTATTTTTTCCAATCATCATCACCATTATATTGGGATTAATTCATTCACAAACTGTTCTCTCACACTATTCTCATAAACCTCCTAATAGAGATAAACATCAAAGGTACGTCACTCGATTCCCTTCTACTGTAAAGTGAGCTCTGTTTTCTTGAAATTAGTTGAAGCTTATACTGTACACCCTGTGCCTGTGCTTTTGTAACTTTGTACCACTACTACCTACTTTAGGATTTGATGGATCTTTCTCTTTACAATTTCAGAAATTTAAGCAAATCAAAAAGAAGGAACAAAGAAAATGGCGAAGTTAGAAATTCAGCATCAAATACTCAGGTTAATTCCAGCCGAAATGATGCCTTATTCAGGACAGCTAACTCTAGTCCGTCACAGACTAGTGGCGCCACTGTCTCCTCCACCTCTCTACCTAGCAGAAGTGACTTAAACTTGAGAGACAAAAACTTGACCGAATCTCAAGAAAGTGATGTACGAGAGCCAGTAATGACATTAAGGGGAGAGAACCCATCTAGTCAAGTCTCCTCAGGGGCAGAGAACTCTGATATGACTGGTTGTGATACTGCGAATACTCAGGGCAATGAAAAGGGTAATGAAGGCAGAAGTGCGTCTGCCAGCAGAAGTGACCTTCACCTTATGAACAAAAGTGCAATTTTAAAAGCCAAAAGAAAGAAACGTGTTCAGCTGCGAGACAATGGGGATGCGTTGATTCAAGCGTTCGAGGAGGGGCAGCGGAAATCCAATCTCATTGATAGCGAAGAAGGTTTATTAGGGTCTGAGGATTGTGATGGAAGTTTTGATGATCCCATGGATGCCTTGGTTGATGACATCCTTGACAACGAGAATGAGATAGAATCAATTATATTAAACGATTCAAGTATTAATCTTTGTAACGAGGCCAGCAACAAGGTTGAGAATATCAGCAGACGTCCTCCTGTGATGTCACTACGGCGACGCTTTACCTCCCTACCATCTGAAGATCTAGGAGAAGTGACAGATAACGAGTGTCCCGAAGACGAATTGGAGGACAGTCATAACTTACATGAAAGACGACGTTTTAATTCAACGAGAAGCGTAGATTTGGGAGAAGTCACTCGTACACGAAGCCTGCCGTCAACCCTACCGTTTGTTAGTAAACCATCTCTTCGAGCTCAAATCAGTTCCAATATTCAGGATCTTACGCCTGACACACATAGGGTCAGTTTTCATTTATCATAAATTTCTTTCTTGAAATAAAATGGAAAGGGGGTTCACATGGTTGCTTTTTCAGGAAGAAATGATGTGCTAGTAATGAAAACATTGATTTTACGGAGGCTGCCATTTTTAATTACTTTCCTTTACTAGAAATGTTATGAGACTTCTGATTGGATAGATTAAAAGTGACGGCTGTAAAGGGAAGTAATTCAACTGTATATGTATGATTGGAAGAGCTCATTTATAAAGTTAGGGGTGTTGTTATTATTTCAGGCAGTAAATGGAATCAGTGCTGAAGAATGGGAAGATAGAATCACCTCAGATTTAGCGACCTCATCTTCGTATTCATCGAGCTGTGAATCAGCCAATGGGCTGTCAGATAATGAAGAGGCGGGGTTACCACAAGATTTGATTGACGTTCAACAAGGGTGGGCGTCGTCCAGTATTAATGCTATTAATTTATTACAACCAGTGAGTATTACGTTTTTATTTTTGGCTAATTATAGCTGGTTGACCTGGAGACACCTGGAGGTCTTCGAGGTTTGACATTTGAACACTGTGAGAAATGATAAATGTTCTTGCAGGAATTCTGAGAATCTGTTACATTAATTGTGAAGAATTTTATTTTGATACCATGATGGGGACATATTCACTGAGTTTATTTAGTTCTGTCAAGTTTTAGAATTTGACTGACAGTTTTTATCCAACCTATACTTGAGGTCCTACTGACCCTTGTCGCTACCGGACATTTGAGCTAGTCTGCTGATCATGGCCAGAAAATAGAGCCAGATCAACAGCTCTGGAGCACAATGTCATTTGATTTTACTTGAGTTGTCAATTTTGTTTTTTGCAGCCCACAACATCGAATGTCGGTTTTATTCCAATAGCACCTCCAGATAAAGGTTGGTTCGTTTATCTTTTGTTTTTACATCCCATTGTGCTGTTTCAAATTGAACAATGAAGATGGACAATGCTATGCAGTGTTCAGTGAGGAAAATTCATATTGTTAAGAGACCATAGACTTGCTCAGACTGAGGAACCCAAGGCCTATGTTTAATGTGATGTTCTTTCAAGTTTAGATACTCCTTCCAGCAACACTAACATCACTATTCTTGATCAGTTTGGAGAGGGATGTAGCTTAAATATGGAAGGTGCTGGCTTACCTAATGATGTCATCATGTGTTTATGTATGAAAAGTACTGTCTCGAATTTTGATGATTTTGGGAGGGATGTGGCTTATATATGGAAGGTGCTGATTTATTCAATGATGTCATTATGTGTATATTTCAGTGAGCTGTGTTATATGGGAAGGTAACGAATGTAAGAAAGTTGATTTAACAGCGTTAGATATTGGCTGGGCGATTATTGACAAGGTAGACAACCTGCCGGAGAGTTCGGACTACATTATGATTGGATTCTGTTTCTCTATTTTGATTGGCTGCGTTCCCATCGTGTTCAGAATTTACCACACTAAAGAATTACCAGGCTTGTTCACCTATAACTTTTTAATAAAGTGTCTACATGTCCTGTTCCATCATTCTTGGAGGTAGGGCTTTTTCTTTTTTCGTTTTTGAAATGTCGCGGTTCAAGTGATAATCCTTCTCCCCTTGGGCACAACTTTACAGGCTTTGGAGTATTTGCTTCAAATTGGTAGGCTTCCCTAGAACATGCAAAACTCGATATGTATTTGAAGGAATTATGTGATTTTTCATACAGTTCTTGTACTTCTGAAGACTATTTACCGTACATATATTTAAGACTCAAATCAACCCCTGAAAATGGTGAGCCCTGGCCTTTAATAAATATCATATTTTGCAGGAGGAATTTTCTGATGTTAAATGGAATTATACAGAGATTTTGTCTGAGTTTGATTTTCTTTTTTCTCTTGTCTGTAGCTGACCGAACATTTAAACAGGTTAGTTTCCATTGTTCTTAAAATTTAAAATTACGCACCCCTTCCTACCTTAAAGCAAGTAAACAAGATTCAAACTCTGTCCAGTCAAATTGGTATAAGTTTGGGTATCAATTCACACCATTCCAATGTTCAATCAGACGTCTGTGGTTCCTGCAATTCCACTAAAACTATATACTATAAAGGGTTTAGAAAACTGCTTTCCAATCCCTTTGAGGCTAGAAATTAAAATAATTTTGTGTTTATTTTCAGAGATTATTATACGCCAAACATTTCTGTTATTTGACGTCGTCCAGACGGGCACGGAAATTCGACATGCCTCATTTTAGATTGAGTAAAGTACGTAACATCAAAACATGGCTGTCTTTACGTAGCTACCTCAAGGTATGATGGGATTGTTTTCTATTTTTGATACTTTGGGATTTTATTAGAGTTCCCATTTCCAAATCTGTCCTGATGATGATTGTTTATCCAAAACATGTGTCTGTAGCATGAGATGAACTCTGGTTATTTAATATGAGTTGAGGGTCTGTAGAATGATATCGTTGTTGACTTGTGGAATTATTTTAATAATTAATATTTTGATTCTAGAGACGTGGACCTCAGAGATCAGTTGATGTCATCGTTTCTGCTACGTTTTTAACCGCTGTTAGTTTAGTCAGTTTAATGTGTCTTCAGGTTGGAAACTTTTTCTTACTTACTGATGCTTTTTACGGGATCATGTTTGATTCTATCAAGATTGAAAATTCTGGCAACAGATTGTTTTGAAAGAATGTTTTCAACGTTTATGAAGGCCAGTGAGTTGGACCCTTACTTGCTATCCTGAAGGTCCAAGGTAGAATCCCTTGTCAGTTGGAAGTCAAAAAGAGTAGCCCACTTAGGTGCAGAAGAGTAGGACATAAAACTTCATTCATTTCATTTCATATCCAATGGTGCCTTTCTTGTATTTGTAGATGTTAAAGGATACAGATGTATATTTAGATTTCCTGTGTAACTGGGAATTAATAGTGTGGTGTTTATGTCTCGGTGTTTATCTTCTCCGCTTTATGACTCTCGGTCTCAAAATCAACAAAAAATACAGAAATTTATCAGTCCTAATCACAGAACAGGTTTGTCGACTTTTATTTTAACAAATAATGTTCGCGCTTGATTAGTTCTGTTTGTTCCTATTCTGTTCTTTTCCAGATATTTTTTGCTAATATCATTGTGTTTTTTTCAGATAAATCTGTATTTACAAATGGAACAGAAACCTCATAAGAAAGAAGAGTTGATATTGGCCAATAATGTACTGAAACTGGCAGAAGACTTGCTCAAGGTATTGCCATTCTTTTTCTCAAAAAATAAAACAAGACCCCAAAATATTTTAATTGTTATAATGATAGTAAAAAAACTGGCACTTGGAGACAAATTTGACGACTTAAGACAACCGAAGCCTACATGATAATTAAGAATTAAATTTGCACAAAATTTGTGATAAACAGGGTCCTGGGGCCTTTATCTGGAAAACTGAACTTCAGATGATCTTAATATTTTGTTGTTTTTATTGCAGGAGTTGGAAAGTCCATTTAAGATTTCCGGGTTCTCAGCCAACCCCTTTATTTATAACGTTACCAAAGTGGTTGTTCTATCAGCCTTCTCTACTGTACTTACAGAATTACTCGGTTTTAAACTGAAATTATATAAAATCAAATTCAAGGCATAGTTGCTTTTATTAAAATAAGATTAATTTCAAGGCATAGTTCAGTTTTTGAAATAGATTTTTTTTTTGAATACTTTTTAAAAAATTATTATTCAAGTTTGGTTAGATTGACTAATACTTAATTCAAGGCATAGTTTGATCAAAATAATAAAGATTAACTTCAAGGCATAGTTGGCTTTTGATTAAAATTAAATAGCCTTTATAATCATTCATTATTAGGTTGTATTTAATTAAATCAAATTTAACATCATTCAAAATGATGGTTAATGTCTCAGATCATTGTTTACATCTTCCCTCCCTGCTCAAAGTAAACCAGTCCATGAAATAAAGCTGGTAGACAAGATCCTTGTGAACTTAAGTTGTTATCCTTGAAAAATAAAATGGTTCTTTCTCTCTTTAAAGTCATGAAATGGAAGTAATTACACTTCAAAACACTTCAAATACCAGTCTGAAATATGTGCCTCCTAAATCAATAGATATTGGAGGCTTGATGCCACTCTGTGATTGTGTTTGTCAGTAAAGGAACTGAGTTATTTTACACCAGTCTAAAGACTCTAGTCAGTGCTTTGTAGTTTTTAGAAATTGAGGTTTTCTTTTTTAAGTTTTGTGATTTATGTTGTGAAAAATTTAGGGATTCAAAAGATATTTTGTTAAGCCTTTGTGGATGTATTGTGAACATTATCAATAGCTTCTATTTTTACCATTTTGGAATGTAAATAAAAGCTATAAGTGTCTCTGATATATTTACAAAGGCTAGTAAAAATCTGTTTTGAATCCCTTTGATTGATATTAATCAATATTTAAACGTTTAAATTCTTTTTTTTTGTAATCAAAATAAGACAATTATATCCATTTTCTAGCTTGGATTTTAATATGATATTTTTTGAATAAATTATTCGTGTTTTCCTAATTTTTGATGGTATGTAAAATAGATATCAGTGACCAAGCTTATGGTTGTTTTTTTGTTTTTAATTTGACTGTCTATTTGATGGAGGGTCACATTTTTCATTAATTTTTGTGGGGGTTTTCCCATCTTAACAATGTCAAGCAATTACGAACTTCAACTGCAATAGTCATCTTTCTTGTATCATGTAAGTTTGTAAATGCAGCGATTTGATTGGATTGTACGCAAGCGAATACAGCCAATCAGACTCGTAGATATATAGACTGTAAACCATTAGCCATAATATGTTTAATTTATTGTATTCCCTGCCATACAATCCAATCAAATCGCTGTATTTTGTATTAAAAGAAAATAGGCTATTGCAGTCAAGGTATAAGACAAAGTTCGTAATAACTTGACATTGTGAAGATGGGCGTTTTCCTAACAGGTTCCCCTATTATAGGGATGCCATATTTATGTCTGTGTTTGTGATATTAATTAAGGGTATATTTGAAATCAAAATTAGTTTTTATAGGGCAGGAAAGTTACCAGTTGTTCATTTTGTTGTACAAAGGTATATAGAGTCTTAATACCTATTACTTTGATCCACAAGTTCATACTTGCTTCTTTTAGAAATAATTTCTCCTTCTGTTCTATTTACGTCGTTGTAGCATCTCAACTTGATGGATCAAAGGCTGAAAAACTCTAAATACCTTTGATATAGCAAGGTGTCATCCTGGTAACTTGCCCTTAATAAGATCTTTAGTGTACATTGGGTTGCATTTAATTGTATACTAACTATAAGTTTATTTTTTAATGTTTTTGTTGTGTGGTTGAATCTAGTAATGTCTCATTTGATGTAAATAAAATTCTATCACAAGTTTTAAACCGTTTTGTCTTTATGTTGAGTGCCCTTCTGGTAATCTTTTGCAATAAATTCTGCGCTTCAAAACATAGGATTAGTTCAACAGTGCACCACCCTCTAACATATAACCCAGAGTTAGGTGATGTCTGGTGTTTCTATACAGATAATAGTACAACAGAGGACCACCCTCTAGAATATAACCCAGAGGTGATGTCTGGTGCTCCTATAACAGACAATAGTACAACAGAGGACCACCCTCTAGAATATAACCCAGAGGTGATGTCTGGTGCTCCTATAACAGACAATAGTACAACAGTGGACCACTCTCTAGAATATAACCCAGAGTTAGGTGATGTCTGGTGTTTCTATACAGATAATAATACAACAGAGGACCACCCTCTAGAATATAACCCAGAGGTGATGTCTGGTGCTCCTATAACAGACAATAGTACAACAGAGGACCACCCTCTAGAATATAACCCAGAGGTGATGTCTGGTGCTCCTATAACAGACAATAGTACAACAGTGGACCACTCTCTAACATATACCTCTGAGTTAAGTGATATCCAGTGTTTCTATAAACCGACAATAGTACAACAGTGACTCACTCTCTAGAATATAACCCAGAGTCAGGTGATGTCTAATTAACTTCTATGAGTTAATAAAATGAAGAATTCCATAGATTAAACCATAAAAGTCCATGTTTATAATGCATAGAAAATTATAGAGATTAACTGTTGTCTGTAGTCGAAGTCTAGTCACTAAATCGAGTTGTCTCCCTTTGACCATACTTCAATGATTGGTTTGATAAGGTGAAGGACGCTTGAAGAAAATGGCTTCTAAAAACATGTAAAGCAATCAATCGTTAATAGAATTAGTCCCGAAAGCACTAAAATGCCTCATCCCGGACGATTTCAAAATAATCACAAGAATGGGCGAAGGTTAGACTTGTTATTGATTTCATTTATAACCTTTGATCATAACAGAGATGCCTTCTTTGAACGATCATCGTGGTGTCTTTTCACAGTCGAATTACAATAAAAAGACTTACCCAGAAGAATTTGCATTAAGGAAAAGCAATCTGCATATGATTGCAGACTAGAGAGTGAGTGATGCACTACTGTGATGACTTCAAATGAGTTTAGTTGGGTTATGTATAAAAGCTCAAGCCCCTTGCACCTCTTACTGGCTTTCTCTGAACTAGATAAAACCCAAAATAACAGAGATTCTAGGGGAGCCCACATGCAATTCTTTCCCAGCCAGGAAGGGGGATGCCACTGATCTTAACAATGATGCAGCAGTCTAAGAGGGACGTTTTTCTCTCCTTCTTCCTTAATTAGCCTAACTCTGTGCAGAAAAGTAGGATGTAAAACTCCTTTTCAAATCAATTAATTGGCAGGCTTTTTAATATTTTTATGAACTTTAGATTCTCTCCTTCACCAATACGAAGAAGAAGTCGAAGCCTTGACAGACGTAAATCCAGATCACCCTACAGACGAAGGTCAAGGTCTCCGTATAGAAAGTCATCAGGGAAAATAGACAGAAAATCACCAGGGAGAAAAGGATCGCGATCACCACGTAGACGCGAGCCGAGATCACCAGTGAATAGAAAACGTTTACATTCACCTAAAAGGCGAGTATCTAGATCTCCAGTCAGACAACCTCGATCGCCAATCAAAGATAAGAGTTTATTGACCCCCTCCCCTCGTAGACGTGTTTCCAGGTCCCCAGTTAAAAAACTATCACCTCCAAACAGACGTATATCGTCCCCGGACCGAAATAGGAATACTAGAGGTAAACAACGATCTAGGTCCAGATCTCCATCAAGGTAAGTAATCCATTATAATACCAGTCATAATAGACCGTATTCAAGCTTCGGCCATATTGAATCCAGAACGGGTTCGTAACGCAAACATCAAAGGTAACGTTGTATCACTGCAGTCAAGTTACCTCCATACTCATTAGCTCAGACCTTTTCAAATTTTACATCATTAAATTCAGAATTGATTCAGATATTTAATGATACCTTAAGGTGAAGTTTACCATCATAAATTTCTGAAAAAGGCCAGTTTCAAGTCAATTTCCTTGCTATTCATTCATCTTTTTAACAGATGATGTAATTTTGTTTGCTAGAAAATTTTCTGCATAAAATCATATTTTGATTTATTTTAGAAAAAGGGAAGACAGATTTCATCGTAGTCCTGAACTTCCAGGTGATAGATTCAGCCGATTAGCACAAGAAGACTCACGAAAATCACGAAGATCACCTTCTCATTCGCCGAGAAGATCACCAAGAAGATCACCAAGACGATCACCGAACTATTCTAATCGGAACATCAATGATAGATTGGCTCCAATATCACCGAGCACTGGTCCAAAAATCATTCGAGATACAAGCGGACTCAGTAAAATCGAGCCGTTGATTCTACGCAAGAGGACCTTAGATGAACGGTTTCGAACCTTGGATGATGGGCACTTTAGAATTGACGAGAACATCACGATTGGAATCCAACGGAATCCTTACGCCCCAGCCTCCACTTCTGTTACAGTCCAGAGAGTGTTTGATCCACATTTGTTTCACATGATTCACAGTCGGGAGTCTGGATTACTTCCTATATTTGATCGTCCAGAATTGAAATATTTTCGATTTGACGATATGCCACATTATGAAGAGGAACCTACATTTGAAAGAAGAACTATCAAAGTGGCGCCCTCTACTAGTCACTCGAAAGATTCAAGGTTGGTAACTCTTGATAGATCAATTTCACCCACGAAAATCAGTTGGCATTAAAGGGACAAGTTCGCAATCCATTTGACCAATTGTACCTTAATCTCAGAAATGGGACTTGTTTAGTGAAGCTCTGTATATATGATAGAAGATTTAATTTCATTTTGTATTATTTTCTGTAGATATGGTCATCTTCATTTATCTAGACTTTCATTATCACCTAGACAACGCTCACAATCACCTAGACGAAGATCACCATCTCCTAGACAACGATCACCATTATCAAGACGACGTTCACCCTCACCAAGACGACGTTCACCGTCACCAAGACATCACCCTGAAATCAAGTATGTAAGACTTTTGGGGATTTTTTCCCATGTCTATCAGTTGTGGCTGTGGGATTTTGTGATGGTCTAAACTATGTATTTTAGCAAGAAAATTGATTAAAATTTGTCTGTCTTTGTATTTTAGATTAGAAATGAGAACTGAACCAAGATATGAGAAGATATATCAAGATTCTAAAAATGATGATCAGCGATATTCGAAAGTTATCACCAACCCAAATGATTTACGTCACAATTTGTCCAACCGACACGTCGAAGATGCCAGGTCAGCTTCCTTCTTTTTATCAACCTTATTTAATTGGTTACATCGAACACATGGTGGTCGTTGGTTCTTATTTCCGTTGACAATTACTTATATGAGTATATGAATCTATAAAAATTCATACAAGCAAAACAATTCCGTTTACCAAAATCTCTGAAACAAAAATGTCTTTTTATTAGATTGTTAGCAAGCCTCACTCTAACGAGTGATATAGATTCTAATATTGTCATTCATTCTTGAACATCCAGGTACCGAATTGAGGGAAAGCGAGAAGAAAGGGGAGAGAATTCTCGAAGAAGTAGAAGTAGAGAGAGGAAGATGTCCAGAGGAAGTCCAGCTAGAAACCAAGGTAGAAACAAAAACAGTCAGAAAGGTATTGAAGGCCTCAAATAAAGTTTAGTTCTAAAAAGTGACACGGATGGCTAATATTATCAATGCATTAATGCCTTTATCCTTTTAAAGCCATAATAGAATATAAATATTTAAAATTGGACCCTTTATCAGGCCAACTAGTATTTCCACGTTCATCTATTTTTAGATAACAGAAATCATGGTAACTCCAAAGAAGATGATGATTTGCCTGATTTTTCTAGACGTCCAGGTAATATATCCAATCGTAGGCTAGTAGGGAGTAACCCAGGAACTAAAATTGGAATGGTGCTCATTCATGCTTTCAGTGTCTCTGGTACAAATAAAAAATTTAGAAATCCTCATGCTTCTTTTTGACTCTTTTTTTGTTTTAATTTTTCAGATCGATCTAAATATCAACCGTGGGTAGACAACCCAACCAAGATTCCAAAAGGAGTTAAATACTTCCAGGTAGTGTACCTTCTATTTTCTAGACTTTCAGGTAACTAGGCGGCAGATGAAAATAACTAGACACTAGGCTAGATGAAGACACAACCAAAAATGGCACCAGATGAAGACACACCAGAAATTGGCGCCAGACACAACCAAACTTAGAGCCAGGCAAAGACTCAAAAAACACCTTAATGCCAGAATACAGGAGGCAAATCCCAAAAAGTACATGGATCTTCCTGCACCTTATGAAAGAAAAGAACTTAGGAACATCAAGTAAAAGCACCAGGAAATGGAACCCACAAAAGACACTATTAAAAAGGGATACAGGAAGATCAAAAAAATAAAAATATGTTCCTGCTACTAACTGTTAAACCTAGGCAATGTTGATTCGCCTGTTGCCAATCTCACCTGTATGTTTTTAACCAATTGTAAACAAAAGACACTATTAAAAAGGGGTACAGGGAGAAGCTTAGTATACATCTATAAATAGATGCCAGTGATGGCATGTACTATGGCCAGAGTGAGCATATGATGGTGATCAGGATGTTAAATAAGCAAAGCCTGATGATAGTTTTAACAGAGATTAAATGCCATTGGAATTATGATGATTAAAAATACAAGGAAGACGTCACAGTGGCTCAACTACCATTTGGACCGGTTGAAACATCTCTCAGGGGACCCCCACAAAAAATTCAGTTCATATGTTAAAAAAAAATTACCCTGGGATCCACTTAAGTCCACTGGCCCCCAATCGCCTATTTGAGTGGCTGAGAGTTCAGAAAAGATGATGATGATGTTTATTGATGATGATAATGATGATGATGGTACAAAAGAAGATTTATTCAGCTGGTCCAAGAAAATCTGGAAGTGAATCTTCTTATAAGACAAAAGGACTGCATCATAGCTTATTGTTTCAGACATATAAAAAAAAACTTAGCAAAATCTTAGAAAATGTTATCTTGCAAATTGAGTTATTTATCTGAATCTTTCGTTTCAACCATAAGTGAGTGTCTCGTGTTGCTTTTTTCTTGTTTTTTTATCTTTGATTAGTGGGATTTATGGGGTATTAAAAAAACTAGAAATGCATTTAATGTAATCATTGGACATCTTAGGTGGCGCTTGATTGGAAAGTTCAGAAGAGATCTCTTTCAATTCTGGCCACAATCAAACAAAAACAGATAAGTCACATTCAAAATTTTCCCTTCTCCGCCATTTTGAATTCTTAATAGCTTGACATTAAAGAAGATGGTTTTGTGTTTTAAATGTTATAGTAATTGTTATTTTTATTTCTGTTTTCAGTCGACTGGTAAGGCGAAGATTGTAAATTTCATCCAAGGATACGTTGTTGGCGTCACGAAGACTTTTAAAAGCCATCGAAACGTGGACCAGTTTTATTTCCGACTGTACCACGAAACCATGTTTATTCACGCAATCAGCTTTTGTTACAAGTTATGGTCGACGTTAAAAACCATCGATGGTTCAACTTGTCTCGGTGTGACTTTTAATCGAGCGAAATTACGACCTCCCCGACTACACAAACCTTGGAATTTGGTGATTGATCGTTTCACCAGGATCAAGACAGAGTTAATGCCCTTCCCGATGCATTTGGAGACAGACGAAAGAGAGGTTGCTAAAGCCAAACCTGGGAAGACAGTTGATCTATATGCTGATGAAGAATCGTATAATTTTGATAACGAGGATGAAGAAGCTGAAGATGAACCTCAGGATGTCTCCTTGGAGCAAGTTTCTGATGAAGAGTTTACATCCATTAATGATGAGAAAGAGGGTGATGCAGACTTCACTTCAAAAGTTAGTGGCTCTGATTGGTTGGAAGTAAAGTCAGAATCACTTGCAGAAAAATCAGAAGCAGCGCCCATGAAAACAGAACTCTATTCAGATTCGGCACCTATCAAAATGGAATTCAAAGGAATGAATCCTGAAAATCCAGTATTGAAGGGAAGTTTTCCTTTAAAATCAGATTTTCTCCACGGCCAAAATGTGGAGATGGAGGACAAAAAAGCGTTCAAATTTTTAAAAAAGAATCGTTCCTATAGGAAGAGAGAGTCTTCTCCTACTGAGTATAAGTCTAGAAGGTTTAACAGGCGATAATTGAGTGATCCTATGATGACATAGTGATAGGTTATCATTTGGTGTGTGTAAAAGACATGAACCGTGTTTATCATAAAAAGAAAAACTTCATGGTCTTCAAGTTATCAAGTTATTCCAATTAATGGACCAGTCTTAAATAAATTGATTGGTGAACAGTTAGAAATCAAAATATTGTAGGCTAATGTCACTGTCCTGGCAAAATTACCCTCATTGCACACTGCATGGCCTTGCCTGTCTTCATTAGCCCACATGGTGCTGAAGAGTAGGATGTTAGACTCCATTCATTTCATTTTTTGCCCCTCTTCGAAGACATAAATCAAGTTAAAAAGGTAAAATATCAGAGTTAAACTAAGAAAGTTGTGACTCTTTTGATTATATATTTTTTTGAATCCCGAGAAGGTGGTAACTCGGTAACTCGGTTACTCGTGTGTTATTTTGTTGTTTTATTAAAAATCATGGGTATAATTTCACATCTTGAATAAAAAGCTAAAAGTTGTGTAATTTGATCAGTAAAATATAAAGTTATGCTTTTTATCATAGTCTCTTTTCTGAAGATTGCTGTGGGGGTACAGGAGGTTGGGGGAGGTATATATCTGTATTCTTCTTCTAATACTAAAGTTGCAGTATTTTGAATTCAGTCGGGACAGTTGTCCCCCCATTGAGTCAGTCTGTCCCCTATTTGTAGCTCTCAGGATGCAGGGGTTGCCACTGGAAGAAGCGGGGTAATCAAGGGTAAACTGAAAGGGTCCTATAAAGATTTAGTAGTTCTTGTCCATGTATCAAAGAAACTGATGGCTTCTAGTTGCACCATTCTTAATTCCTGTCCAAGGAGGCCCATAGCTAACGGTGGGGGTGGGGGAAGGGTTAGAATATTTGACCACCCCCTAGAATAATTAGATGATTTGAATGACAACGCCCTACTACTATGTAGTTGTTTATGACTGAACCAATCAAACGATTGTATTCAACAACCAAATGGTGGAAAAAGAGAAAGAAATTTTTCACATTTTTCTTCCTGTGATCTGCTTCCCTGCCGTTCTTTGTAATATAGAGCAGGGAATTTTATTTTATTTTGAATAGCCATGTTACTTGATCAGGGGTCCTTAATCTTGAATGCTTAACTTTAATCAATTCCAGATTTTAAGAAATTCAGTAATCTGATTGGATAATACAACTAAATTGATATTGATTTGAATTATTGACCAATCAGATGACTGGAAGTGATATGTTCGCCATCTGTTAGACCAGTCCATTCAACTGAAAATGTCGAACCATGGCCTTTAAGTTAAGTTTTGTAGAATAAGGATCCATATACCTAATACAATTATTAAAATTTCTTTTATATCTTCATTCTCCTGGACACCTGATACCACTTTTCATTATGAAATACTCACTGATGATTGATACACTTCCTTCATTAGCTGCTACCAATGTTTCGCCAATATGTTGTTTTGGATTTTAGGTTTCGTTTTGCGGTTTGGATCATTAATATTTGTTTTTTTTTGCAGCATGACAACCGGAATTCTAGGGGCAGGTTCCGAGGCGATCGAGGATATTTTGGTCAAAATAAATTTGTGAAGAATTTTACTAATTTGACAGACGATCCTAGAGATTCCAAACCACCATCCAAACTTTTACACCCATCCATAAAATCAAAGATGAAGCGTGGTGGAAAAATCAGTTTTAACAAAGGTTTCACAAACCACAGTAAGTCACTAATTTCAATTTTCACTCTGCTGTGGCTCAGTGAGTTAGAAGTCTGCTTGCTAAGTTCAAAGGCATGGAAGCTATCCTGGCAAAATTTCCCTCATTGCACCCTGCATGGCGTTGCCTGTCTTCACTAGCCCATATGGTGCAGAAAAGTAAGACGTAAAAATCCATTTAATTGTCTATTTACAGAAGGAAGAAGTTTAGCAGATCGTGGTAAATGGAAACATGATTTGTTTGAGAAACAGTTAGCTGGAGTAGAAGGGAAGAATGGTGGTAATACAGAGACTCAAACTAGTGGTAGTGGTAACCAGGGTAACAGTGTCCAACAATTCCAGCTCCAGATAAAATCTAATGAACCTGTCTAGTACTGCCTTAGCATCTTCACAATCTCAAACTGTTACAAACATTTTATAAAAAAATAAACCCACAATGCCTTTTTGGATAGATGCTTCTCCAGTATTCTTTGATCTTCACAATGTCAAGTTATTATGAACTTAGTCTTATACCTTGACTGAAATATCAACCTTTCTTTTATCACAGAAGGTTGTAAATGCAGAGATTGGATTGGATTGTATGCCAGTGAATACAGCCAATCATAGTTCTCGACAGACTGACTGTAAACATTATGGCTGATTGTTTACAGACTTTCTGTCGAGAGCTTTGATTGGCTGTTTTCGCTAGCGTACAATCCAATCCAATCGCTGTATTTACAAACTATTTTAACAGCGAAAATATTTGTTATTGTTGTAGTTTTTAATTTATAACCTTATAGAAATGAAATGCAGATGGCCAACCTCATGCAGTTTGCAATAAGGGAAACTTTCCAGGACAGTGGCATTAGCCTTCTCTTGTTTTATTTCTAACGGTTGAGAGATCTTAAACGTGCACGGCCTGTAGCACACGGAGACTCGAAATTATAGGGTGTAGAATTGCAGTAAAGCAAATTTTACAAAAGCACAGGCACAGGCATGTGGGCCTTGGGTTATTGCCCCTTTCTAACCAGGATAAACCTAAAGAAGGCGGCTTTTAGTATTATGGTTGTTAAGATGCAGTTTAATGTACATATTAAAATTTTACTAACGTGTATATATAACAATTCATACTATTAAATAAACTAGTTGTGCAAAACTCTTTTAGCCTGTGTATTATTTGTTATACTGTGGTACGTTTCTATGCATCATTAGTTGAAGGGGTCGTGTGAAGCCTAAGAAAAAACTCTTCTAGCCTGTGTATTATTTATTATACTGTGGTACGTTTCTATGCATCATTAGTTGAAGGGGTCGTGTGAAGCCTAAGAAAAAACTCTTCTAGCCTGTGTATTATTTGTTATACTGTGGTACGTTTCTATGCATCATTAGTTGAAGGGGTCGTGTGAAGCCTAAGAATTATCATGGGGCGTGGAGGGAGCACAGACCATTGTTTCTACTTCCCCAAACAAGGGTCTTATATACCAACATGGGGGAATTCTCAAGTTGGTTTGGAGGTAGGATGCGGTGGTACAGACAAGACCAGAAGCGTTTCTAGGGAACATTAGGTGAGGGGTCAAGCAGGGGCCAGAAAATGTACCAAGGGTTCACATGATGGAAAATTTGATAGTAGAAACGCCACTGGCCAAGACAGAACCCTGCATCACCCATAACTCACCACCCCTCTACCAAGATAAGACCCAAAATATTGGTGGTCATAGACAAAGTAATTGAAGACGATATTTGCTGCTTCAAAATTTTACTGCATTGACACTTAACCAATCAAATGTTTAGAAGGAGAATAGTAACAGAAATGTAAGCGATGGTTATGTCGACCACCATCGTCATAAGGATGAGCTCCACCTTCTTTGTCATGGTTGATGACATCTTGGTCGTCCCACCTCACATACTCTTCTCGCACTGTCATCCCATGGACGTGTTGACACTCCCGAGTGTACTTCAGCATGATAAATGGCTTTTCTGTTGGTAGCAGGATTTCTTTACTGGGTAGACCGTCATCTCTGGAAGGAAAACGTTGGTTGAGAACTGAGTAGGCGTTGCTGTGAAAGGTGGGAAGGGGCGGGGGTGGCTACAGAGTGGGTCCTGTGATTTTGATTGACATGCTTCCTATTTGGCACATTGTTGGTGGAACATTGGCCGTGAAAGGACAACAAATGTGGGGAATGAATGGATCCCAATATCCCACCCTCTAAATACGCCGTTGCGTACTCCAATATGCATCGACATTGGATAACAAATACTCTAAATACCTGCAGCAGAACTCGATCTTCGTATCTCTGGAGAACTGACCATCTGGAAGGGAGCCTCCATATTTATCTTTATTCCGGAAATTCTCATCATCCCAGTAGATCCAACCAGATTTAAATTGACCTGCCAAAGAAGAAAAAAACATCAATGACCCACATTCTGTGCAAGACAGGTCGTACACACCTGATGGCACAGAGCGACTTGGTTTTCAACCGGATATCCCGTTGACATTTTCAGTACTCAAGCCTCGTACGCACATTTTGTATATCCCTCAGATCGTGCTGAATCCCCACGAAGGTGGTTGTATTGGCCCGTGATAAGAAAGACTCTTTCACGCACAGCGCCTCCGAGGGCTGACCTCCATTAACAAAACTAGCTTGCCTGATGAGGCATTTTGTATCCAAAACATGTACAGACAGCATGAGATGAGATCTATTCAAACATACTTGAAGGACATCCTCCATACTTGAGTATACAGTAATCCCCACTCGGCCACTCCACGTCGAAGTCACTTATCCTTGTGTTCCCCTTCATACAGAATTCAAACTTGAAGTCACTTTTGCTGAATTTTCCTGAAGATCAAAGCAAGTTTCATGAAGGGAGTGCAACATTCCATGACTCTCAGATGGTAAGAACACATTTAATAAACAGATTGGCCAAAGCTCCGTCGCAGTTCTGCGAATTTTTCAAAACTCACCTCAGCCTTGTATCTAGAACAATAGCTTGTTTTTCACGGAAAGAAAGGAAAGCGGCAACCGACTCACCAGACAGATGGATGGGGTTAGACCACGAGTTTTTATTGATGATGTTCTCCGTATCCTGGTATCTCCACCCCTCACTCCAGTGCACTCGACCTGATGGGCAACCAGAAGTTGTTTTCATGAGACCATACGACCCAACAGGCCAGGTAATAGGCATCCTCAGCTCGGGGTCTGAAACAAATTGAAATGGGAGTTTTACGTTCTACGGTTCTGGAGTTTTGAGATTATGTGGATATCAAAAATGGATTCTGTTAGCAACTTATTTTAACAATCACAGATGACAAAACATACAACTGTTCATTTCTGTACCTTCCATGAAGTCCTTAGTATTCGCAACAGAATCAACAGAACTTACTTTCTGAAGTTGGTGCCATTTTATACGCAGCGTACTCATTCAGCGCTTGAAGCATATTCTGCTTCGTTGAGGCAATCCGTGTTTCAGCCGAGGGACAAGCTGACCGGATCTCGTGTGATGTCCAATATATGGGATCCAAAGCACTAACGATGGTTTTCAGCTTCAGATGAATAGGTTCTGGTTTGTCCTCCCGTCCAGAATGCAACGTATACTCATATTGTCCAAATTTCAAGCTAGATTGGTCTGTTTGTTTGAATTTGCTGAAATCCACTCCCAGCGAGCCGCTGGCGCCCATATAAGATCCACCAATATGAAAGCCGAATCCACCCTGAAAAGTGTGAAAAGATGTCCATGACCACGGGATACCAGAGTATAATAATGTATTATGGGTTGAAATCCGAGACTGAGCACTGGCAGTGGCAATGACATGAAAGTATTTCTTACAATGAGGAGGGGCCCACTCGTTATCCACAGGTTACTGATGTAGCTGAACCATTGAGATTCCGTATATACTCACTGACTTCTGGACATGCTTGATAAATTCTGCTAGTGATGCTCGGTATCTGTTGATAGTTCGGTTACCCATTTCTACTTCCATTGTCGCATGCTGAAAGATATGAGAACAGGGTAGAGGGCGTCGATAATGGAAATGAGATACCGTTTATGGTTCTGAGAAGACTAGAAAATACTTACTGTTCCCCAATTGTCCAAGAACGTCATGTATTTTTGTTTATCGTACACATGTGGTAAATGACAGATGGCACTGGCAAAGTTTCTGGTCACAGAGAAACCGTCAGAATCAGCAAGCTCCTCGGCAAAACGAACTCGTCCCAAGTTACAGATGTTGACATCATCGTAGAAGACCTTCCTCTGCTCGTTGGTTTCTGTTTTAGCGTGACTGTAACCTGCAATTGATCGGAGATTGGTATAGTCGCTGCAAACTGCACGGGATGGAAACAGACGTTCGACGTAACGACGTACATAAGGTAAATGGGCCCCTTCCTAACAACGTGGCGCTTGCAAAGGAGATGAACTCCACCAAATGCAACTGTAGTTAATACCAATTATGTTCCCTATTTCATATTAAAACTATTTCTATGACCATTGATATAAATAAAAGGGTACTTACGAGCACTCAGACTGAACTTAAAGCCCACCAACTTGACATCTCCTTCACCTGCAAACAAAATACAATCCTAGATTCTTCAGCATTGTCCAGCATCCACCCGTAAGTGACATGTTATGAGTGGGCTGTGGGATTTCGTCGACTGTGGCCCAAAGTCAGACGATGATTGGTAATTCTTCTCTCGACAAATCTGCTCCTACCCGTTCATCGGACGTGATATACTGGTGTGATATCTATACCGGAAATTGCATTCTTATATCACGTCCGAGGCACGAGTAGGGTCAGATTTGTCTGAAGCTGTTACTCCTCTTAGTATACCCCTCCTATCTATTTATTCCGGAAAAAGTGGCCTACCGGAAGTGTCAACACCAACTCCCAGTTTATCCTGGTAAGACTTCGCTCCATAAAATACATGAGTAGATCTAATTTTCAAACAGCTATACCGATCTTCGAACACGATCTCTTTTGGTTTGTCTCCAGAACTCAACTGGAAGATTTTCCTCAGTACTAACAGCCCTGGATCCACACCCCCTTCCTGGTCACTTCCGCCATCTGGATTTCCCTTCAGCAAATTGTAGCCAACACCAATGAACTTGACGCCATTGTGATCTCGAGGTGTCCCTGGTATTAGAGCTGTCGCTATGGACAGACTCAATAAGGAGACCAACACCTGCAATAAAATTGTAGGGTACTCTTACTGAGCATCGAACCAGTGGCGTTTCCAATGAGGTACCAGGTGGGCCGGAGTAGGGGGAATAGAACCCTTTAGGGGTCTCACAATGAGGTTTGAAAGTAGACGGGGAGGGAGGGGAGAGGAGCACTACATCCAACATTTAATGAGTCTGTAACAAGTCTATGAAACGCATTCGCTTCAATAACTGCAGTGATGTTTTCAACCCCTTTTACATATAATGGACCAGTCCAAAGCACTGAAACGCACGTGCAAACTGCAAGACAACCACTGTTTATCTTTCTGTTCTCAGTTGAAGTGTGGTCATGAGGGAAGTCGGTCAGAATATCTGAAAAGCGGCAGTGTCCAAAATGATGACATTATGTATGAACGTAGAAGTACCCACTGTCATTCTGCAGTTGAGAAGTTCAACTCTACGTGTCCGTTGGTGAGTTAACCTAGCTTATATAATCGTGTATGTTTGTTTTATTAGAACACGTGTACTTGTAGTATTGTTCTCGTTAAATACAAATTCCTTTAACCAAACATCTCGTCCAAAGCATGACAAAAGTTGGGAGCAATAAATGTATAGTAGTGGACTCCTCAAACGAGACGTACCGTTAGTTTTGAAAAGAGTAAGCATGGTCTGCTTCGTATGGCCCTTACTACTTTACATGACAGACGGGTCCAGTGTCTGTTTCATATTGAAGATCTAATTGAGGGGAATGAGTCAAAACTTACGATTCGAATGTGTTCCATGTTATATATCCGATTCGTGACTTCAATGTTTTGAAAAGTTTCGTATTTGGACTAAATATTGATGGTGACATGTCTATCATTGGGTTATTGTGTTAAAACTTCCGCTGAGAAATATAGTTCCTGTCAAATGAAATGAAATGAACAGAACGTTGCGTTTCAACACTATTACAGACTGATTAGACCATGCATTGTGCAACGAGGGAAATTTTGCCAGGACAGTGGCGATACTTCTGACAATCTTTTCCATTTTTTGGTCAAGAATGGTCCAAAAGAGGGAATATTTGAAAATATATATCTGTCGTTAAGGAGAGAAGTTCTTGATAAAGTTTTTTTGTGGGAAAAGATCCAGTTGTTCTTTATCTGTTAAACAATTTCACTTCGAACAACCAGTCATCTGGTTTAAAGATTATTCTCCGTGGTGCACCAAAGGAAGATCAAACGGCCTACCGTGAAAGGTAGGCTAGTGCAATTGATTCAGCTTTTCGTTTCTTGGGGCACTAATTTCTAATCTGGTTTATCATCACTAGCTTGTGGAGTTCTTGTAATTTGGAAAGATCATATGGTAGGAAGTTGTCTTGGGCTAAATTCTATAAAACATAGTTTGCATGTTGCGACAGATTCCTTGGAACCCCTTCCCTTCAACTGCACACAGTCCACACCTTGTGGAACGCCACAACTTCACAATGTCAAGCTGTTGCGAACTGCGTCTTGACATTGTAACGACGGGAATGCCATGAATAATAAAACTCAGTTTGCAATATAAGATATAATCCCCTCTAACGGTATTATAATAAAAATATTAACAGTTATTACATAGGATCATATTCAAATATATATCATATCCAACATAGTTCACTTATACTAAGGCTCCGTTCACATAATCACTTTAATCAGGATTAGCTCATCCGATTAACTGAATTCAGATTACGTGTTAAAGGATGGTTTCTGGTTTGTGTCCATATGTTCTGCACCTTATTGGACTATTGAGAGTAATGCAAGATTGCCATTCTTAATATTGGGTCTTAGTAATGGAGTTTTACGTCCTATTTTTCTGCACTTAATATGGTTATTAAACAGGTTTTGGTTAACAGTGATTGGTTGTTTTTAAAGTCCTTTTAGTATTGCTGTAGTCTATGGAAGCTAAGCACTACCAGGGGCTCTGCTGGAACAGTCACAGAGTACAGCTGTTTTCATCACAAAATAAAATAGTCGAACCAGTTTCAACAAGAACAGAACTCGAACCGTGTGAACGAAGCCTAAGACAAAGATTTACAAAAATACAATCGGTGCAAATACAAAATATGAAGCAAATAAAATACAATACAAATTCTCAGATTCAAGATGCATCCAAACAACAAAAACAATTTAAGCAAGAACTCAAAACATTCTTTTCACAAACGACAAACTGTTTAGAAAAATTCCTTTCGAGGGCAAAATGGCAACTTATTGAAATGTACATCGACAGACTCAAAAAAACATCGTGCACAATTTAATGTCAAAAACAAACACACAAACACAAATTTAGTCAAATTGGTAAAAATGTTTTCGATGCAAAAACATATCTCATATTATGAACATTCTTTCACAAATATACGACAATAAAATACATTCGGGCCCATTGAAGCATTTTTAAGCTTTCATGTCATGAGCAAATAACAGGCGAAAAATGCTCAAAATGCTCATATGTGAAAGCTTTTACATTTGAAAAAAAAATTAGAAGTTTTATTGGATCTATATGGTTTTAAAAGCTTAATTTTTTACAATTTTTAAATCAAATTTTATTTTTTATTTATTTATTTAGAAAACACTATTTACCATTTAAATATTTTTAAACAATAAAGTTAAGTCTTGCATATTCTTGTAGCTTTTGTTAAGCAAGGGCAGCTTGAAGTAACTGACAAACTTTTATATAGCACTATTCGAACTCACCGGGGCCTTAACAAAATAAAACGAAGCTAATTCGTGCAAATAGGCACACAATTTTAACGAAAAATTATACAAAATTCACCAAAATACACACTGAAATGCACAAGTTACAAATTTAAAGAATTTAATATGGAGGATACTTACAACTTCGGCCATTTTTAAGAATAAAAGAGAAAAGGGGGTGATTATTTATTATCATAATATGAAAAAATGCAGCAATAAAAAAAGAGAAAGTTTTACGCCTTACATAAGGCTGGATATTGAAGACTATAAGTAGATTATAGGGTGACTAAAAATCAAAATGAACTCTTAATAAACTGCATTCTAACTGTAGAGGTATCTGAAATTATGAATAGGTTAGTCTAAATACGGACATGTACTCCGAACTCCTTTAAAGTTCAGTCAAAACGTAGCAATTATTTTGAAGAATGTGCGTTCTGGCATAATACCTATCTGAAAGTTAACCACTGTAAATTCCTTTCCTCTGAAAGCGGCAAAAGTCGTAGTTAAAGCACACAGAGGTCGCAGGTATGGACGAACTAAGATGCAGTTGCGTTGTGTCTGTGCGGCGAACAGCGTTTTGAAGATATGCGGTGATCGGTAGGAAAATCAGTAAAACTTTTATTTTATATTACCAAATTTGCACTAATAACTTAAGCCAGCGCAAATTGAATGACGTCATAAAAGCGAACACAGTGTCAATTGATATACAATTGGAAACGCAGAATTATCAGAAAGAACAGGGCCTCGGCGCCTAATAATTTTGAACAGAGCCTAAAATCACACGCAAAAATCATTTAAACATTAGGCTATGTTTGTTTATTTACGAACGAATCGTTTTAAAATTTAAACAAACCAAACACAGCCCGTACCCTGGACAATTTACAAATACAATACTTTAGTGCTCTTATGCTAAATTCTCGCGCGTGCGCAAACATGTACCTTCTGCTCGTACCCATATTTGGCAAGTCAGATGTTTTGCGTTCTCCTAAAGTTACGAAATATTTTCTGCAAAAATTCTATGAACAGAAATGTACAGAGTTATATTAATTAGTGTGTATATACATTTGAAATGACCTTGACCTCGACTGGATGTCAAAGGTCAAGGTTATATTGCGCCAATATGTGTGAAAAGCGACTCCCGATATAATAATACTATATGTAAAACATTATTTAACTCAAGTTCATAATTTACACCAATTTACCAATGAGGTCACTTCCTGTGACCTATTTTGTCACCATAACAACCATCTTCCAACCGGAAGTTCCACCATTTGCAAAGTCCATCTCTCTGTGCATTGGTTCAAATGTGATTTTAAATAAGGAACTATGGAACATCAAGGCCTTATTTTCCAATTAATGCTTCAAATAACTTTGAGTGTTTTGCTTCGACCACCTTTTCCTTCATTCCGGATTCTCTCTTTCTTATGGCGGCTTTCGATGTGGTAGTCTTTGATTCTGTGGTAGAGGTTTTGGTATAACCAGACGTGGAAGTTTTGGTATCTGCTGCTCCAGCTTCACCAGTAACCGCCTCGGTGGTCGTGGACTTTGAATCTGAAAATATGTTTTAAAAGAGTCTCAGTTTCTTTCTTATTTTCAACCACCAATCTCTACGGGAAAGCTTGCTTTAAGCTTTGCGATATTTGAGTAATCGACCCTTGCAGTAAGCCTTGAATGACCTAGACTACATTCGAATAACCGACAGTTTCGTCATTTCAGAGCAATAATAAAACTATTTGGTTGATTCGAATGCAGAAACGGGATCGAAGATCGAAGATATTGATGATTGGCGTAAGCATATCTAGTGGTTTCAAGCAAAGCAATGGACAAGCAACAAGCTTAGAGCTCAGATATCGGATATTAAGACCTAATAGGATATTTTGCTGTATGTGTTAGGGAAAGAGAAGGATGAAGGGACGAGGTGAAGAGAAAGGGTGTGTTAAAGAACGGAATTATTGTTTGAAGGTGACTATTTGGTATAGAAGGAGATGTGTGAGCAGCTGATGTTAAATGATTGGATTTCGTATGTGTAGGACGGTGTAAAGGTGTATACTCTGTTAGGTTGGACGGATAGGGTAGGATTGAAGAGCTATTTTTAGAGTCTTCGAGTAGTTGGTCCAATCTCCCATTACAATAGGGTTTGAAGGGCCTTATTGTTGGGTTTGTATTAAAGAAGGTTCGAATCGAAATGAAAGTGTAATGTGTCAGATGAATGGGACCTCTTCACCAATATCTCATGCATAGCCCATGCATAAAGCAGTGCTAAGTTTAGTTCAAACAACCAGTCACCAAACCACCAAACCATCCAACCAAATTTAACCCAACCACCCACTTTATTACAACCAACAGCCACATCACCCAACCACCAAACCACAGTGTGACAACCAACATAATCAACCAATCAAGCACGATGTGGCAACCAACCAACCACCAATTAATAGCCCTTTTCCATATATTTAATTGCTACTCTGTACAGCGTCAAACCATCAATAGCCAATTAACCACAATGTGGCATCCACCAAACCACCAATGAACAACCTCACGTCCATGCATGCAATTCAATTTACTCTTCAACTGAACTAGACTCATGCATTCATCTGATAGTCCACTGCATGCATTTCAGCCTAAACCCATACCAAGCAACAAACTCATACAACTGAATGCATGTAGGGTCAGACGCAACGCAATAATAAATCGAGGTAGGAGCCATGCATCTTTATTTTCCAATACAAATAACACACCAGCCATATATTCACGCATCTTCGTCCAAAAGTGCACCCGAAAGCAGAGGTACATAAATGTAAGCAAGTGCACAAAATGAAACATCCCAGAAGACACAATAATGCAGTCAAATGTAACATCTAAGAAGACACAATCATGCCATCAAATGCAACATCTAAACCGACACAATCATGCCATCAAATGCAACATCTAAAACGACACAAACATGCCATCAAATGCAACATCTAAAATGACACAATCATGCCATCAAATGCAACATCTAAAAACACAATCATGCCATCAAATGCAACATCTAAAAACACAATCATGCAGTCCAATGCAGCATAAAAGACATAGTGACACAGTCAAATGCAACATCTAAGTATAATAATAAAGCAGTCACATGCAACATCTTAGACACAATAATACGATCAAATGCAAGGATCAAGAATGGGATCTTCGAAGCAGACTCGGCAAAGTATGACATGCAAGGCTAACTTTCTCCATACTACATGCACATGCACTCCTAACATCTACGTTTTTCCACTGTTTCAAGCAGTTTCGTGCATGCAAGTCCCACCATTTATCGTCATGCCCAGTCCAAGCTACATAAGCTACACAAGCTTCTGTTAACTACTTCCACAAACCCACTCTCAATCCAAAAATATACCATGTTCATGCTACTCGTTCCATCGTAACCAGTCCGTTTCATCCATTCCTACCATCTACCAAAACATGCCCTGTCCAAGCTTCTCGATCCACTTCAACTACTTCATCCAACTCATTCTTCCAGATCTACCAAAACATGCCCTGTCCAAGCTTACCAAACGACTTTAACTACACCAGCCAACCTATTATTCCAGATCTACCAAAACAAGCCCTGTCCAAGCTTCTCGATTCACTTCAAATACTTCATCCAACTCATTCTTCCAGATCTACCAAAACAAGCCCTGTCCAAGCTTACCAAACGACTTTAACTACACCAGCCAATCTATTCTTACAGATATACCAAAACAAGCCCTGTCCAAGCTTCGCAAGCCTCTTCTATCAATTCAACGAACCTTTTCTCCCGATCTACTCAAACATGCCCTCTCCAAACTATTCAAAGCTCTTAAACCCAACTATTCTCCCCATACATCAAACCATACTGTCCAAACTACTGAAAGCTTCATCCCCATCCAAGCTACTCATACCAACTTCTCCAACCCATTGTGCCCATTAACATAACATGCGCTTGCCAAGCTATTCAAATCCTTTGAACCAATTCTTCCACAACATACCCTCTCCAAGCTACTCAAATCCCTACCTCGCTGTGAACCTAGAAAACCCCAAAACCCCTTTTAACTATTGAACCATCCACCAAAAGTTGCAAGTCCAGATTTCTCAAACCTCTTTTAACTAATCAAACATCCCAAGCTGGTAACCTAAAAAACCTCCATGCAGTCATCCCAGCTAACACCATAGACCCATGCAGTCATTCCAGCAAACACCATGAAGCCATGCATTCATTCCACCAAACACCATGAACCCATACAGTCATTCCAGCAAGCACCGTGAACCCATGTAGTCATTCCAGCGAACACCATGAACCCATCCAGTCATTCCAGCAAACACCGTGAACCCATGTAGTCATTGCATCAAACACCATGAAGCCATGCAGTCATTCCATCAAACACCATGAACCCATGTAGTCATTCCAGCAAACACCATGAACACATACAGTCATTCCAGCAAACACCATTAACCCATACAGTCATTCCAGCAAACACCATGAAGCCATACAATCATTCCATCAAACACCACGAAGCCATGCATTCATTCCAGCAAACACCATGAACCCATGCATTCATTCCAGCAAACACCATGAACCCATGCAGTCATTCCAGCAAACACCATGAACACATACAGTCATTGCAGCAAACACCATGAACCCATACAGTCAATCCAGCAAACACCATGAACCCATGCATTCATTCCAGCAAACACCGTGAACCCATACAGTCATTCCAGCAAACACCATGAACCCATGCAGTCATTCCAGCAAACACCATGAACCCATACAGTCATCCCAGCAAACACCATGAAACCATGCAGTCATTCCAGCAAACACCATGAACCCATGCATTCTTTTCAGCAAACACCATGAACCCATACAGTCATCCCAGCAAACACCATGAAGCCATGCAGTCATTCCAGCAAGCACCATGAAGCCATGCATTCTTTTCAGCAAACACTGTGAACCCATGCATTCATTTCAGCAAACACTGTGAACCCATACAGTCATTCCAGCAAACACTATTAACCCATACAGTCATCCCAGCAAACAACATGAAGCCATGCATTCATTCCAGCAGACACCATGAAGCCATACAGTCATTCCAGCAAACACTATTAACCCATACAGTCATCCCAGCAAACACCAAGAAACCATACAGTCATTCCAGCAAACACCATGAACCCATACACTCATTCCAGCAAGCACCGTGAACCCATGTAGACATCCCAGCAAACACCGTGAACCCATACAGTCATTCCATCAAACACCATGAAGCCATGCATTCATTCCAGCAAACACCATGAACCCATACAGTCATTCCAGCAAACACCATGAACCCATACAGTCATTCCAGCAAACACCATGAACCCATACAGTCATTCCAACAGACACCCTGAATCCATACAGTCATTCCAGCAAACACCATGAACCCACGCAGTTATTCCAGCAAACACCATAGACCCATGCAGTCATTCCAGCAAACACCATGAACCCATACAGTCATTCCAGCAAACACCATGAACCCATACAGTCATTCCAGCAGACACCATGAACCCATACAGTCATTCCAGCAAACACCACGAACTCATACACTCATTCCAGCAAACACCATGAACCCATACAGTCATTCCAGCAAATACCATGAAGCCATGCAGTCATTCCAGCAAACACCATGAACCCATACAGTCATTCCAGCAAACACCATGAACCCATACAGTCATTCCAGCAAACACCATGAACCCATACAGTCATTCCAGCAAGCACCGTGAACCCATACAGTCATTCCAGCAAACACCATGAAGCCATGCATTCATTCCAGCAAACACCATGAACCCAAACAGTCATTCCAGCAAACACTATGAACCCATACAGTCATTTCTATCAAACACCATTAACCCATGCCGTCATTCCAGCAAACACCATGAAGCCATGCATTCATTCTAGCAAACAACATGAAGCCATGCATTCATTCCAGCAAACACCATGAACCCATACAGTTATTCCAGCAAACACCATGAAGCCATGCATTCATTCCAGTAAACACCATGAACCCATACAGTCATTCCAGCAAACACCATGAACCCATACAGTCATTCCAGCAAGCACCGTGAACCCATACAGTCATTCCAGCAGACACCATAAATCCATACAGTCATTCCAGCAAGCACCGTGAACCCATGTAGTCATCCCAGCAAACATCATGAAGCCATGCAGTCATTCCAGCAAACACCATGAACCCATGTCGTCATTCCAGCAGACACCATATAATGCATCTAACATCCAAGACCCCATCGAATGACTACACAAATCAAGTACATTTGACCAAAGTGAATACGTACACATTGTGAACCACATTTATCCAGAAGGTACAGCCATGAACTAAGTCAATAAAGCAAATATGTGTCCACAATCAAGCCCTATTAAGCATCGGACCTCCAAGAACCTCCTCTGCTTTAATATACACCATTGCTGTCGGAAATCATAACCCATAGGCAGCTTAAAAGCCCTTAAACTGCAGCCCTTATGATTGTTTCCAACCCTAATAATGCACCTTGCAAACTACCACAAGCACACTCTAAATGCATAAGCTAAAGCAACACCCCATTCCAGCGAGCCCCGATCCCTTATATTATAAAAGAATGTAGGGTCTGAAATGAGAGTTTTCGAGGGTAAGCACCATGTTCATGTGGTTGATTGAGGGGTGGTGTATTTGTCTAGCTGTATAAGGGACAAAGATATGGGTGGTATGTAGGGAATAGGGGCATGTGCATGTAAATGAATCATGATAGTGTAAAAATGTTCTTTGGATGGTTTTGGGTGAGGGACGGTTTCAAGGGCTTTAGAGGAGGCTTTCTGGTCTTTGTACGTGCATCAGGGACATTAGCTTCTGGTAATACAATTCAAGATCTTTTGGAATTGCAGACAGGTACAGTGTATGAACACTTTCAAAGACTAGAAAATCTCGTCATGAATATTTATAAGATATATGTGGGACATTAGGCTAAAGGCAAGAGAGAGATTGGTGGTAACATTATGAATATTTAAATGAGATAATGAATATGCAAGAATTGATACCTTACCTCTTCTTGTTATCAATCATTAGTTATATATACTAAACAGAATGAATATATTTAGAGCTTAAAGAAAATCAAGCACGTGCACTTTGACCGGAAGTAGGTCAACCATATATATTTCAACTTGATTTTCTTTGCAATTCAAAACAATACATGATAAAAACGATTCCAAAAAAACTATAAATAGATTTAATGCACAATAGATATCCTACAAAACCCGTGCTACCAAATCGTTCCAACGTATGACGCCATTTTGAACATGGTCGTGCATTTCGGAAGGGAAGTACTTATTACCAGGGTCAGGGGCCAAAGCCTGAAAGCACAGAATACAAGAATATGATTCAAGGCGTTACAACAATCAGCTCATTTCTAAAGATATCCTTAAACCACACTGTCTTCAATGTGTCAACCACCAAGCCCACTTGGAAGCATTGTTTAGAAGCATCCGTAACCGGCAATGATGCAAGTTGGTACCGAAGCGAACCAATACAATATGCAAAGATGCTTTTAACGGTATATATTGGACCTAATTCAAAATGAGAAAAAATGATTGAAATCTAGAAACATGCAACAAAGCCAAACCAAGACCCCAGAAAGATTACGAACATCATTAACGATTTCATTCCTCTACGGACAGGTACGTGCTTGTGCTCGTGCATTCACAGAACAAGGGGAGACAACTGACATACTAACAAAAGTGCAAACTTCACCTAAGCATTACCATGCAATCAACAAATAATAAATCTAACAAAGGAGAAAGCATCCAACCCAAAATGACATCTTCTAATAATAATCGAAGCTCAAATCGAAATAAAAAAAACAAAATAATTCTAACATTCAAGAATGGAAACAGTTTACTGGACTAATACAATACGAGTCTTTGATTAAAGTGGCAATATCATCAGCTCTTTTAAAAGGAAATTTAGATACATCACAAGCAATAAGCCCATTTCGAGAAGAGAAATCGAAGCGTGATCTCAAAGATTCGGCAAATAAATCGGTTATGTCACCTTTCATGTTCTCAGCACTCGTAGTTGCTTCACCACTTTAATCGAAGTATCAACTAACAAGCTAACAATCCGAAACCACACAATGTTTACAGCTAAACTGACAACACCAACAAAGAGAAACATTTCAATACTTTACCTTCCTTCCTTTGTCGATTTGATTTGCACGTACATGCACGCACATGAGAGTCGTGACTTTATATATACTTGTATGTACACATGTGAAGCATGCGTTTCGCAAATTGCATTTAGAACTTTTGATTTTCTTTTTGTTTACATTGGTTACAGTTATTCAAGAAAACTTTGAATGCACGTGCATTTCTCGATTAATATAGGACACTCACCTTGAATGAAATAGCCAGTCTGAATTTGGCTCTTTGATCTCACGAAACTATTTGAAATGAGATTTGTTTTTTAAAAGCGACAGAATTACTAATGCGTTTGCTAATGTGTTTTGTTCACGTGCATGTGCGTTATACCTGTCATTTCTAGTTGAGTTGAATTCCCTGTAGTCGTATTGCTGGTTATGCTTGTGGTATTCAACGATTGCGTTGTATTATCATTAACTTTCTGTGTAATCGCTGTTTGGTTGGACGGATTATCAGATGGTGACGTTGAGTTAATTGTGGTCTGGGTATCTGTGGGTTGCGTCCCTTCTGTTGAGGTTACTGAAGATGTGGAGTTACTGTCCACAGTTGTTGTATTCAACTTGTTCATGTATGCTTCTATTTTGACTGTCGCTGTTGATTGTGCAGACGTTGGTTGTTCCGCCTTGCCCGTTCCTTGCGTTGTGGGCTCTGTGTTTTCACCCTTAGCTTGCTGAGCAGTTGTTACAGCATCTTTCTCTGTCTTTCCGGTTGACATAGCAACTGAAGTCTTGTTTCTTGCTGTTGTGGTACGGTCAGTTACTACTGTTCGGCTGGTGGTCGAGTCTGTAGGATCAGTATTAAGGACAATATTACTTGTAGTGTTCACGGTTTCGTTTCGGATGCTTCTGGTCGTTCTAGCAGTGTTCATGAATTGGGAACCAGTTTTGTCGTAGACTTGTGTTGATGACGAGTTCATTACATCTCCTGAAATGAAACATGGATTTGTGCAGTTACTCATCATTGATACAAGTGGTATTTCACATTGACGCATATGCGTTTAGGATATAACGATGCATATTCAAGATGAATTTGAGCACGGGCACTGTCTTCTGCTTATAAGAAGTGCTTATCTCGTATCCTTTTCAGCATTGTGCTGATAATCCATCTTGACGTACCTTTGAAGACTTCCGGTTCACTGTGAAGGTATTTTTCCTGGATGTCCATCATGGAGTCGCCATTACAGAGCGATGCGGTACAGAAACACCATTCTACTTCTTTACCCCACAGTTTCTGAACCTCACATCCTACGTAGTCGTGGTTCACTACAGATCCGATCCAGCCGTCAGCACATCCACGATACGTTACTGAAACGGAGTAATATACGTTTACGTTTACAATTAACTTTGCAATTTTATGTTCATCACGGCTTGAATATCTGAGCTGTCGTCATTTAAGTTCATTCAAATTATTGGATATAATGTGACCGGTCAAGTAATCATCCCAATTGCCTGCATTTGCCAACCTTTTGTTGTTTTTATCTCAGAATCAATGTTTCAAGCAGTTAAGGAGAGTCAAAAATAAGTCCTACTCACCATCGCCGTCGTGTCGGACGAAACATTTATTGGTGGCAGGACAAGCTGTTTTACCCAGATAGTGGGCTTTTGTACTATCAACTCGTTCACCACACAGTGGGCTGTCGCTATAACAATCCCAACAAAAGAAATCTGAAAGAAGTCATGTGAGATTTTAGAATAAGGTACATTAAATCACACAATAAACAAACCAAGTACTAACTATCCAAGCCGCAAAGGGAAATTTGAAATCTATATTGGACAAAGGAAAATGTACATGTTGTCTGGTAGAAGTATAAGAGTCTTTAAGGGAAACGCAAGACCTACCTGCTTCTGAAATCTCCACAGCGTTGTCAATAACTTGTGGACCATCAACCCATTCAACATCCGGCATAATGTCAATCACTTGACTAAGATCGTCGCCATCTTGATCATGTACTTTTTCTATGACGTTAATGTCTTGGATACCGACAGGTGGCATGGTGGTAGATTGGTGGAAATTTCCCTCCCACCAAGGAAGGAGTTGCTCCCATCCCTCACTCCATTCCGCATCTTGGGTAGATTGAGAAGCTGAAGCAGGTCTTTGGATGGCTTGTGTTGTCGTTTCGATCTTTTCAGCTACAATGGCGGCTTCTGTCGTCTGCTCTCTGACTTCGTTGGTCGGCCATTGTGGTCTATCAGAATCAGCGTGCCAGTACCAATGGTTCCAGGCTGGATCTTGTGAATGAGCTTTGACCTCTACCTCATAATCTTTGTCGAAGTCGTTGTATTCGTTTTGTTTGATCGTGGTGGCAGCGACATCATTGACGTTGCTAAGATCGTTGAGTTCAGAAGATTCCCAAGCGCCAGTCTTCTCGTTCCACGTCCACTGATTCCAGTCGATGCTTTCCCAATCTTGATCCCAGGGATTTGAGGTGGTGACGGGTTCAGCAGTGGGTCCGGCAGCTCCTGCTAGAACTCCCATTTCATCTCTAAGTCCTGGTGGCCGGTGTCCGATTCCATTCTCAATTTCCTGAATTGTGCCACCATTACAGTAATCTTCCTGACAGAAGCACCACGTCTGTTTTCCCATCCACGGCACCTCTTGGGTCTGGCAGCCGACATAGTTGATATCAACTTGTGACGACATCCACCAGTCGGCACAGCCTCTTGTGATTACTGAAAACAATCATAAAAGGGTCATTAAGCGACCATAGAAACCCAGTACGCCACTGTTACAGGCTTTGCATTAAACCAAGGGATCCCAACCTTTCAGCCCTCACAACCCCTCCCAAATAAAAAAATATATATTCTTCTACA